TGCGACCGGCGCCACGTGGAGGAGGCGGGGGCGGGCCCGGCTGCCCCCGGCGACGGCCGCCAGCAGAGCGGCCTCGGCCGGCGCGCGTTCCCTGCGCAAGGCCGCCCCTCCGCGTCCGGCCGCGGGGAGATGCTGCGCGGCGGCGGGCAGAAAGGGAGGGCGGCGGCGCGCGTCGCGTCTGCACGGGCCCGGCTCGCGTGCACGGGCCCCTGGCCTCGGGGCGGCCGTGTCGGGCCTTCCCGGGGCTAAGCGGCCAGGGGCAGCTGGAGCCCCTCGAGTTGCGGGCGACCCCCGTGGAGGAGGAGGCGCGCCCCCGTCACAGCGAGCCGGCGCCCCTCCTGCGGCAAGTGGGACGGGCGCCCCCGGGCGAGCCGGCCTCCAGCTTCCCCGAGCTCTGCGTGGCGCGCAGGCCGGGCGGCGATGGCTCCACGTCCCGGCGCGCTTTCCCCGGGGCTCCTGCACAGGATTCTGGAGAGAGCCCGAGAGGCCCTCTTGGCCTCGCAGCCCTGTCAGGTGTCCCCACCCAATCTCCCCTCTGGTGGGCTGCACCGGGAGCCCCCCGCCTGGGACCAGCGGTGCGGTCCTCCCCACCTGCCTGATGCCGTGCGGATGTGGCGGGCTGCAGCTCCCCGCATCCCCCGTCCAGCTAACAGCCCAGCGGGCTCCGGGCCCCGCTCCAGCTCGGCCGTGGGGTGCGCCGGACACGGGTCCCCCGTCCCGCCGCTTGGCCTCCTGCAGTGGATGCGGCACGGAGTCCAAACGGCAACGTTTTCCCCCCGTGCCCACCCGGGTTCTTCCACAGCCTCTCCTGCCCTGCTTTTTCTTAACCACCCAAAAATCACGGAGGAGGAAGAGGAGGAGGACTGCCGTGGCTGCTCGGTGCCCTCCGATCAGTTGCCCTGGGAGCCGGGGCTGGATTTGTGCGAGCAGGATCCAGCAGGGCCAGGAAATTCGGGCAAAGAAAAAGGACAGCAGCCCAGGAACTGGGCTTTTAAAGGGGTGGGTTGACTAACTCCCGGCTGTGTGAAGCCTCCAGTCACAGAAGTGATGTGCTCAGATACTCCAGTTGCTGAGGAACGTGGGTTAGGGTTAGGGCCACTGTTGCTTGGGAGCCCCTGGTGGGCCAGGTGAGCAGCATGCTGGGCTGGGTGGGCCTTTGGTCCAGTCCATAGCAAGGCGCCACCTGTCTCGGCCGCAGCACCTCCAGCCCATCAGTGGCATCTGCCCCCCTGTGGTCCCCACGGCCCCTCCCCTTGTGGTTCCAGGGAGGGCCAGGCCCCCTTCCCCCTGCAGTTTCAAACCGTCCAAACACCTCTCTGAAAATGTCGCTCTCGGCAGCAAGATCCTTAAGCTAAAGTTCAGCCATCTTTGGGGGATTTTTGCCCTGCTTTGCTTTTAGCCCTGCCCCCAGCTCAGGAAAGCAGAGAGCGGATGCAAAAGGGCTTTCAACCCTCTGGCTGAAAGAAGTCCAACGGGCTTAATCTACGTCGTCCAGGCTTCTCCACCCGGATGTACTCGAAAAAGTCACGGATGAAGTTCTGTTCTATGCCTTTTCTGGTGCTCTCGGGAAGAGAAGGAGAAGATGGTGTTTTCCTTCGGTTCCTGACCATTAGGGGACCTGCTAAGCCGCCCACCAGGAATTGCCCTGGGCCTCCACTACTAAAATTGCCAGTGTCATCCTGAAAGGGGGAGCTGTGGGACACTTCTATCCTCTTAGGTTACCAAGGTGTTCTAAAAAAGGATTCCCGTGACTCAACCGCAGGTGTCATGGATGACACACGCAGTCCCAGCTGTTTTTAGAAGGTGTCCACACACGCTTTGGCAGTGTGAACTTCCAGAGACATGTGGAGTGGCTCTTGAGGTCACTCCTGTTGAGCGGAACCGGATATCGTGAGCCCTTCAGTTGAAGCACGGAGCATAATTAGTTATTTGAGTGCCTGCCTTCGGAAGAGTTGCTCAGCTCAGCCCCAGAGCCAGTTTTGAATGGCAGGGCATGGCCATGGCCAAGCAAAAGAGCTCCTGAGCATGCCTCAATTGCTTCCTCTTGAGCCTAGATGCTGGAGTGGCGTCCCAACACGGCACTTCAAATGTAATGGGGTTGCCAGGGGGTGGCGCCAGCTGGCACAGCAAAGGTCGAGCGGGGAATTCATCCCTGCTGGAGGAAATCTGATCCACCCATCCAGAGCCCGCCATTTATTCCCCGTGTCCATAATTCCAAGTGAATACCCGGAAGGGCTCAGATATGCATGCCTGTTAAAAACATCTCCCTTCTAGTCTTGCGCGTAGGAGCAGCAGTAATGTCAGAGAACAAAACGCTAGGGAGGGCCCCGGATCTTTCACCGGGGCCCCTGGATCGCTGGGCGGCCCTGGCGTGAGCCCTGCCAATCTCCACAGCCTGGGCTCCTTTCGGCCCACACCCTTCTGAATCTCTCCACCTGAGGTTTTCCCCTGAAATCAAAACCTCTCCTCTGTCTGTACCTCCCTTTTGGCAAATATGGGTATCCTTAGGAGACAGGTCCCTTTAAACTTGTCCTTTTCTTTCCTCCTCCATTGGGCCCACATCTTGGATCTTCCCCAGCACCGCCCCAGTTTATACAACGTGTGGCATGACATTACGATTTCAGCCTCAAGGGTAACAACACCTTCTGAGAGAACTGGAGGGCTCCTTCCCAAGCAGCGGTGGAGAGAACCCAGCCCAGAAAGCAAATTCCTCCCCTGGTTAACATTTGCTTTGCAAAGTATAGATAAATACAGGTTATCCTAAAAGAACAAATCCTAGTTTGGCAACCCTTGGTTTAACACCAAAGAAGGAGAGATTGGTAAGCACTTTCTGCCTTGTTCTAAATGCATCCTGGTAATTTAATTCCAAGGACGAGTCACTCCATTTTCACCTTGTCCATACTGGCAAATTCCGGTTCACACCCAGACCTGTTCAGCAGCGAACATCAAGATTGAAACCTTCTGCATGTCAGCTCAGCTGGTCAAACTTGTTTGTATTTCTGCTTATACCAGGAGAGGAAGCTGGGTGCTCCTCAAGGGTTTTATGGCCTTGCCCTGCTCATGGAATTTAACCTCATAACCCTCTGATGCTCCAACTTCTCTTTCCTTCTCCCTCATTTTTGCCTATGCTTCTGGTGTATGTTTTGCCAACATAACATTTTCCGATCCCAATAAATTGGGCCAGCTCTTTCTTCACCTTTGCCTCTCCTTCCTGGGGCACCGAGAGGCAGCCTGGGGCATTTCCACTCAAGAAAAGGAAGTACGTTTCTCACTGAGGCATGACCCTATTTATTCTGACCGGGGAGTAACTTCCACTGAACTCAACAAGAAGACCCTTTAATCTCGAAACACTGTTGGGGTCATGCTGGGCACCCTGTGATCCTGCCCCAGTCTTTGCAAGGTGGCGTGCTCAGCAGAACAAAACCCCATCAGGTGGGACTTAATTCGAGGGGTCCACTGGCATTTTTTCTGTGTTGTTTTGCAGGTCTTTAGATCTCTGGAAGACCAAACAGCCAACAAGTTGTAAAATATTTTCCAGTTATCATGTGACATTCAAAGGTCATTCTGAGAAGGATAAGCCATGGCTCCGTCCTTCAGGACCAAAAGTACGTGGTGCCATGAGCTTGGGTGAGAGCTTTAAGAGGCGTGTGGGACTGTGACTCAGCAGAACAGTTCCTGGGATGCCTGCCCATTCGGTGACTCAGACTGATTGGTATCAAAGGGCACTGGAGCAGATGTCTCCCGCCCATGTTAGTGCCACTGAAATGAAGAGCAGTTGCACCATTAAGCACGGAGCTGGCATTCCTGCTGGAGGAGCCTGTCCCCAGGACTGATCTGGCTCCGCTGGCGGAAGAAAGGAACCTGGGACGCATGGGCACCCATCTGTTCGACGCACCTGCGTGCCATCGGTGTCTTCTTGGTCAAGAAGCCATACCTGGAGGTTTTGGGGGGCCCCTGGGCCAGATGCCTTCCATGCACCCTCTCCCCCGTGAGCCCACCTTCTCCACACTAACGCCGCCAGCCGCTTTTGCTCCTCATAGCGACTACCATAGCGATCTCCAGTTCTTCCCTCTCACCGCCTGTTTTCTGGGCTAGAGTGGGAAGCAGGCTGTAGTGGTGAAGAAGAGGGGCAGATCACAAGGACCGAAGCAGCCTGTGGATGATCAGGCCAGAGGTCCATCTCCTCCAGCGCTCCGTGCACAGAATGGCCAACCAGCTGCTCGCAGGATCCCACAAACAGGACAGGCGGCCAACAGTCCAATAACATGGATGCAGTTATGAGCCCATGAACTGCTGCAAAGTGTTCTCGTATAATTTGATGATCAAAATATAATTATTTGTTGTTCGGTCGTAAAGTCGTGCCTGACCCATCACGACCCCATGGACAACGTTCCTCCAGGCTCCCCTGTCCTCCACCAGCCCTTGAAGTCCTCCCAAGCCCACACCCGCTGCCCCAGTGACCCCATCCAGCCACCTCATCCTCTGCCATCCCCTTCTTTTGCCCTCAGTCATTCCAAAATATATAGATTTTAAAAACCCACCCTTCAATTTTCAGGGCAGCCTGCATTTGCTCTTTTTTGTACATTCCTTTTACTGGAGTGCGCAAGCTTTAGAAGAATTCTGGTTTCATTTAGCAGTTATTTTTGTGATTCACTCTGGTCCCTTGTTTGGGCATGTCAACGAGCTCAGTTCTCAGCAGGCAATTCCAGGCAGTCAGATCATATTCTGAACTCAGCTTCGGTCTGTTTCAAATGTACAGCACTTTGAATGTTGCCCAAGTGACGGGGACAAAGCAATTTTTAAAAAAATATTCAGATACTAAATATGGTTTACCCATGTGGGATGCACAAACCCGGCTGAGCTCCAGGTTGGGGCATTTGGTGCTGCGTGCAGGGAAAGGAGGTCCCTTTGCTGCGCAGATGATAACCCCCTTGAATATTACCCCTGGCTTTTTAAGCCAAGAAAAACATCTTCCCGTTGGCGTCAACTCATGCTTTGGAGACACAATGAGATGTCGGGGCCCTGCTTGTGTGTGAACAACAGGAAAACAAGATCTTCCTGGGTATTTTCTGAACTGTTTTTCTCAGGAAAGCAAGAACACCTTAGAAAAGATGTGTTTTTCATATTGCTCAGAAAAGATTTGCAGTCGGCACTGCCTGCCTTCCTTGAGTACAAAGTGCAGGATTTTTTCTGTAACATGCAGGACAGTTTCGAAAAACAGATTCTTTTACCATAACCCCCTTCAGGCTGGGTCCTTTGCTGTCCTGGGTCTTTCTGGGAAACATAAATGCAGCTACACAAGTTGGTCATAAGATCTGCACAGTTGGAGTCAGCTGATGTTTTCCAGGGATTTGGACGGCTAAAACAAACGTGATAATATATAAAAGGAAAGGCTTTCCAGAGTTTTCCAATGATACGGCAACAACTGTAACCTCTAGTATGTTGTGAAACATCATCGATTCAACATTCACTGGATCATTTCTAGGGTCCTCAAACTTTAATGGGATGCAATGGGGAACCAGTATGGTGGTTAGGTGGCTGTACTGGGGATGAGGGGAATCCGGGCCCTTCTCCCCACTTGGCTAGGAAATTCCTTGGGTAGTTGTGGACTCTCAGCCTAACCCACCTCACAATCCGTTGTTGTGAGGAAAATGGAGCACAGGAGAACTGTTGAGACTATTTTGGGGTACCCCCAAGAGCAAAACTAAAACCCTGGATAGAAATGCACAATAAAAACAATAATGAAAGCTCTTCTTCTACTTAGAAGTTCAAGAATTGGGTTTTTTGTGTGTGCAGGAGAGAAAACACAGAAGTTGCTAAAGAAAGGCATAATCTTCACTGCCTGTATTCACACATATCGACAAGCTGTTGTAAAGAACGGGATTAAAATGTTCCTAACAATTAATAAAAATAAAAATAAGGCCATGCTGGAAATTATACAGCCATGCTTACTGTTACATGTGAACCCAGCATCCGTGCTGAAACACGGCTGCCATGAAACGGTGGTTTGTTGTAAGGTTTCCACCCTTCACCATGGCTTGATAGTAAATGTGCTGCCAATTGGAGAGAATGGGGAGCCTAGAAACCGCCTGCGTGCCTGAACCCAGGACCCAAGATGGGATCCTGCATGTTATGTGTGAACACAGCCCCTGCCAACACCCTCCCTTGCAAGTTTAGAAAGAACGGAAGGCCCACCACCCCCAGCGGGCTATTTACTATCTAAAATGGCACGGGGTCATTCATTAAAGCCCGCACAAGCTATTTTCTTACAGGTGCAGCCCTCAGTTAGCCTGGAGTATGACAGACATCGGCATCCTGTGAGATTCCTCCTCAAGGAATCATAGCCACAGGAAATGCCGGAATAAATTGCATCGTTAATGCCACCATGTTGCAAAATTTACTGCCTAATCAGGCCGGTGCTGCAGGCAGGCCAGTGGTCCGCCACAGCTCAGGTGTTTAGCAGGACTCCTGTCCGGCCCAAATATTAATTTCATGGGAGGAGATCACCGCGTGGCCCGGCCGTCATTTCCTGCCAAAAGCCAGCTTGAATTTCCTGCCGGCTTCGTGCTATTTCAGCACAGGCTGAGTCATCCTCGGAGGGACCCGGGTGGGACACGGGCCTGCCATCTCCTGTAATGGTCTTGACCTAAAAACACCACAAACCCAGCCTTCCCCAGCCAGCTTGGCAACTAGCTGGGGTGTTTAATGAAGTTGTGCCAACACCCACATGACATTCATATGTGTGCTTGTGCATTTAGAGTAATAATCTAGTTTTGGCGTCCCAGATCGTGTCTCTGGTACGGCTAGTTTCAAGCATTTGTCTTTGGGCACCAGAATATCTTGGAAAACGGCTCCATCTGCAAAAATGACCCAAACACATAATTGTATTTGTTTAGGGGTGTTGTTGGGCAGCAGAGCAATGGGTGCGGGCTGCAGATAGCACAGCCTGCGATTCCCGTCTCTGTGGGTGGTGGGCTGTGGCTGATGGGAACTGTAGGCCACTAGGGGCCCCTCCTCCCCACACACACTCTGCCGCGAAGCCCTGTTGCCTACAAGGTTGTGTAAAGTCATGCAATCCTAGGCGTGCTCGGGCAGAAAAAAGCCTTCCAACTCCCAGCAAAATGGAAAAGCGCTAAAACAAAGAGATTGTGGCTTCTGAGGGGAGCAAAATATCCCTCACAGGGCAAAAAGTGGTGTGCATGGCGGGGAGAAAACTGGAAATGGAAGTCTGTGTCCTCATTCCCATGAGATGTTGATGCCTGTTTCTAACTCTCTTTATTTTTACAATATCTATTATACAGCTTTAAGAACCCCAAAATATTCCATTCTGCCCTTTTCGCCACAGCGACAGCAATCTCTCAGGCGACCTCCCTCTTTTGCCATGCGCACCACGCTCCTCCTGCCCCGCCCCTTCTCGGAATCTTCTTTTCTGAGGAAGAAAACCTTAGCAACAAGGTGACCTCACTCCCTACCAATCAGCGACGACTGACTCACTACCGTCACCACCGCCTCTCGATCCTTCCAGAGCTTTCTCACCGATGCCTTCACCCAAGAGCCAATCGGAGGCCCAATCTCTGTCGCACCGACCAATCCAAATTGAGTTCCTCTTTAGTCCCGCCTCCCAACTGCTCCAGAGTGCCAAGGCCAGTAAGCCCTTTCACTTCTAACTACAAATCCATCCGCATCTCAATAACAACAGTCTTTTTCACTGTAGAAAATGGTAGGCATAAATAGCCTCCTCCACTTTCCTTTCCTCGCTACTCCCCAAATGAGAGAAAACATATAATCCAGAGGAGAAGTTGCTCCGTAACTGAGTTTTGCTGAGGGACTCATTTTCTTCTACGGAGGGATATTGGCGTGATGGGAAAGGAGGAGCGATGCGTCACAGGACTCTATAAATAAGGGTGACTCGCAGACGACGCTGCAGTCCCGAATTCTCCGAAGGGAGGAACAATTTTCTTGTGGGAGTACGAAGCTGAATTTGCGCTCCTTACTTTTCTTTCGCCGGCGATCGTAGCGCAGCGGTAAGATGGTGGCGGAGGGGTGTAAAATGGAGGCTGCCCGGTCCTCCCTTGGAGGAGCTACGGGGCGGGCGCGGCGTCACTAGCGCCCTATTATGGCGAGGAGCGGCCTTGGCGGGGTTGCGGGGCGGCAGCGCGGGGCCCCCGGCAGCCCCCCGGAGGGATGGGCGGGCGCGGCTGAGGGAAGCGCGGCGCGCCGGGCGCCGCCGGGTAGTGAGAGGCGAGGGGCGTTTGGGCTGCATGAAGTCATCGTAGGAGAACGCCATAAATGGCGATGTCTCACGGGGCATAAAATACATTCCTCACGAAGGTAATCGAGTAGGGGCATATATACTTAGATTTGTGTGCTGGTGACCAGCAACGAAGAGGGATTGAGGGGGGAGCATTTTTTCTATAGAAAGGGATGTCTTACGGGAAACAAACGCTAACAAGAAAAAAAGGAACAGCCGCAGAAAAAGGAGGAGGGGAGCTGTGTAGGAGGGCCCCGAGGGAGAAATGCTGTCTCTTCTTGAAACGGCTGTCTCATGCAGAGAAAGAAATACGTGTGTGCTAATTAGTCACTGTAGAATCTGGTTTCGTGCAGATCATGCAAATGAGCAATATGCTATTGTATTTGTTAAAGAAAGCGAATGATATAAGGTGTTTTTCCTAAGAAACCGGCTCCTAAGAGCGTTTTATTCGCTTTTATTGTGTCTCTAGGTAATTTGTTTAGACATAGTGATACAAGTTGCGAATGCTCAAAAAATAAGTATCCAAACATGGAGCATTGTGTTCTTTAAAGTGCTTCATGATGATTTCCTAAATAAGATGCTTAAATAGATATAAGTGCTGCTCCACATCCTGATGGTGGAGTGGTAAGCAATATTGTGTGTACAATAAAGACTCCTTTTTGTGTGTGTGTGTGTTTTTAATAACCTTGTTGGTCAATGTTACATATTTAAAAAATACAAAGGGTCGAGGCTACAAAAGGTGGACAGAAGAACAACACAGCATATTCTTTAAAAAAATCTTAGATATGGGGGGGGGTCTGGGTAGGAAGCCTATTTCCATACAGACCTTCTAAAAAGATTTTAAAACAAAGATGGGTTGAGTTAGAGTTTTAAAAAATAAATTGGTGCCCTAGGAAAGAAACAACCCCTCATTTTAAAATTTTGGAGTAGCAGAGCACAAGCAAAATGCAGTCTTTAAAAATACTCAAAGGGGTGGCAGCTGTTGCAGTACAAACAACAAAAGGTCATCATGGACCTTAAGCAAACTTAATATGGCCTTGATTTTCACAAGATGGACCATCTTCTGTGTAGCTTTTTTCATGTTAAGTATATTACGCCATGCCTAAACAAAGATCTACAATTTAGGGCTGGGTTTGCTGGGAGTTACAGCTGCATTCCTTTTAAGTATGATGGGATCCACCCTGTTGGATCTGTGGGACACTTAGCTACAGCTTTACAGAAGACTGAGGTCAGATTAATTCTGGGGTTTTAACAGATTAGTCCTTTGCAAGTTGTCTTAAGTGTAAAGTCACTTGGGTTAAGCAAGGCTTTCAGCCTGGTGGCCCTCCAGCGACTGTGGCGCTTAGTGCCTCTATTCAGTTGAGGTAAATGCTGAGGGAGAATTTGACTTTGTGGTCCAGGTATGCTTGGATGCAGCTGGGTTGGGCATAAATAGGGCTGCTGCCTTCTGGGGTCTGTTGTGCAGTGCCAGCTGCTTACATAAGGGGGCAGCATATTCGTGATGCATTTGCAGGCTCAAGAGGTACCTGCAGTTACGAGTGACTTAGATTGAATGAGTCAAAGAAAAAAATGTTACAAGGCTGTGAAATCAGAGGTAAAAACCATGGCATGCCTAGTATTTGATGAGATTAAGGAGGTAGGCTATGGGAAATACCGCAAATAATACTTGAATTTTGCAGGATATGGAATTGCTTTTCTACGACATAGGGGAAGGCAATTCAACAGCGCCACCTCCAGGAATGTTGCATAACACACCTGTGAAAGTGACGCATCCATTTTCAAAAATGAACTTGAGTTTCTGGAATCATTGTCAACTGACAGGATGGCAGCCCTTGTTTTGATGCAATGGACTAAAGGTCATAACACGTTTTGGGTGAACTTGGAAATACTTTCTCAGTCACCTGATATATCTCATACGGGCATTGGGATCATATGCTATGTTTGCTGCCTTGGACTCCTGAGAGGAAGATGATGGAATAGAATACCAAGGAATTTTCTTAGAGTGGTCAGTTCTCAACATATGAGTAAATAAGATGAGCTGGAGTGGCACTTTAAACTGAAGGAAACCATTTTATTTTGCAACATCCGACATATCTGCAGTCCAATTTTGGATGCAGAATATATTGTACACGTTTGGGTTTTTCTGTGTAGCGGCAGCTGTTGGTCTGTTAACACATCTTTTCAGAGGTGTGGCCATAAACAAGCATTCAGCCATTTGCAAGACAGAATTTTAGGAAATGGGTTCCAAGGACTGCCTGGAACATAGGATAATTTTGTTTTTCCTCCAACGGCTATGTAAACAGTGGTGATTTTGGTAATACAGTGGGGATGGAGCATCTATATTCCCTTTTGGGTGAAAAAAACCAGTATTTTATCCTGTGTTGCTAATTATTGGGTGAAGGTCTGTCTGCAGTGCTGAAATGGGAAGGTAACATAAGGCAATTAAATCTGATCAGGAGGTTTTCATGTTGTGTCTTCACAGTTAAAATGCAGATCTTTGTCAAGACCCTGACCGGCAAGACCATCACCCTGGAGGTGGAGCCCAGCGACACCATTGAGAATGTGAAGGCCAAAATCCAGGACAAGGAGGGCATCCCCCCGGACCAGCAGCGGCTGATCTTTGCCGGCAAGCAGCTGGAGGATGGCCGCACCCTGTCTGACTACAACATCCAGAAGGAGTCCACCCTGCACCTTGTGCTGCGCCTGAGGGGAGGCATGCAGATCTTTGTCAAGACCCTGACCGGCAAGACCATCACCCTGGAGGTGGAGCCCAGCGACACCATTGAGAATGTGAAGGCCAAGATCCAGGACAAGGAGGGCATCCCCCCGGACCAGCAGCGGCTGATCTTTGCCGGCAAGCAGCTGGAGGATGGCCGCACCCTCTCCGACTACAACATCCAGAAGGAGTCCACCCTGCACTTGGTCCTCCGTTTGAGAGGTGGCTGCTAGATGTTGTGAACTCTGATTTTGAAGTTGCTAATAGCCGTTGTTTGCACTGTAGCAGTTCAGTGTCTTAATATTGTAGGGTAAATGTAAGTTTCAGTGACTGCTAGACTGTTTGTGTGAATGCTAATAAAGTTTTCTGTTGCACATTACTTGGTAGTCCTCTTGGCTGAGTTACTTGCATGGGGTTTAACAGTATCATCATCCAGGGTAGTGCTCAAACACCTGGTAGTTGGATTCCGCTCTTGGGCAACGTTGCCTCTGACATTCTTGGGTAAGAATCAAAGGGAATGTTACACCCTGATCAAACAATTCTGGAAAGGCCAAGGTGTTCAGTGAATAAAAATGCAGCTACAAAGATATGCTCTACTCCTGAGCATTATGCCTTGTGCATGATACTGCTTTAGTTGCATAAGGAGGCTGGTGAAGCCTTTGAAAATGGCCTTGGGGAAAACCCTGAATAGGGTAATTCTAGTGAGACATTTGTAGAGTTTTGGCCTCTCATGGCCAATGTTTGCATGGCTGAAGATCAACTGCCCATCAAAAGACACACACAATTCAGAAGGGTACTATGAAGAAGCTGTGCCCATATTCTGTACCTTTCACAGTAAAGGGTTTTTAATCTTCCCCCAAGTTGGCAAATCAAACTAGGGGTTGTGCTTTACCTGAAAGGCTCATTTCTGGTTTTTGTAGCCTTCACTTGGAATTTTGCTGTTAGAAAACAGTAAATCCCATGGTTGCTTAGTCCTTGCCAAATGTAACTTAATATGGAGGGAAATGGCATAAACAACCTTTTTATTTTGGTTGAGCTCAGAAGCCTACCTGACCCCTGTGACCCCACTTACCCAAAGTAATCTTTGTATTCTGCCCACTGACAACTATTTTATGATGGTTAAGACATCTTTAAAGCTGACGTCCACTGAAAGTTGCTTTATTTCATGATACAGTTAAAAAACTAAATTACACGCTTTAGGCTTGTTAATACAAGGTGAGTAGCAGGTAGCTCAGGGATGGAGTTCCCTGCATGGGTGCTGCTTGAGAGGAGGCCTGCCCTAGTTGTCTGTCTGGGCCTGGAGTGAAACAATTACACATCTTTTAACCAATAGCTGTTTCTCACAAGTGACTTGTTTTGACGGCTGATGATGCCAGGTGTCCGTTGCTTCAAAAGATGCTTTTTGGCAGGGCCTGTATGGCTGCATATATAAGTTGAGTATGTCTTGTACAGAATCTGAAACCTGGAGGAGTGCGAGAGGAGGTTTCTAGTAAAAGTAGAGATTCTCTACGTTTTGGAGAGAACATCAGATGTTTTGATTACCAAAAGTGAAGATTCATAGTATTTCTCAGATTATCGTGCTGGTGACGTTCATCCTAGTTCAGTGAAAGCTCTAGCCCATTTGGTTCAGTGACCGATCAGTGGCCAGGCGTACGAATTTTGCAAAGCTTGCTTATGCGAAAGGTACAGTAATAGCTACCTGATCCTGTAGGAAATGGATTCTCATAAATTCCTTCCTTGAGCTGCCTTGTAACGTGCTTCGGCCCCTCTTCTAAGTGCCCCCTCTAGCTTCTTCCTCACTTCCTTTCTTCTGGGTTCTGGAATAGCCTCGATTTCTTCTTCGCTAATTTCATAGCCGAACAACTCCATCTGTGGAAATGAATAGGAAGGCTGTGGGCAAGGGAGAACTGGCAGCAAAGGCGGTCGGTCAGCTTTCCCAAACAGGAAATGCTGTCATAGCCCTGGAAAGTGTTGGACTTTTAAGGAAAAGATTGCTGTGGAAATGGGCTAGAAAAGGAATTCGGGAACATTCATGGGGTCGGTGGGTAAGCCTGGTTATTGTCAGTGGGGCAAACAGGACAGTTGGTATGGGGAGACCTGTTGAGAGGAGGGGTCGGTTGTCACTGCCTTTTGATTCTGTGCAATCAAAAGGCAGTGGCAAAAGAGTGTAGCATCGAAAAGTGCAAATAACTAGAGGTGTGGGGGAAAACCTCTCCAGCCCCGTCTTACCCCAGGTTCCTCTGGCGTCATAACAATGATTGCTCAATTGCTTTTGCAGATGATGCTCACTTTGAGGCTCTACTAATACGGCTGGCTTTCTGGGTGTGAGGAGCCCAAAAACATTTCCCAGAGATCAAGCCAGTGAGCTTTTAAAAAAACTAAGTACAAGGCAGAGGCCGGTTCTGAGTTCACTCAAAGCACCCCACTAAACCCCTGAAAAGCCTCCAGTAAGATGAGTATCACACTCGAAATTCAGGCAAAACACATGCCAAACCCAGATACAGAATGTCACAACCCTCAGCAAAATGCACACCAAATAAAAAGGCAGAACGGCTTGCGTTGCTCAGTGCTCCCCAGCCACTTCCTCCTCACGGGGCCATAGCTGTCACTTAGTGCCGTGTGGCCGGGCATGAAACAAGACAGGCCTGATTCCTCTCAGCATATATATTCCTTAATGCCCCTGGGACCAGATGTTACTGCCCCTTGAGATGAACGGGAGCACTCTTGATGAACTATCTACCACTGGACTAATCTTGGGTTAGCAGTGTTTCTTCTTCCCGATAACGCTTTTGTTTCCAGTGGTGCATCCCAGAATGGGGTAGGAAGGAGAAGGCTTTGAAATACCTTTGCATTTTTGCAATCCTGGTTGTAGTTGTGAAGATGTTTAGCTGTGACTGCGTCTAAGTGCTCCCGCTCTTCTGCACTGAAGCTGTTAACTACTGAAGAGAAGAAAACAGAGTTTGGCTTGCAACTTTTCCTGTTTAAAATGTAGGTGTTTGCATTTTAGGTCATTTTTGGGTTAGATTTTCCAAAATGGCTTATACGTTGACTTCTAATTTCAACCAGAGGTCTCTTTTTGTCTAGAAGGTAAACATTGCCTGACTGATTGTCTTTGCCACTTCTGGAGCTAATCTGGGGACCTCTCCGAAATTTACTATCAGAGCAGAACAGGGAGCCCAGTATCCCATGCTTTGTGTCTTGGGTCTCAGAAACAGCTTGTGTTGCTGAGAAGAGATTTCTATTTATGTCACCTGAAGTCCACTGGTAGCCATATCCTTGGTGAAGCTAATAGTTTGAAAAAAGCCAAGCAAGTAGTTGTCATTTCATCCTGTGGCAGTGAGTTCCACAGGTCAAGTTATGAAGTGTGTGAAGAAGCACTGCCTTCCCTCTCCTTAACTGTTGCTTTGCTGGATCAGATGAAAGTAGACCTTATTTTGGTGAATTATAATTGTGTTCTGTGTTGATTTAAGGAGTGCTATAAACTAGTCAGTTGACTAATATCAATATCAGATAGATACTGTGCTCATTAAATAGCGGGAGTGTTGGCCTGCCGGAGGTCCCAATCTACCAGGTTCCAAGATGGCCACATCCACAAAATGTATTTTCCATTAGAATTCCAGGCTGTTTTTTTCCTTAAGGCAACATAAACTCTAACCAGAAGGTGTCACTATCCCACCATGAAAAACAACAGTAAAGCCACATTTTCCTGCTTCTGTGTGATTGGCTTTGGCCGGTGTGGCTGCAAACGGCTTGTTAGGAGGTCGTATTAGTGTCAGACATGAAATACACCACTGGAGTGGAGAATTCCCTGTTCCAATATGAAATCTTTGGGGAAGAAGCCTTTTAAGGAGACTTCGGCACGGAGTATTACATTGCGTGCGAATGGGCAGGTAAAGTCAGCTTACTTGCATCGGCAGCCTCCATCACCTGTGTCAGCAAGTCAAGCATGACGATTGTGGCCACTTCCATCCCTCTGCTAGCGGTGGCGTGGTGGCTCTCAGCGACTACTGTGAAAAAGGTTGCGATGCAAAGGTTGATCATAGGGTGTGATGACTCTGCGCATCTTTCTTGTTTGTCGCACCTTTAATTCGGGGCTTTTGGATCCCCAGAAGATACTTTCTAAGTGGCTTTTCCAGCCATTGTGGTGTCTCTCCACCTACAGGCCATTCTTTAGTTACAACTATGTCACAGCTGTTTATAATCAAGTGGATAATTGGAGTGCACCTCAGGGTTGGGAAAGGAACACCTGCCACCCAGCCTGGTTTTCAGTCGCTTTCCCCACTTGATAGACCGGAATTGATTCCTCCTCACCTTAGGCAGGAAGATACTTTGCAGACTGGGGACTCTGCTGGACTTAAACATGTGAGCTCAGGGTTTGGATGCCTTGAATTGGATAATAGACCGCTAAAGCTTATGGCAGAATAAACTGGTTGGTTTTTGAAGTGCCACAAAATTTGGCTGTTTTTACAACAGAAGGAATACTCATGCAGCCCATGAGAAGGGGTGTTCTGTTTAGTCGGCCAGTCCTGGCTATGCAAGGTAAGTGCCAACTTTTTTGCTTATCAATTAAACTTAAGTTACCCGATAACCCAAAATCTCTGCACATAAAATGAAAAAAGCAAACAATAAAATTGCACAATAAAATCAAGTTAAAATTAGTACATTGTTGTAAATTGTTTTGGATGCTTATGTTTCTATGTGTGTGGCTTTTACGATGTATTTTAAAGTTTTCAGCCCTTATAAACCTCCCATAGAAATTGGCTGTTGGGCACTATGGTAATTTTAAAAATTAAAGTAAAAATCAGTAGCAAAGAGTAAAAACATGCAAGCATATAAAAGTCTAAAATATGCAAAGCAAATACAGTGAATGAAAGCACTCAAATAGTTCTTAAAATGCTTGGGAGACCATAACTGAGGTGCTCAAGGTACCCCATCTTGCCTTGCCAATAAATACTTGCCTATTTATTTGTTGCAGGCATCTGGAATGGGGGGTGGGGGGAGTGTCAGTTTATGATCATAATGTCCAAGTAGGTGAAATCAGGGTACTTGCAAAATAGGACAACTTAATATCTGAAAAATAGCCATGTAATTTTCAGTCACCTGTTTCCGATAAGCAGAAATCAGCCTGTGATGGTGTCTGTGACTCTGGTGAAGGTGCTGGGGCCACGAGACTGCAAAAATAGAACAACGAAATGCACACACTTGACCTGCCCCTTGACAAAGTCCTAAAGGCATTGCTGTATTTCCACACTGTTAGAAATTCCTTTTGTACTTCAATGCGCACCATAGGAAAGTGGTGGCAGGGAAGGAGGATCTCCAAGCCCAAAGTCAGTGGGTTGAAGCCAGATTTGAAATAAGCAGGACTTAAGTTAGCATGAGTAACTGAATTCAGTGGGTTCCCTCGCAGTTAGCTGTAGACATAACAAAATGCTATTTTGTCCACATTTTGAGGAAGATCCTCATGAGCACTGTCAAACTCAAGCTGTATGTTGATGTTCTTAGGAACATGCTGGGCACATGCTGCATGGTTAACAAAAACTTACCTGCCAGCAGAATAGGCGCTGGAAGACGGCTGCAATAGAAAGTCAGAGAAGGATTGGTCCGGGTGAGGTGTATAAGGAAGGCAGTAAAAGTCTAATTTTGTATTTTTCAGCCTGAAGGGTCCAAAAGATTTAACTATAGCTTTTATAATACATTTTTCAAGTTTAAAAAGTCTTTGTAAACCACTCCGACTGCTCTGGTTATTGGCTGCTACAGAAAATGTGACAAATGCCCAGAGAGCCCCCTGCAAGTCCTAGCTGGCAAAATGGGCCAGGGTCTGCCTTTTCCTGGCATCCCACTTCCCTTTACTGCCCCCTTTCAAAGTAGAACAAATTGCATGATTCTGATAAAGTATGAAGCTGGAGGAAGTGGCAGTTTCCCCTCCCTGTTTATCGCTCCAGCATCCCTAGGAAGTTTCAGTTGTCATGTCCCTCCCTAGAGCCAGACTAAGCCCACACTATGGTGGCAACAGCAAAGAAAACTGTCGGGCCCTGTATAAAGCAGACATGGGCTGGTGATTCAGAAATCCCATGCCCATATAGTGCAGGGATGAGAAAAGTGCAGATTACGTTGGACTACATTTCCAATCATCCTTTACTATGGCTATGTTGGCCAGAGCTGATGGACGTTGCCATGGAGTAACATCTGGGGTGGCTACATGTTTCCTAGAGCAGGAGGAATTTGCTTTGCTTGCCTCCAAAGTCAAGCCCTCCAGGGTTTTTGTGTTTAGCTGTGGGTCTGTTTTAGGTTGCCTTACCATCTTCCGCTCCACCAGCATTTTGATCTCGGCCTGAAGCTGGCTAATATGTTCCTCGGCCTTTGATTGCATTTCATAGCTCACTTGTCTCTCCTGTAAGATACAATTTGAGAATTAGACATTTGGAGGGAGAGATTTTCCCCAGAGCAGTCATTATCTTTCAATGTAAAAAAAAGGAAAACAGCAATACTGCCACCCAGCTATGAGGTTGGACACAGCCAGTGAGTGACCTGGAAGGAGACAGACTATTTGTGTTGCCATTTTTTCAAAAGAGGTGACAACGAGTTTGACCAAGGAGCACTGCTCACAGGATATGTGCTCCTATACTCTGAGAACAGAAAAAGAAATTGTGGTGGCCTGCCTGCGGTTCCATCAGGGTACCTGAATGGTTCTCAACTGATCTGGTTGTTGTAAGAACTGTAATTTTAAGAGTCCATATCTCATATTTAAAATCAGATGTCTCAGTCTGTGGTGCTAGTAATAATCTGCATACATCTGTGGGATGAGTCCTAGTCATCTCTCATCCTCCGTGGGAAACAGAGGATGAGAGAGGGATGCTCAGAGATAACTCAGGGTGTTCATGGTTAAGCACAGGTCAAAAGCCATATTGCTTCCCTCACTAAATCTATTTTCTTTGACATTTGGAGGGGAATACCTGTAGCAATTGCTCTTCTAAGTGGATCTTCTCCATTTCAGATTTTCTCTTGGTCTCTTCCAAAAGCTGCAGCCACCGAAATTCCTTTTGCCTGCAGTGGCATGAAAACATGTTGCAGGGAAGTACCTCGTCGTGTCAGAAAGAGAGTACCAGTCGGGCCCCCCAGCTCTCAGTCTTCAGCATAATGGTTGAACCGGCCCTGAAGTGGAGCCCTCGCATTTGAGAATGGGGTGAATGGCAGACATTGTGGTCAGGGAACCTTACCTTTTCTGTTCTTCCTCTCTAAACCTCTGAAGTCTCTCTTCCTGTACAGTTCTCTCCATCTGCTGCCTCTGCAAACTCTCTCTTTCCTCTCTGAAATGAAAAAAAATGCACCTGGTTTTCTATCAAGGGAGTACTAGGTGCTAAAGGAATCTGGGGCTTAGGTCCAAGTGGACCAAAATAAACAAAAATCTTACAAAGATTTGCAGAAGCTAAGTTACCTGTTCTCTAAAGTCTTATTTGCACATATGTGCATTTAGGGAGCTCTGCACATTTTCAGAATGCTCAAAGTTGCACAACTGCATTTGTGCAAAATCCTATTCCATCAGTAAGAGGATGATGGAATATAAGGCACTTGAGAAATTGCTACGCAAGGATGGAATGTGTTTAACAACATCCAGGCAACCTAATTTCTAGGTTAAATCAGAAATGGTGAAGCCTCTTCTTTTTAATCAGCAAATTTTCTGTCTTAACCACTTAACAGCACCTTATTCGTCTCCTGTCCTCTGGTTTTGTCCTGGAAGATGCTTTGCTTCGGATTTCCCCGTAGTTCCATGGAGGAAAAGCTCCAAGTGGAGGGAAAAGAAAGAAAGAATGAGAAACCGTAGCCCCTACATTCAAACATTTGCTAAAAGTAAAGGCACAGGAAAAGCTTACACTGTAGCAACACGCTGAATATTCATTTGGAAATGATGTTTTTCTCCTTGGCTTGTAGCTCAGGTCAGTGATAGGAATAAAATACTACCTGGCATCTAGGTTAGGGCACCAGGTTGAGAAAGGAATAGTCCTTCAAGACTTACTTTGGGTGGGGTCATGGATTGGGTAGGGGTCTTTGTACTCTCCATGCAACTGATTATGCAGTTCTTCATAGAAATATTTCCTTATCAGGTACTGGAAGGCTTCTACGGGCAAAGATGGTCCCCAGATCTTCAGTGCTGCTTCTATTTCCACCGGCTATAGCAAAAGGCAGGTAAGGTGAGTAATTTTTGTGCCCTGGAAAAGGGGAGGTGGGTTGGTGTGTGGGGCAGTACTGTTTCTATACTGCTATTGCTCTTAGGAAATCAAGTCCTTGAATTATAAATAACTGTGGGAGGAGTTAAAATAATTTAACAGAAAGCAGCACACAACACATTTTAAAGGTAAATTCAAAACAGCACCTCTTGCATTCAAAGCTGACCTTCTCCCACCAAGCATGGGTATACAAATTTGCCTACTTAGTGCTTCTGATGAAGTGGATGCTGTCCACGAAAGCATATGCCATAATAAATTTGTTACTGTTTGTGGTCTCACAAGACCTTTTGTCATTTCTGGAATAAGAAAATCATAAGAGCATCAGAAGTTCCCTTATGCAGTGTTAGGATACTGGTCAGCCTTGCTCAGGAAGGTTTCTACTAATGATGGGGAATGTGTGACCTTTCAGATCCTGTGAAGGATCCTGGGGATTTTAGTCCATGAACATCTGGAGAACAATAACGGGCCCGCCCTGGCCATCAACGCCATATTCCTGTCTTGTTATGTGGGTTGAATCTGGAACCTTCTTCACGTTAAGCAAATTCTCTGCCACTTGGCTGCAGCCTTCCCCATCTCACAGGCAGAGATGGGGCCTGGCAGATCCTGCCCCAAAGGAATTCCAGAATCTTGGACTCTCGTGGTCCATATTCCTGTCCCTGTATCATTGCCACCTTTCAAAGCCACACGCCATAAAACAATCACTGCATCATTAGATCCCAGAAGAACTAGACTGACGTACGGATTGACACTCGAGCAGCTGGCCTCTGAGGAGCAGAATTAAGATGGTGGCAAAGGCAGGGATGCAGCTGTATGACGGATGCTCGAGCCCCAGGATGATCTGGTCCCAGATAAACAGCAAAGTCCCCATACTTAAATAGCCTGCAAATTGAAAGAAAACAGTGAAGGGGAAAGGTTTTCTCTCGCTTCTCTTGGAACTTTCATGGGCAGCCAAAGCTCACAGAGCTGAAGCAGGGAGACATTTTGATGGGTGGGGCGTACACATCCCGCTCAGCCCTCTCTCTGAGCGTAAGCTGTCATTTTTGCAGTAGCTGCAGACTGACATTTCCTTGCCATGATGATGCAAAGTCTTTTGCAGTGGCTCAGTCCAGAATGGGCAAGCTACCCTTAAGTGCCATTTTTCTTGGTAGAAAGTTGGGGGTAGAAATCCAATCAGCAAGATGACAGAAAAGATCATCTGCTTTTATTCACCTGGAAGCATCTCGTACCTGCAAAGAGAGTCTCGATCGCTGGCTGGAGCATACACCTCAGCCCTTTCAGGAGAGTTTTGCTGGAGTCTTCCTCTGCAAAACAGAAACAGATGTGGGTGTCTACAGAAATAAATCAGCCTGCCCAACCCTATGCAGCATCTCATGCAAAACTGAATTTCTAGCTATCAGCTCCGTATATGCAAGAATGCAACATGTGGGCAAATCCAGAACTGTTCTTCATGGGAGATTTTTTGTGCAGTCATGATTTTCTGTCCTCAGAAGAATTTGTGGGTATTTTGCACAATGTGACTCTCCTCCAAATCCTCACCTCTGCTTTGCAAGCATTTCGCAAGGAAAAAGAAACATGAAAGAACCTCTCTTAATCCACAAAGAATCCAGAAACAGAAACCCTGGTCAAGTGGTGGATTAAAAGTCACGTGTAGAAAAACCCGTATTTTTCAGTTCAACATAAAGTATCGGCACACTTCTTAAGGTTTGTTTGGGTTTTTCTTCCTAGAAATTGGCCTGGGAGATGTGCACTTCAGCAGCGCCACCATGAAAGAACAAGTTCTAGCAACTGTGCAGGTTAACTTGGCCAAAAGAGGTTGCCTTTTGAACGTGCATCCTCTCTATCGCCACTGTTTGAGGTGGGACTCGTCTGTCTGGCTTATGTGTGCCCATGCCTCCGGACCGATTGGCAAACTTCTCCATGCAAACCACTAATGCAGCCAATAGTTTAAAATAAATGATCGGCACATTACCATATCCCAGGGTCCTTGCTTTGAGTGACTGAGGTACCTAAAGAGCACTCACCTGCCCTGGTGTAGACACTAGCAAGGAAGATCACCAGATGGCTGTCTATTCGCTCTAGCCACGAAGCAACTTCCGCCATGATGCTGGCCTGGGCAGGATCCTAGTCAGAAATCACATCTGAATAGTAAGTCAAGTTCTAAGTATTTGACATTTGTGTATGGGCAGCAGCACAAATGCTGCCCATTTAATACAACTCACTCATTTTAATAGTGAGTTGTATTAAAATTTTATGCAAACAAAAATTGTACCATTTTATACAAACCAGGCACCCTCTGCTCTACCCCAAGCTACAATTCTTCCCTTCCCAAATAAACTACGTCACCATTTTGGAAGTGGAAATGCCAGGGGCATTCTGCATGAAAGAACAGGTGCTCTCCACCACTGAGTTAAGGCCCATCCCATAATGTACAAAAGCGAGATTGTGCCATATACCTGCACAGGAGAGAGCCTAAGAAGATGAGGCCGCAGCTTCATGAGCTTTACAAATTCTTCCACCAGGAGGGCAGAAACCGAGTCCACAGAAATGCTGGGGGGAGACGAGTCCAGAATGGCTTGCAGGAGAGGCACTGGCAGAAAATACTCTTGGTTTTCCAGAGGTGTGGCCATGCCCTGAAGCTTGTGGTAATAAGACAATGCATTCCTTAGGCACCTAAATGCAACTGACAGGAGAAACCGCCTATTTAATGTCTTTGTTTGAGATATTTGTATGCCACTTAAATATAGCAAAGTCCCTAAGCAGTTCACGTACAAACATTTAAACCACAATAAAAAGCACAATATCAAAATTGATCCCAAATACAACAATACAGGGCAATACATGAGCAGTACATTTTTTTTAAAGGAGCTGCATGTTGAATGAAATTAAAAGCCAGGAAGAACTTGGGTGAAAAAGTATGTTAGCGGGTGCTGTTTGAAACCTCCTGCATTTTCTGCTTCCCAAGCTGCTGCTGGAGGTGGCATTGCTGATTCTCCATGAAAAGACATGGCACCTTCCGCACTCTGGGATATGTCTTGCCTTTGCTACCTCTTTCACGTAACGCAGCAGGGGCTGCGGTCTCTCACCATTGCTTTTTTTCAGGGACTGGAAGGTTGGCTCTGAATCCAGCAAGGCCTGGCATCTGAGAGAAATCTCTCTGTCTTTCACAGACGTAGTTTTTTTCCTTGCCAGTTGGGAAAGATAGCTCAATCTTGCTGGGAGGAGAGAAGATGAACAGAACAAGGAATGAGCAGATAGGTTATGAGCGCATTATTATTGCGTATCTTAATACGCTCAGTGTACCTCAGGTGCTGGGGAACGAGGGTAGGAGGTTGCACTTGTGGGTTGGCCACTTTGAGAACAGACTAATGGACTAAATTGGCCCTTGTTCTGAACCAGGAAGGCTCTTTTTCTCTTCTTAAGTTTTGCATCTTTAAGAAATTCCAGGTATAATTTGTGACCAGAGGATTTTGAGTGAGGTAGCAGAAACGGTATCCCTCTATGAGGCAAAAGATAGATAAATACCTTCTGTATGAGAGAGGTGCAGCCTCCAGGCAAGCTGCCGCAAATCAGCAGGCAAGGGCTGGTTAAACAGAGCACGGAGCTGTCCCTTCAGTTGTGGCCGCTCCTCCAGTAAGATCATCTGAAAAGCAGAGAATAAATAATTGAGGACTACTGAATTAAAGTGCTGTGGGTTTTCCCACTGCCCAAGTGAATTGTTAATGTCGTAACTCAGGGTTGAGCCCCAGTGCTGCAAGTCTCAGCTTCAGTCCCCAGCATCTTCAGCAGAGCTGGAAAACAATCCTGAAATGCTGAGAAGTTGCTGCCAGTCAGTGTTGGCAATACTGAACTATCTAGACAAGGCAGCTTCACATGATGGTTGGAACTGATAGGTCTTGCAATGCAGTACATCAGGAAGGCACCAGGTTGAAGAGAGCTGGTCCAGAGGGTAGTATGTCAGATAAAGCCTTGGGGTTCCTGAGTTTGAATTCTTGTTCAGCCATGAATAATCATGGATCCACCCTGCAGGGTTGTTGTGAAGATAAAATGGAGGCGGGTGTGAGTGATGACCATGCTGCTGCCTTGAGCTCCTGAGCATAAAGGTAAGCTAAAAAGCTCACCCTGATGAAATGCAGCACAGCAACTAAAGTCTCTCGGTCTACTTTTGGCTTTCCCACTTAGCTGTTATTTCAATGTCTCAGGGTTTGGCTGGCAGGCTGTGCTCTGAGCAACCATGTCGGGAATACAAAATGGCAGAATGCGTACCACCCCGTCTTTGAGGTGACTCAGCAGCATGGCTGACTTATTTTTCACCCGGTGGTCTCCATCCTGGATCTCCTGTGCGATCTGACGGTAAACCTCTTCCTCCAAGCAACGACTAATGTGCAAGATCAGGTTCTTGTAAGAGTCACCTGGAAGAATGCAGAGAACATGCTATGATGGTTTATTGCTTTTCATGGTCTCTGTCATCCAGGGCAGCTCTAGGGTGTCATGGGAGGCCCCCGAAGGCCCTCTCCTCCCGGTGGGGCCCACGGCCCAGAGCCCCCCGGGCGTTGTCCTCATTATTGCAAATGGCTTGTTTACCACGTAGACGCCCTGGCCAGGTAAGCAGGTGGCAAGCAGGGTGAGAAGGAGCCAAAGCAGCTGGTGGCCACGGCTGGCCATGAGGAGGACGATTCTCTGAGGGAGGGCAAGCGCTGTGCAGGGGAGTCCTTCTCTTATCTCCGGTTACGGACTGGAGATAAGAAAGGCACCCCTTTCCAAGCCACGGACAGAGCCAGTGTCCCCACAGGCCAGGCTGCTGAAGCCCTGCCCAGAAGTGGGTTCACTGTGTGTCCGCAGGATGTGATTGTGCGGCGTTCCTTGAGCGTACGTTCCATCGTGGCGAGAAGCAGATGCCTCACCCTACCTCCCTGGATGGCTCTGACAGCTTTCTGCAAGACAAACCCCTTCTCAGTCTCCGAGAGGTCCGGGAAGGTGTGGACGTGGCTCTCCCACAATTGCTGCTGCACGGCTTCAAACAGGCTCTCTGTGAAGCGGCCCCAGTCCTATAGAAAGCAAGCAAGAAAAGTGCATTGTTTGCAGCAAGCAGCATGGATGCAATGTGCTTTCCCTGTTGCATTTTTCATTTTGTGCATCTTTGGCACCCTAGGCTAGTATTAACAGAAAGAAGCCCCTCAAAATAGTATCAACATCACCACCACCACCATCATCATCGTCATCTTAAATTTATCTACTGCCACATAGATAGATTAAGGGCAGTTTAAGACAGATAACAATACCAGTATCCTAAACTAGTATTAACAGAAAGAAGCCCCTCAAAATAGCATCGTCGTCATCATCATCTTAAATTTATCTACTGCCACAGAAAAGGTTCTCAGGGCCGTTTAAGATAGATAATGATGACCCCCACATCCCCCCATTGCTGGCTATGTTCCCTCGGCCTTGTTCCTCCATGGGAATGTTGCTTCTGGCATAATTTTGGGGCAAAGGCGAGGGAACCATCAGCAAAAGGAAACGTGCCAGCTGCCCACTTTTGGCCGGGCAGCCGAATCGAAGGAGGTGCAGCTCTGATCTTAGAACAAAAGCCACATATAAGCAGCTCCTTCCGCCGGGATTTGCCTGAATTTTCCCAGCAACTGCCGGCCGCCCTACCGGGGACCCCTCAATGCTGCGCCGGGCTCTCTGCAGCCACATCGAAGGGCCTGGGCAGGCGGCCATCACTGTTGCTTGCTCGGAAACGGTTGCTACAACAATGTGTTGTTTGCTTTCCTTGGCCGGTTGCTGCAGAAGCGAAAAGCAGCCGCTTGGCCGGCTGTTCAGTTGGTTGTCTCACCTGCCCAAAGGTTTACCTTTCAGGGCCTGGTTCAAGGCCTGCACTCCAGGGCCTCAGGTGGCTGGCAGTGCTTCAAGGCATGTGCAGAGTGTTTTTCCCCTCACCAGCAAATAGCCACAACAAATGCCCCCTTTTAATTGGTTCACACTCTGAGCTTGGTAGGCCTCTGCTTTGGCACTCCTGAGGCAATTTTTAAGCAAAGAAGTATTTTTATTTAAAGTATTTTCCCCATATCATTGCATATCCACGGTCAAAATGGCTCTGATGTCAAATGGCTGCCATTTGGATGTTCTCTCACCCTCCTGATGCCCTCAGTTATGTTTCCATTATGGTGTAGGTTTATTTTAGTTTATCATTTTTATTGTATACTGCAATGTAGTATACAATTGTTAGAATACAATACGGCATACATTTATTGTATTTATGTGTTTTAGATAACATGTAGTATGCAAACATTTTGAAACAAAACTTGCGTTGGTTCAGATTTACTATTTTATAAACAGCTGCTTAGAAACAAGCCCTGCTTGAGTTCCCTGGTACCTATGTAAGACTAGATTATACTCTAAAAATATAGAAATATTTATGAGAGTTCCTTCCAAGCATGTGCAAAGTGCTTGCTGCCTTATTGTCAATATGAACTCAATCTTCACATCCTCAAGACAGGATAAATGGTTTCCAGGGCAGAGAATCTATTCCTTTTGTTTTAGAAAGAGTGTTTAATTCTTAAAAATCAAATGTTATGTTTGAAGAAGTGTCTATATTCAGGGAAAGAAAGAAAAAAAAATAGATGTGAGATAAAGGCCTTACTCTTTAAAGAGTGAAGCTTTTACTTCAAATTTGATATATTATTTTCCCTTTAGAGGAAGAATTTCAGTTCTGAGGTAAAAGTTTTATTTTGTATTTGTTTAAAGAACAAAGATTTTACCTCAGACCTGATCTATTTTTCTCCCTTTAGAAAAAGAATGTCAGCTCCAAGGTAAAAGTTTTACTTTGTATTTGTTTAAGGAGTGAAGATTTTACCTCAGAAGAATTTCAGCTCTGAGGAAAAAGTTTCATTCTGTGTTGATTTAAACAGTAAGGTTTTTACCTCACTTCTGATATTTTTCCTAATATGTATATCTGATATATCTTCCATATAGATGTGCGTGTGTAGAGAGTGAGAGAAAAAAATGAAAGCCGCAGACTTATTGGCCTTTGTTTTTTATTCATTTTATCCCAAATTTAAGCAAAACAAAGAGTGTGCAGAGCCTACCCTCCCAATCTACCACCAGATTTTCAGTAACTTATTTATATCCCACTTTTCCCCCTCTTGTGAGGAAAGCTTGTGTTGCAGCTCCGAGCTCACACTCAAAGCTCACACTCCTCCTTAAGAGCGAGATTACAACCTTTTCAGAATGGGGGGAAAAGTGTTTAAAAAAAAAAAAAAAGCTGGAAAACCACCCAATGTCTCACGGTCTGGAGAATCCCCCATGAGGACTAGAAACTTGCACTGCATACTCAAACCGTTGTGCTTTATGCACAAACACTGAGATACTCGTGCCGCTGCCTATCCACTGCAAAAGGCCCACAAGATAAGCGGCAAATGGGGACGTGCCCTGATCTCAAGGGCTTGGTGGCGTCATTGAGTTTTATTGATTGATTTATATCCTGCCTTTTTCCTACAAAGGGCTCAAGGCAGCTGACATCATTCTCCTCCTCCATCTTATCCCCACAACAACAGCCCTGTGAGGTAGGTTGGGCTGAGAGTCTGTGACTGGCCCAGAGTCACCCAGTGGGCTCCATGGCTGAGTGGGAACTTGAACCTGGATCGTCTGAGTCACAGTCCCATGCACTTAACCACTACGCCACACTGGCTCTCCAGGCCTGCGACGTTAGTTCGCATGGCGGTTTTCACTTCCTCTTTCATCTTTGCTCGTTTTGGGGCGGAAAAGCAGTGCTCGTTTTTTCAAGGCATCGGCTTGGCGGGGCGTGTTTCTGCTTGGCAGGGCCGTCTCCGGCCCTGTGTCTTCCGGGGCCTTTCTGCAGGGTCTTGTGACAGGCACGGGCGCAGCGCTGCGGGCAGAAGCAGCTTGCAAAACCTCGTTGCCTCCACCTTGGGCAGGCACCGGTTAACTAGTCAGATGCTCTGCTTTGGAGCGGTAGCTGCAGCATCCGCCCGGGCTCCGCTAAGATCCCATTTCTTTTTTCCCTGGGAGCCGCTGCTTGTGGCTTTGCTCCAGAGCTGCAATGTTTATGCTGCTTGTGTGATGCATCCGCTTTGGAATCTATAAATCATTCGTTGCAGCTCAGCCTGAGCAATGAGCAGCCCGCTCTCTGGTTTGGGTGGATTCGCTGAAGGTTGAGTTCGGGCTTCTCCACCCTTTTTCTTCCTTATTGCTTTGACAGATCTAGCAGCGTCAGAAGGCCTGTAAAAGCAGACGTGCTCCTGCCTGCTGTCAAAACCCTGATTTTTATTTGGATCAACAGGATATTGGGAGGCCTTGGCATTAAGAGAGAATCCCGACTGTGTAGTAGGTATGTTACTAACTCGTTATCTCATCCGGCAGTGAAGCATGCAGGGCCTATTTAGAGCCAGGCTTCAGCCCCAGAGCCCGTGGGTTCAATTTTAAATGCCAAAATGTTGGCTGGAAATGCTTGGACCAAGGACAAAGGCAAGAATACACCAGAGCATATGCAGAATGCTCATTTTGTGCTGCTGTCAAGCCCACACATAACTGGGATTAGGCAGGATAAGCAAAACGTCTGGAAGGCCACAAATTGCCCACCTCTGGATTAGGGGGTGGTCCAGCACCTCTTCCTTGCCTGTTTTTACCTAAGTGGTATTGAGGGAGGTGGGGTGAGCACTCGTTTAGTCCTTTGATGAGTGGAGCATCTAGATTGGCCTTCATCTTGACTTCACATTTCCCACTTGCCATTTCTCGATTTGCAGAAGCATTTTGCGAATGTAAGGCGAAGCCCCACTGCACCCTCCCCGCAGAAAGCCCCAGACAATCCAATTTGGATTGAAGCTGCTTGGAGGCAATGGTATTTGTTGTATTGTCTGGAAAAAAAGAAGAAAACTGGAGGAAGAGGAGGAGGAGTTCTGCTTAGGTAAAACGGTTGAGAACCTCCAGCTAGAAACACGCCTCTCCAGAAGTGAGAATATGTGGCAACAGTTTGCAGCATATCTCAGAAGGCCAGAGACCCTCTTGAGGCTGCTGACAAGTTAATGACAGAAGTAAGAGTTGAGCCAGGGCTTTCCACATTCATAGCATGAGGCATATTCCATCGTGCTAAATCCCTCCACGTGCAAGAGCTGTCTCCTAGAAAAGTGTGCAGATATGGATACAAGTGCTACAGCCATCTTGTGCATGCTTACACAAAATCAGCTCCACTGAGTTTGTAGGGCAGAGGACACGGAGATGGGCCTCCAAGAAGATTGATACCAACACAGGTAGAGGCTGTTTATTAAATGTCTATCCCAGCTGCTGTTCCCAGGTGGGCCCTCTTCCAAGCACTGACCAGGCCCAGCCCCACTTAACTTCAGCAAGGTAGCTCCCTCTCACATCTTCAGTCCAAATCTTCTCTCCAGGACAGCAAAATTCCATCCTAGGGAGGAGCGTCAGAAACTTGGCCTCACTTTTTCTTTTTACGGTTCACAACTGTGCCGCTACACTGAGGTCATATTCTGCCTTAACCCATTCTTCTTCATTGTGCTTTGTTCTTCTGTCAGCATCTTTGAGTGAAAGATGAAGAGGAGGATTTTAGAGACGTATGATGGCACCACCGATGACACACAGGCCGCTGGAGATGATGGAGAGAAACAGCCCCTGGAGACCCACTTCCAGGAGGAGAGGCGCCCTTCCCCAACCATTAAGCTTGACCTTGTCGCTCTAGGACTGGCGGAGTAAGAGACGATCTTAAGGAATCAACCCTTTGTTCTGTGCACTGTCATGTCTCCCAAATTTCTGACGTGTCCCATAAGTCCCTCCACTGTTAATTTATTTATTTTTTATTTAAAATATTTATATGCCGTCCTGTCGCAAAAGCCTCAGGACGGCTTACATAAATTTATTTTACAATTTATTTATTTATATAATTGTTTATATGCCACTTTGCAGTCCTGTACTTATGGCCTCATATCTCTGAACTGGCAGGCATATATAAGGAAACAAACAAAAGGAAGGGTGTAATTGGGTGCAAGTTTGGACAGAGGGAAGTCTTAATTCCCCAGCCAGCATAGGAAAGAAGCCCTGCAGTTCGCAGCATTCTCCAAGCAGCCAGTCCTCATATTTTGCAACTGGGGCATGCCTGCAGCTGTAGGACCTTTTTCTGTTTGAACATATGTAGAGTTGCATCTTAATTTTTAAAAAGAAAGAACTAACTTAGGGTACTTTCAGGTGAGGCTCTTACCATGTCATTTTGCTTTTCTTCCACAGTCCAAATGACCCAAACCGTTTCAACAGGAACCGCCTATTTGGGGCCATCATGAAGGGGAATCCAGAAGAACTGGAAGGTCTGGAAGACTATTTGAGAAGAACCCACAAATTTCTCACCGACACTGAATATACAGGTAGATGTGAAATCTTTCCTCCAAAGGCCAGCCTGTCTTTTGCTTTCTTCTCTTTTATAAATGCTCAGTCAAACATAAATAGGCAGGCTTTCAGGCTTCACAGAACTGTTTTTTGCAGAATAGCAGAAGGCCACTGAGTGCATTGAACAGAAAGTTGGAGATGTACAAATTATGAGGAAATTATATCACTCTGAGAAAATTGTACTATTTACTGGCTGTACTATTGTACTATTTAATGACTCCCCTAAGGCAAATCAATCAACTGAAGCCTAGTTGGTTAAGAGCACAAGCGCAGGCATGTTCAGACAGAAAAAAAACTGGACAACTTTCAGTATACCCCAGTCAGTCTGAAAAGAAGGTCCTAAAATGCCCCATGGACCCCAGACAAGCAGAAAAAATATCTTCTAACTCCCAGGATGACTGGTGTGTGATGTAGGCCTTTTTTTTTTGTCTAAACATGCATAGGATTTCACCCTTAAACTAGAACATGGTGGCATTGTTGTTACTTTGACTCCATCCCCATTGCCTTTGAGCCTGCCCTATCCTGGGGAGAACTCCCCTGAAATGGAATTTAACCGTTGCTCGGCCAGTGATCTGACTCAGGATGCAGCAGTGAAAACCTGGGTGGAAAACCTGCATTCTGTTATTGCAGTCCTGGGTTGTCTCCAGTCTTATTTGGAGATAACCTTTGGTTAGACTTGTGTTTGGATATAAGCGAAGGGTCAAATCTTTCTCTTCCAGATGGCATAACAGGCAAAACTTGTTTAATGAAGGCTGTTCTGAATCCAAAAGATGGGCTGAACCCCACCATTCCCCTGCTGCTGGAGATAGACAAGCGAACTGGGAATTCACCGGCACTGATCAGAGCTGAATGCAAAGGATACTATAAAGGTGAGAAATCCCAGATGGGCGGAAAGATACAGCGGTGACATCTTTCAACAGAGCATAAAATAGAGGTGGCCAGATTAGCATTATCCAGGCAGATACAAGGTAGAACAAGATGTAAATAAGCATTTGGAAATTTGTAAAAATGGCTATAATTGAAACAAATTAATCTCCCTGCAAACAGGGGGACAGTTGTGTGTGTTGTCTGGGAGCTGACAGTGAATGAGAACTTCAGAGGTCCTGGGCCAGCTTGCCTTAGCACTTTTGTGTTTAAACTAGACTTGCGCCTGAGCAATTCTGCAACAGGAGTGCCCTCCCCGAGTCTGGTGCCACTGCCAACCATGTGTAGTCCAACGACTTGGCCTGGGAAGGGAATATTCTCGAAGGAAAAATGAGCACCTCCCTGGAGAACCAGCAAGCACTGCTCTCGGAATAAATACCCTACTGTTTAGTTGCAGGGAGTTTTGAACCCTGTTCCTTCTGCTAGTGGGACGTGCTTTTGTGTTGGTGTGTTCCTTAGCATAGCCAGGTTTTTCTGTAGTCTGTTTTCCCCATTCGGTTGCCCTCTAAATGCATCAGCAGAGAACTCCCAGCGTCCCTCCACACACCTGGAGGGTGTCACATTGAGAAAGCAAATGTCTTGTTTCCCAAGCTGTGGGAATTTGTGTGCGGCACTTCACATCAGCCCTGTGCTCACCTCTTCCTCCTGTACCACTTTTATTTTTCCTCAGGGCACACGGCACTCCACATTGCCATCGAGAAGAGGGATTGCAATTTAGTTAAGCTTCTGGTGGAGAATGATGCAGATGTCCATGCCAAGGCATGCGGTCTCTTCTTTCAGCAGCAAAACAAGGGGGCGTGCTTCTACTTCGGTAGGTGATGCTAAATGTGCAAGTCTCGTTTTACCAGGGCCTGAATTTAACAGTTTTTAAAAATGCTTTGTGCTTCTCCAAGGAGACTCCTCCTGGCAAGTAACCACACCACAATAAAAAGTCAAAACCTTCTTTGGCAGCAGAATTCACCAAAAAGCATTCCTGAATAGAAGCATCTTCAGCTACGAGTGGAAGGACTGCACAGGAGCTTGGGATTATCCATCCTTCTCCCGTAGAGCTCTGACTTTGGCTGTTTGTCCTGTTGGCTGTGCATCAGAGGTGTCATGGCCCTTGTGTGGACAGAACGCCAGACTCTTGCTCTGATTCGACATGGCTTTTCTTCTGTTCTCCTCCAGGCGAGCTTCCTCTCTCCTTAGCTGCATGCACCAACCAGCCAGATATACTCCGTTATCTCCTGGATAACCCTCACCAGAAGGCCAGGCTGGATGAGCGGGATTCCCTGGGGAACACAGTCTTCCATGCTTTGGTGATGGTGGCTAATGACACAGAGAAGAACACGGAGCTCGTGATCAGGATGTATGATGAGCTCTTGAGGGAAGGTGCCAGGATCAACCCAACATTGAAGATGGAGGAGATCACCAACAAGGAAGGGTTAACCCCCATCAAATTGGCCGCCAAGATTGGCAAAGTGGAGGTAAACCAGGGGGTTGCTCTTCTCCCACTATATATGAGTGCCATCCTCCAGAACTCAGTCTATTTCAGTGATGCTAGGGAATTTCACCTGGTTCATTTTTCATCAGAAAACAGTCCAAACACTTGCAAAATTCTTCACATCCAAGTCAAGAACTTGGAAGTGAAAACAGTTCTATTTCTAAATGGCAGTTAAGTAAAACTGACAGCTGTACATAGAAAAGAAATATTTTAAAAATAGAAATTTGGGGACCCCTAATTTGAAATGCTGAAAAGGTCACTTTGCATTCTGACTTTGCCCTGTACCGTTGCTTGTCTCTCCCAGTTTATTCATAGAATAAATTAGAGGGAATTATAAAAAATCCTGCAGAACATGGGCCTTAAATCCAATTCTTGCCACAGAATTTGACCTACTCTCTTCCAGACTACAGTGACCTTACCCTTCTTTTATAAACAGCACTCCTAGAAATAAAATGATGCTTCCATATACCTAGTGCAGGGATGTTGAAACTCATTCAGCTTGTGCTGAATTCCATTTCAGTGAAACTCTCCAGTGGTGGGTGCTCATTTTTTAATAATTATTTTTCCCCAAGTGTACTAGAAATGAAGTTAATAACAATATATGCAGTTTAAAGGGAGCATTTCTGCAAATATGTGCATTGCATATGCCTGTCCTTAGGAATATATGCATTTTGTATGCATTTTCTTTTCTTTTTTTTTCCTGGCCAACTCCAGAAACATATGAATCTCAGTGGTAAACTGCATTCCAGTTTGTGTTGAAGTTTGGGAACTTCTTATAGAAATGCAGACCGAACAAATTTCTTACCCATCCCTACTTTTGAGTTTTCAGAATGCTGTAAATACACTGACCTGGTTGTAGAGAGTGACAGCAATTCCTGGGTGGTTTAATCCAGGGATAATCAGAGAGTACAAGCTTCACATTTCCTCATTTCCATTTTTTAAATTAACAATGTGATATGCAGACCTGGAAACTCTGCATTAAAGTAGGTTAAACAGAGAGTTAAGTCAACCAGAAATCAAAATGAATTGTGGGTTAACTCTGGGTCGTTTATCCCATATATAATGCAGAGTTTGCGTGTCGTGAAAGAACCCAGTACGAGGATTATGCAGTATTCCTGGGTGGACAATGAAAAGTATTATTATTAGAACATTTCTATGCCAGAAAGTAGAAACAAAATGCCCGCAGGAGGCATCAGCTGTGTTGCTTTGCTCATCCCCAGCTGCACCCATGATATGTGCAAAGCAGTGACGTATTTTTACTGCAAACATATGCAAACAAACAAACAAACTGGTATCAGCGTTTCCCCATATAGCAGACGGGGGCTGGGAGGGAATCATGTGCTTCAGGAAGCTAGCGACTTCTTAACAGAGATCGTATTTGCACGAGGGCATCTCAGTTTCATAGTCTGACCATTAAATCACATGCTGCAGTGCTGTCTACCCATTTTCTCTCCTCTAGATCTTACAGCACATTCTTCGCCGGGAGATCAAAGATCCTAGCTTGCGTCATTTGTCACGCAAGTTCACTGAATGGACGTATGGGCCAGTCCATGTTTCCCTCTATGATCTGTCTGCCATCGATAGCTACGAGGAAAACTCTGTGCTGGAAATCCTTGCCTACAGCAGTGACACCCCAGTGAGTCATCAAAAAGAGCATCAGTACTTCTTCCATTGTGGGGCTCACACTCATCTGGTGCCATCTTCCTTTTCTTTTCAGCCCTGTGCAAAAGAACCCCTGTACCATTCTCTAAAAATGCCTAGACCACTTGGACTGGGCCAATTGGTTTTAGTTTTACGTAAATACTGGGCTAGATGAATGGTATTCTGAGCCAGTGAAAAACAATGGTGGTTCTCTTACGGACATCTCCTTTCGATGGCTATGTACATTACTTGAGTTGTGAAACATGAGTTACTTTTCTCCCCCTGCCCCCACCCCCCAGTCACCATTCCAGGCTTGAAAACTGTGCTTACATTTCTAATATTTTAGAACAGCAGCAAAGCTGCTTGCCAACTGTTTGCCAGTTTGAAACAAAGGCTGAAATTTGGGGATGTGCTGTTTTGCTTTTTAAACTCTCTTAGATCAGAGCACCGTTGTGACTACAGACATAAAACGGAGGGTTCTGATGACCTTCTTATTTGCCATTCCCTGGAGAGGTCATAGGGTGGCTGTAGGGCCCTGGACTTAGGTCCAAGTTTCTGCCTTGGTTTGCAGGACTAGGCAAAAGCCAGTTTTTTATGTTCTTTACTAAACATTCTGAGCATTTCTCAGAAGTTGAGAAGGTGGTAGAGAGGCAGAAGTCATGACACTTGGAATCGATGTGTTTCCTTTTTCCCTTTCTCTCTCTTGCCCTTCCCCGCACATGCTCAGAATCGGTACAATATGGTGGTTTTGGAGCCCATGAACAAACTGCTGGAACAAAAATGGAATGGCTTTGCCGCCAAGCGATTTTGTGCTAGTTTTTTTTGCTACCTCGCATTCATGGCCATCTTCACCATCGTTGCTTACTATCGACCTCTGGATGGAAAGGTAAGAGCCATTTTGGGGAGAGGGCGAGAAAAAGGGGAAGGGACAATTTCTGGAAGCCATTCCCCAAATATTGCCCTAAGGTTGGATTGGATTATGGTTCCCATTATTCCAGAGGTAGCCCTACAGCCTCTCCCATATCAATCACATTGCACGCCTTCTGCCTGAGCTTGCACATGTATGATTGCACCGGAGTGTTTCGCTTTTCTGACAATATGTGGGTGCCCTTAACCCACCAAGTTCAGAGAGTTGTGTCAGCCTTGTTGGCATACACCCCAAAGTGACAGTTTGCGGTCCTTTAATGGAATGCAGGTGGCGCAGTGGTTTAAACCACTGTGCTGCTGGGCTGGTAGATCGAAAGGTTGCCGGTTCGAATCTGCACAACAGGGTGAGTTCCCGTTGCTCCGTCCCAGCTCCTGCCAACCTTGCAGCTCGAAAGCATGCAAATGCAAGTAGATAAACAGGTGCCACTTTGGTGGGCAGGTAACAGCGTTCCGTGCACTTCAGTGTTTAGTCATGCCGGCCACATGACCACGGAGACTGTCTGCGGACAAACGCTGGCTCACTTGGCCAGGAAACGGAGATGAGCACCACCCCCGAGAGTCAGGCATGACTGGACTTAACGTCAAGGGGAAACCTTTACCTTTAATGGTGGTCCAGATCTGCTCTTTCAGGTGGGCCTTTCACCTTTCCCTGCAGAATCATACCGTTGTCCCTGAGCCCAGGTGAAATACCTTCAATTCGTGTAGATGCAACCTGGGGGAGGATTCTGGTGAGCCGACTGGGTGTCCTTCTCTTCCATTAGTCTCTCTCTCCTCACCTGCCCCAACATCTTTGTCTCCACAGCCTCCTTTTCCCATTTCATTTACTGCTGGGGACATACTGATACTTATTGGCCAGATCGTTGTCTTAACTGGAGGTGTTTATCTCATGATTGCTCAGGTATGGCACACCAGACCTCACAAGAAGGCTTATGCCACACTTATACAAAATGAGTCCTGAAACATTCCTAAAGGAGCCACTAATTCTTAAAAGAGTAAACAACTGTGGACACGGTGGCTTGGTTCAGACAATGCAATCATCCACACTCGGGTTGAATGTGGTTTGTTGTTGAACTGTGGTTTGTTGCTGAAACATGGGCTATCTTGCTGTCAGAACCCCGAAATATATAAGCTACTGATAAAGGGTGGAAGTGTTTACTGGTGAGTACATTTTGAAATGAATTTGTTGTTGTTCTTTTGAGTAATACAAGGACTTATACAATGCATTGTTTGGCTCTCCTTCTAAATGCCTCACATTCCAGAGATTTTTCTGGGCAGCTAATTCTATCTACCCTTCTAACCACTGCCCAGGCCTCAGAAGCATCAGAAGCGCCTTGGTTTTGCTAACCCTAACCCTACCCTGGATTTCCCCCATAGCCCTAAAATAGGGGCCAAACCCCCAAGCAACATGCCGATTTCTAAATGCCTCAAATTCTGGAGATTTTTCTGGCCAGCTCATTCTATCTACCCTTTGTAAGCTATTCCCAGGTCTTGGAAGCATCCCCACCTCATGGCATTTTGCAGACCCAGATCCCGGGCATGGACCTTTCAGCCTAAAATTAAGGTTAGGGTGAAAATCCAGGTTAAGGTTATGGTGAGAAAACTTTTTACAGGGAGTTAAAGACTGAAAAAATAAGGAGGTCACTGTTGCCTTCATCTAACACTGTTCGTCTAACACTATTTTTGTTCATTCACCTAGAGCTTTTACCTTTGGAGGAGACGTCATTCCTGGAAGAGTCTGCTCAGAGATGATATCATCCAGATATTTCTGTAAGCAGGGACGCGTATTATGTGCGTACAGCTGGTAGAAATTTGGAGGCTGTTGGCCATGTGCAATCACAGCTTTCCTAAAATCTTTGCTTCTCCACTGATTTGGGGAGACGTTCTCATGCGTACACGCTGGGTTCTCTCATGCCAACACAACTAATGGATTTATTCGTTTGTTTAGCAGGCAATTCTGTAGTGATGGAGACAAGCCTCTAAACGTATTTATTATATTCTAGGGTGGACTCACAATGAACCGCAAAAGAATAAAATACAAGGGCTAAAAACAAAACGGGAAAAATGTACATGTTGCAATAAAGCAGGGAAAATCAAAGTGCCAGTATTAAGTGCTCCAATCTGAATGGAATGCCGGGGTTTTTACCGGCATCTGAAAACGGATGATGGGCGAGGCAACTAAAGCAACATGGTGAGGCAATTCCACATTTGAAGGCTTAAAGCCTCAAGTTCTTTCTTTCTCACCTATGAAGTGCTTTGCCAGTTGAAATAAATTCTGACTGAAATGATCGGAAACAGAATAATCATCCTGTGCAGCAGCAAAACTGAGCAGGTACCGATGTTTGCAGATGGGTGGGGAACCATGACCTGCATGCTGTGCATCCTTTCCCGATGAGGCATATGCCAGGAAAAAAGCAGCAGCAATTCTAATTCAGTAGTAGCAGGAACTGAATAATCAGAGGCAAGCCCAGATTTTTTAAGAGCAAATCCCTGGTAGCCCTGATTCTACATGGACTAATTTCTCATTTTTGGTCTATTTCATATTCAGTATTTTTCAATCTCAAGTTCCTTCTGTTCTACTAGGAAGAAATTCATAAATGTTGGTACATTCTGGTCAGCTTCTTCACCCCTCCATAGGCATGGCTGTCTGAAAATCCCTGTGTGGAAAAGCTTCTGGCTCACCTAAGAAACTCTGCAATGCACTCATGTTTCTTCTGTGCTCTCTAGGTCACTCTTTTCCTTTCCCTCTCCTGTTCCTACAGGTTGGTGCAGTCGCTTGTCCTGCCTCTTTCGGCAATAATGTACCTAGCAGGGTCGGAAGAATACGTGTCTTTGATGGTTCTCTCACTGTTGCTGGGCTGGGTGGACTTGTTGTATTACACCCGCGGTTTCCGGCAGACAGGAATCTATATCGTCATGATACAAAAGGTTGGTGTTAAAGAAATTCATAGCTTAGCTTCCAGGAAAGTCACACTTCTTACCTTGGCAGCCTTGCCTTCCCCTACCACTTCCCAAATCTCCATTATAGCTACTTTCCCTTTGGTGAATTTACAGGCAATCCTGGCTTACAGGGAAAGGTCACCATGAGGTGACTAGCCATGTGCCTTTAAGCAGCAAGCAAGAATTCAAGTCCCATTTCCTGCTGCCTGCCCTGTCAATGGGTCTTTGAGCCAAGGTGACCCTGTTGAATATTCCCTGAAAGGCAAGATGTGAAATGCTTTCCTTTTGTGACAGCATTTCCCAAATGGTTCCTCAGACATATTTGCATATTTAAGCAGACACACAGATGCTGACCTGAACTGTCAAGAATTTATTGTAAAGCAATCAGTAATATTTTCCATGCTATTGTTACCAGTATTTCTGATCAGTTTAGAACATTACGTCATTGCTTAAAGACATCGAGATCTATTATACTAACATTATCTGGAAACTTAATACTCTGTATTGGTGTATGTGACTAGCAGGTTATAAAAATGTCTGTACATGGGCTGTGATTTTGTAGTTGAGTTCACCTCTATCCTTGAACACAGTGCTTTTAGTTACTGCAGGAACTGGGGCCCCGATCAATAAAACTGCAGAGGTTCAGATGTTTAGATCTTCCCCATGAATCTGAATGTCCATTTCTCACAAATTGAAATCCGGGATTCTGTCAGTTGGGAGAATCCTGTGGGTTGTAGTATGTTTTCCAGTTCAGTGTGCCCTTGCAGTATCGGAGAAGAGGGCCTTAACAACTTCTGCCTTGCTCTCTTTTCCAGGCGATCCTGAGGAACCTTTTGTGTTTCCTCATTGTCTATGCGATCTTCCTCTTCGGCTTTACAATAGGTGAGTCTTTCCTTATCCTTCCGGTAACCACCCAACCCAGGAACAAACAATTAGGCAGAAGGAGGAGAATTAAGAGCAGGGGAAAGAAAGAGAGGGATACAGAGTTGACTGGTTGCTCAGGTGAGAGGTGGGATCGTAGCCTGGAAGCACTTTACAGGTGACGGGAGCCAGACAAAACAGTAGAGGAAAGTATTGTGCTTCTGTGAGCTGATGGAGAAACAAGATTAAACAGTACCGTGGGGTGCAGCCTGATGCATGATTAGACAGAAAAGGCCTTCACTCCCATCCGTGTTCAGGTAGAAAGCAGTCCGACTGTTCCCAGCATTCTCCAGCCAGCATGGCCGAGCACCTGCGTGGTTTTCGATCTGTTTCTGAATTGCCCTTCATTCATCCCAGCCCTCATCATCCTCACGGGCGAGGCCTCCCTGCCAGCCCAGAATGAGTCGCTCCAGCTCAACAGCAGCAGCAGCGGCAGCGGCGGCAGCAACAGCAAAGACCAACCCATCTACTCTGGACTGTTCAGAACGTCCCTGGCATTGTTTAGGTTCACCATCGGGATGGGTGACCTGGAGTTCCACGAGAACATGCAGCGCAAGTACTTTGTGATGGTTCTGCTCCTCCTCTTTGTGATCCTCACTTACATCCTTCTCTTGAACATGCTGATCGCTCTCATGACCGAGACAGTCAACAACGTCTCTGGATCCAGCCAGAGGATATGGAAGCTCCAGGCAAGTGTAACACTGCCCCTTCCTTCAGATTAGGGGAGCAGGGGAGAAATTCACTTGGCATGCATTTTAATGCAGATCTACCTAGCCCTTCTTTCCTCTGGCAAGGAATCCAAGACCATTTACATGGCCTTTTCCAGTTTATTTTGCAACGATGCTGTGAGGTGGGTAAGGCTGAGGGTCAGTGACTGGCCCACGTCACCCAGGGGGCTTCATGGCCAAAAGGGGACTTAACACCTGGGTCTCCAGTGTCCCGGTCCACCACTCTAACCACTACACCACACTTGGCAGTGGCGTATTCCACTGATTTATTTATTAGATTGATATCCTGGTTTTTTCTTATGAATGCAAAGCGACTTACACTGTTCTCCTCTTGACCTGGCTCTGCTTCCGCACAGGCTCCCAGCCCAGAACCTCCCAACCCCATGCAGGTTGCTTCCACTTGGATGCCCCTCTCTGGCAGCTCCCCGGCGCTCAGCCCTGACATGGAGCAAGGCCGTGGGAAGCAACGGTGAAATGCTAACCTCTGTGCCATAAGTCATGTTTCTCTGCCTTGTATTTGCAGAGAGCTATTGCTATTCTGGAGATAGAGAAGAACTGGTTTCGGTGCTGGAAGCATTCACCAAGGTCTGGCTGCTTGCTCTCTGTTGGCTCAGAAGGAAAGAAAGATGAGAGGTGGTTTCTTCGGTAAGTTAGGCCAGGCCTCAAGCTGGAGCAAATCCACAGGCAGATCTATGTGATCTTACACCACAGCTGAGGCTGTTCATGGAGTTCGTATGTTAAAATATTAGTGTAGTACCCCCCACACACACACACAAAACAGGATGACATCCCCTTGTCCTGATACAAAAACCGGAGAAAAACTTGCATCTTGTGTCAGTGCACAGCATTCCCTCCAGCCCTTTCCCAACACTCCCTTCCCACCATGATCTGCCTCTTGACTCGCTCAACAGTAGGGCTGGCCCTGTCCGTTATAAATGGTTAGGTTTAATCACGCTACAGAATGGAGACAGGCACCGGAACAATGAAGAGGTGAACCACGAACACAAGGAAAGCAATTCATGCATTATGTCAGAGAAGCAAATATAATGAAGCATCGTTCTATCTCTGCCTTCCAGGAAGAACGACATGGCAAGGTGGATACCAAACTTGGTACCCTGCATCATTCAGAGAAGTGGCAGCTGCCAGGGTGCCCATTTCAGCCTCCCCTGCCAAAAAGAACACACACAACAATTTTGAAACAAAGAACTGGTGTCTGAGCTTTGCTGTTTTTCCCTCTTCCATCCCAATCATTTTTCCTATTTGTCATGTCTTTTAGATTGTAAACAAGAGGACAGGGACTTTCTCTTCATAAGCTGCCTTGGGTGCCTTTTTTGGTGCAAGAGTCGGGTAAAAATGCTGCCAATAAATTAAAAAATATATTGAAACTGAAAACTAATAAATTCAAGCTTGTATTTGAGCTCTACACTGTCAATGTAACAAGCCTCTCCAGTTCATTAACAATTTACTCCATAGCAGTGAGAAACAATAACATGAATTCAAACGAATTCAATTACGCTCCATCCAAAAAATTCATTTCGGTTAACAAACTAATAAACATGTTACAATCATTACAAACCAAACATTTCAGTGCCGCTGAAATGGCATTTAATGAGCATCATAATTTCGCACTCAGATTTCACAAACAATGGCAATCATGCACTTGTCTATTCGGCAATTTGTCTCGCAATTTTCCATGGGACATATACTCCAGGTCAGTTTGCCGGATAAGCAGTGCATCCATCAGGTGTACATCAGCACATGAGCTGAGAATTAGGATTCAGAGAGTAACTTGTCACTTTTGTGTGTCTTTTGCAGAGTCGAAGAGGTAGATTGGGGAAATTGGAAGAAAGAGCTGGGAGTCCTCAAGGAAGAGCCTGTATCCAATAATCCTGAAATGGGGACACCAGGTAACAGCAAACATAGTGACCAACTCAGATAAGCTTTCAGTCCTGGCTTCTGGAACACTAATGCATAATCAGGGAGCCTTGGAGGTGTCATGTGAAGCTATATGGAGCTTATGATGCAGTACCAAAGTGTCCTGCATAGCTTTTGGTTTCATTTGCCACCAGGTGACGATGTTGCTTTCCTCAGATCAGAAAACTGATTTTAATTGCAAAAGACTCTGTGGCAGAGTGTGTTGTAGGGACACAAAGCTGGGTTTGGGTGGTTTAAAAAAGTGCTTTTGACTTTTTTTTGTGCTTTCTGAGCTGAACAGATTTTCTAAAATGGTATTCCTATAAGACAGTCGTGTTTGCAGAGAAAAGGGGGGGTGTATGGGTGGGGGAGGGGGAAGCTGGTTCAGGCACTCAGGACTTACGCTGCTCCTGGGCTGCCTGTCCCCCTGTGAGACAGCCCTGATGGGTGGCTTTCTCTTTCTTTCTCTCCTGCTCCAGTGGAGATGCTACTGAGCAGGCTGGTACGGCGGAGAAGCAAACGGCCTTCAGTGGTAGAAGAGGAAAATAGTTGCATGCCTTCAGCTGCTGCACGAAATGAAACCACACAGAGGATGTGAGGAATTGCCTAGGTCATTCGACCACAGTCTAGGCTGAGTGTCCTTAAATGGCATGTTGATCTTCTTTGTAACATCACCCGACCACAACAGGAGCAAGAAAAGGCACTGCCAAATCAGCTACGGAGACAGTAACTCAGGAAAAGTTTGCAGGACAGACGCATTTGGAGGAATGTGTTTTAGGATATCCCATCCAACAAAGGTTTTGGCCCTTTAGATGATCCCTCTGAAAGAAATTCAGCACCTCTCATCAACCCCTCTCCACAGGCCTCCAAAGATCTTGATGCTCCCTCTTTGCTTCCATTTAGCAAGCACTGAATGGCTTTACCGCTGCCACTTTGCTTCTTCCCACACATGAATGTAACCCTCCAGATGTTCGGGGCTACAACTGCCAGCAGCCCCAGTCAGCCCAACCAGTGGATGATGGTTGCAGCTGGCCCAAACTTCTGGAGGGCATGAGGTGCTACCCTGTCTCTGTGAACTCCCTGAATTTGGCTACTCTCCTTTTGAAACCGTCCAGATGAATTGCCAGCTCATCACCACCATTCACGGTGGTGAGTTTCATAGTTTAAATTTGTGCTGGGTGAGGAAGGTCTTGCTCTTGCCTGTCCTGCATCTCCCACCCTTTCGTTTCATGGGATGATCCTGCTGGGTTTTGGTGTTATGACAGGAAGTCAGAATCCTCTTCCTTGCCCTTCTGCCCGATGCGTAATTTTATTAAGTCCTGCGATTTCCACATGCCAACTCCTATTTAATAGAGGGAATTGGCTCGCCTTTAAGGGCACAGCCTAATGAATTCAGGACAGAACTGAGTGAGGATATCCAGCTTATGTCAAGCAGTCAAGGCAAAGGTGAGGCAGGCAAACCTGAATCATCTTGGCAGAACATTTGTTGTTTTTTTATTGTTTTGTGCTGACAAGTCATCCCTAACTTTCGGTGAGCCTATCAGTGAATGCCCGGCTCAGCTCTTGCAAGAATTAGTAAAACATGGTGAAGGTAAATGCAGGAAGAAGTGCTCCTGCACAAGGGTAGCTGAAACAGGACCATGGATAGCTCAGTGCCTTTTACTGCTGGGAATTCTTTCCTTGTTTGGTTGCAAAGTCACGCCCGACTCTTTGCGACCCCACGGACAACATTCCTCCAGGCCCTCCTGTCCTCCACCATCCCCCAGAGTCCACCCAAGCCCACACCCACCTCTCCAGGAGTCCCATCCAGCCCCCTCATTCTCTGCCGTCCCCTTCTCCTTTTGCCTTCAATTTTTCCCAGCATTAGGGTCTTTTCCAGTGAGTCCTTCCTTCTCATTAGGTGGCCAAAGCATTTGAACTTCAACTTGAGTACCTGACCTTCTGAAGAGCAGTCAAGATTGATTTCCTTTAGGATTGACTGATTTGATCTCTTTGCAGTCCAAGGGACTCCCAGGGGTCTTCTCCAACACCACAGCTCAAAACCATCAATTCTTCAGTGCTCAGCCTTCCTTATGGTCCAGCTCTCAGTGCCATACATTACAACTGGGAAAACCATAGCTTTGACTATATGAACTTTTGGTGGCAGGGTGGATTTCTCTGAAAAGTGCACTTTTGCAAGCAAGAACAACATTCTCATAAAAAATCGAATTCTGCGTCTGAGCAGAAAGTGACTGCTAATCTGAAAAATACAGTTGAAATGGATTTGATGAAATCCATGCCCCCCGACTGGACACATAGGAGGATGTTGCCTTAGCCGCAGCCTGGAGCCAAGTGAAGCCTTATGTAGGTAGCCATGACCTGCAGCATGATCAATCGGATGGTTAAAGGCCCCTCATCTGGCTCTGCAGTCTCAGACTTCTGCCAGGCTGGGAGGATGGAAACTTAGTTGGGAGGGTTCTTCCTCTGATGCAGAGGACAGACAGCGGGGCTGTTTCTTCAGGACACAGGACTGACTGCCCTTCCCCTGGAAAACACAATTTGCTCCCGGCCTTTATTAAGCTTCCCCTGTATCCTAGAAAAGCTGAGGGTTGGAGGCATGACTCTCAGAAAACCATTTGCCTTTGATTCTGGTCTTTTGTTAGAGCCCTGAAAAGTAAGTTGGACCAGGTTTCATTTGTTACACCCCTTTCCTCCAACCACTGGGCTCAAAGAGCATTCCCAGAGCACAAGTGCCTTTACAATCGTGTTTCGTAATAAACACCATGTCAGTTTCAGAAAGAATCAAACCTCCGAAAGCCCCCAAACAAGATTTCAGTAAGAACTGGAGGGTGAATGTCATAATCAGCGCTGCCCCCTGACCTGTTCAAAACCCGCATCAACTGGGAAACCCTCTAATAATAGATAACTAGAGCGAAATCCACTGTGCCTTTTCCCGGCATGCTTTTGTTCAGCGTTGCTAAGGATTCTATCTTCCTCTCTGCGAAGCAGGAAAAAAGCCCAGACTGAATCTGATGCTCTGGGGCTTTTTCTGCTGCAGGGCATAGTAGGGAGAATATCCATCCGTGTTGCTCTTTGTTCTTGTGAATGAGGTCTTGACAGGAAAGGGTAGTAATCTAATTGCACTGTGCAACTTGTGTACACACTGCCAACTGGATCTTGACCAAGACCACCAGCTGCTGCCTTCCCCCTGAAAGAGGATCCCTAGACAAATTTAGCCTGGCTTTTTCTGCAATGGCTGGTTTTGTTTCTCACTGCACCTCCAATGCATTTCAAGCTGGATAAATAAAGATCAGAGCACTTGTTTTGTGTTACTTGAACAAAGCTGTCGATCATGTCCTTGCTGGCAGGAAATATGTGTTTATTTAAACCCAACCTTTTTTTCTTCCTGTCAGGAACCCAGGATGGTTTCCATGATGCCCCCCCTCTCTGTTCGATACTCTCAACAACCCTGTGAGGTAGGTTAGGCTGACAGCCAGGAAATGGCCTGAAGACACCCAGTGAGCCGCATGGCTGGGTAGGGACTAGAACTCAGAACTCCTGCAATCAGCTCCTCTTTTGCACTGACTAAACTGGTTAGTTTTGGGGCCAGTTCAAAGTGCAGGCGATGATCTCCAAAACTGAGCATGGCTTACAGCTGCCGCCGGTTCCCATCCGAGTTTCCCAGTTACTCAGTTATGCCAAAGAGGGCCTCCTTCATGTCTGCATTGATCTGGGGAGAGTTGGGTTATCCACTCAGGTGCCCATTCAAGGTTTCTTCAGGGGATGACCAAGGCCACTTGTGTGAAAGACTGACAAAGTGAACTGATCACAAATTTGGAATATGGATGCAGAATATAAGCAGCAAGTGTAACAAACCTCTCACTCTGTGGGCATCAGGATTCCCCAGCTATACCGGCAGGTGCTCCGCTGGCCTCCAAGGTTGTCTGGAGGAGTGACGTGTGCGAGCAAAAGATCATGTGTCTTGCCACAAATATTACATAGTCCCTCTTTGTTTCAGAGGCTGTTATTTAATAAGTTAATCCATCTTTCACATCTCTACAGCGAAAGCAGCCCTTATCTGCAAACACACAACAGGGAAGGCAGCTACTAAGCAAGTATCTCTTGAGTGTTAAAGTTGCACATAAGACTCTGACAAGGTTCCGAAATCTGTCCTGGCTTCTGCACATCATGCCAGTTCACTGCACTACCTGCTGAGACTTAATGACTTCCTTGGCGTTGTTTTGGTTTGACCCATGCCAAATCGCGTTCCTGTGGCATGGCAGATGGTCTAATCTATCTTTACACCTAGGCAGTAGAACTTCCCAGTTTGTTTTGACTCATGACGGGCTAAGTTGCTAGTTCTCATGCTTTCTGAAACTTAGGTGCTCCCTAACATGGATTTCAAGAAGGGTGCTGAACCTCAGGGCCGGATCCAGATTTCCACAGTGCCCTTCCCTTGCTGTTAATCATTAGGTCATTTCCCTGCTTGTGTACCATTTTTCCCATTCCAAAAGGTTGAAATGGCTCTCCTGAGGTTTAAGTTACAACTGGTAGGTGTTTCTGGCCTTGTCACTTGGTTAATTTCTTTATTAATTATAGAATTGACTTCTATCGGTTAAGTGGCCTTTGCCCACCCCAGAAATGGGATCCCAGCAGCATCTCCAGAATCGAATTTGATTCGTGGGCTAGATGAGGCTCACCTAGAGGTGGGTGTGGGAATATCGGATGGATTTCTACAATTGGCTCCCGAAGTCTGGTTGGGTAGGCCTGTCCTAGTACCAACTCATTGGCACAAGTTGTGGATGTCCATTCTTCAGACAGACTGCAATTTGCACTTTCTGAAACTGTGAATGAAATGTAACAGTAATTTTGATTCTGCACAAGTCACACCAGAATCACACGGTTTCTGGGTGTGTATTAGAGGATTTTTTTTAGTGGTTTAAAAAGAGAGCGCAAATTACAGTTTGTTTTCTGGCTAGAAGTCCGGGGAAAACAACAACCAATCCAGCTCACTTTTGCTGAACGGATCAAAAGAGAGCAGAAAATGCCAGGCTCAAATTAGCCATATTTCCCCTTTTCCGTACCTTTATCCTGCAGTTTAACTTCAATGCAGCCACCCAAATACACTCCTCCTACATTCAGACAATTTGCACAAAAGCCACACTCAGTGTGTTCTTGTTGAACACCCACATGGTTTGCCCAATCTGGGCTATTTCCAGTGCCCTAGATAGGCAAAGGAAGGCAAATTTTTAAAATAGTGGATGTCCATACAATATATCCCACCCTAGCAAGGAAGACTGTGATTGGTTTGAGACAGCAAGTCCTTGAACTGCTCATGGGTTGCTGTACCCTCTGAATGCAGCTGAAAGAACAAGCCAAACTTTGTCTCCCATGAAGAACCTACAGTTTCCACCCCTTACCAAACAATGGATTCTCTTAATGGGTTGCTCATGGTGCTTGTTAGAAGCTGGATTCAGACCACATGGTCATCCATGGTTCAATGACAACCCATGCTGAACCCGGGAATGTGGGTTATCCCAGGCTCTGGGGCAAAGCCCCACAGGTCACGCTGCCATTGGAATAATCTTCAGAGGAGGAGTAAAAACACCACTGTTACCCAAGATGGTTCTGGATTCTCAGGGGTCATTCCTTCGTATTTCTGAGGCAGGGGGAGTGGGTGGTGCCTTCACATCAGAGGATATTGGCTGGGAAACGGGTGCTCACCGACCGAGGAGGACTACTCACGGACTAGTCATGAAGAAGCACATTCGATGTCACATGATGTAATTGAGCCCTGGCTGAAACTGAAGCCACTCTGGTTGTATCAGTTCACACTGGAAACTGGAAGGCTTTTGGAAGCAAAACCTGGCCTTCAACCCCAGTTGCAGTTTCCTGTCAGTTTGCTGCGTTGTTTGAACGCCTATCCCTTCGACCCCTGCTATTCTGCAGTTTGGCTGTGTTCTGACTGGGCTGGTCTGTTCGCTTTCATCTTGGCTGTATCCATGACTGGGTCTTGCTTAGCAAAGCCTCAGGCTTAAAGCAGGGTTCTTTATCTTTAAGCAGGCCATAGGCCTGGAAGAACCTTCACCCAGCAGATGCCTAATGCAGAGGATTGTCCTCTGTAAAGCAGGCCACCTGCCCCCCCCCTGTGATGTTGATTGGTAGCACATCGCAAGATTAGACACAGGTGCTGCAGAGAAGCCTTCTCTCCTGGCGTGCAGGGAGGTGGTTTGCTGAGCGGGCCTGATACTGCTTCACATTTCAGTCACTCGACCACTTCTTTAAACCCATTCAAGGAAACCCACAACAGTTAGGTCTCGAGTTGTGTTTTTGTAACTGCAGCGTGTGCGAGACATTCTGGAAAAAGTCAAGTTCTTTTCAAAAGGCAGTTTCCTCTCAGCAAGCTTAGTCTGCATGTGCACCTTTTGTAGGGGAAAATGCTGTCTCTTCGGTTCCTCCTCTTGCTTCTTGGTAAGTTACTCATTTCTTCTGAGCAATTGAGAGAAAGGCTAAAATATCAAAACTTGGATTGATGGTACATTTCCCTGGCCTTGACTTGCTGCTTTCCCTGTCTTTTCTTCCCCATTTTCCCTTTGCTGTATGTGTCGCATCCATAGCCCAGGCTACTGTGTAGACAATGGAGGGTGCAAACCTGAATTAGCATAGCTGCTTCTGAGCAGACGGTTTTGTACCTCTGGATTATTTGGGCTTGCTTCACATGTTTCTAATGCACCTTGAAAGGTAGTAAACGCAGAGCTCACAGTGGCTTGCGATCACCTTTAAGCAAAACCGTGCGTGGTAAGAAGGACAGCACCAGTGGAAAACTTCAAATTGAGAGCAGGAGTCTTTGCGTGACATTTTGCTTGGCGCGTGATCGGGTTGACTACCATGATGTCCCGTTGAACTAATCCTGGGAGGACAGGCTTGCGCAGGCAAAACAACTGCTCTGTACTTGGAGAAGCACAAGTTTCGTTTTAGGGAAAAGAAAATAGAAACGCTTGATCACCTGTAACACTGCAGATGCACAGCTCTCGTCTCTGCCCCTTGGAAAGGTTATGGTATGGCTGGCAGAGGTTCAGAAAATGACTACTAGAACCATTGTGGGGCTCAGATAACCTGCTTTTGAGGAAAGAGTGGAGTGCCTGGAACTGCTTAGCTCAGAGACAGAGTGAGTGAGGGGAGACAAAACCGAGGCGTTTAAAATTATGCGAGGTGTGGAGAAAGGGGAAAAGGAGATATTTTTCTTCCCTTCTTGAAATATTGGAAACAAACAGGGTCATCCCCTGACACTGAATTTTGAGAGATTCAGGATTAAGAGAAGGAAGGACTTCTCCACACAGTGCAGAGCTCAATGAAGGATTTCACTTCCACCCTGACCATCCACTTGGATGGACTTGGGTGGGGGGTGAGATAAATTTGTAAAGTGTACTCATTACCTCCTGTATTAGAGGTGGTAAGACTCTGTACACCAGTTGCTGAGGAATTTGATCCCAGAAAATGACCTCATGCCTTGCACTATGTGAAGAAGGACTTCACCCCAGGCAGACGTAATCTGTGGAACTCACTGCCAGAGGATGGAGCAGTGATCGCCAGCTTGGATGGCTTTAAACTGGGACTGGACAAAACCACAGAGGACAAGGTTAATGGAGGCTAGCGGTCCTAATCGCTTTATTTATTTTAAATTTTTATATGCCGTCCACTACTAGAGTCTCTGGGCGGTTTAGAGTCTTGGATCAGAGGTGCTATGTGATGCATGCCATTTGCTGGGGAATTTGGTTGGAGTGATGCTTTATGCTCCTATTCAGCCTTTGAGTTTCTGGCTGGGGCATCTCTTGGAGCACAGTGGGGACAAAGCAGAGGCTGGAGAGGGTTTTAGTCCAATCTGGGGCTGGCGCCATGGTCAGCAAGGCCAGCTCCAAAGCCCAGCCGGTTCCCACTGTCCCACAGCCCCCGGAGCTGCTGCCTCTCTGCCCTGTCCTTGCCTCGTGCTGTGGACCAGATGCCAATGGTGCCGGGAGGGGGGAGGAGAGAGAGATGCCCTGGCCTCCGGGACTCCCGGCTCCCAGCAAGAATGTGGCAGTCATGCAGAGGAAACGGATGAACGGTGAAGAGGGAGGCTCTCTGAGGGAGGGGGCGCATGGGACATGTCCTGCTCATGGAAAGTCAACCTGGGAACTTCAGTCTGTCTCTGCCCTGTTCCAGGATGGCTCTGCTCCTATTCTTAAAATCCTGGTTCCTTATTTGCTTGGATTGCTCCGAATGGAGCCTCCTTGGATACAGGCAGTGGGAAATAATTGGGAATTTACTGTCATGCATCTGACCTGCCAGAGCAGGGGGTTCAGTTTGTTTGTGATGGATATCACACTTGTCTTGCAGTCATCCTTAAAGAGGAGGAATGACGAGTTTATCAACAAATAAATACTCTTCTCCTTCTAATAAAGGATTAGTAGGTGAAGTGATGTGCAGAACACATCACTCTGAAACAAGAGAAACCACCAGGGTTGGTGCATCTCGTTTAGATTTTTTTTTTTAAAGTACAAATGAACTCCGCCTGTAGAAGCTGGCTGTAGGACTGTTTTTCTGTCTAAACGCGCGTCGCATCGCTCCATTACAGAGGCATTATTTAAAAGCCTTTAAAAAACTGAAATCAAATTAACAAATGCATGGCCTACATTCTCTGCTTGTGGACATTTTTAGTTTTTTAAGTTGCAATCCTTTGCACGCTTAGACAGAAGCCCGATATGGCTGATGGGGACTCATTGGGTTGCATCCTTCATGCACTCGGCTCAAGGGGATTGGTCTGAACTGAACAACTTCTCAGTAAGTGCTTTGAGTCACACGGAGGATGAGTCACAAGCGCCTGTTATTCCTCCTCGGCTACCCTTTCTGTCTCGTTTCTGCGACGTATTAGTACAGCACTATGGCTTCTGTGGCATGGTGGTTTCTGTGCAGAAATACATTTTGCCTCTTCACATGGATGTTTCTTTAAAAATGCAGATTGATTCAGCTGGAGAGAGGCAAATGAAGGAGATCAGGATCAGGGTCAGGTGTGGTGCAAGGAGCTTAGCCCTCCCTTGCAGTGAATATCTGGAAAACCACTTTTCCCAGCCAACTATTTCTTAGTTGCAGGGAAACAAGGAGCTGTGCATTTCCATAACAGGGAATTTCCTCTTGGGATAGGCCAGCATTTCTGCTTTGCTTTCCTCATGACTGATGCAAGTCCCCTTGAACTTCAAGTCTGGGGCACTCCTCCCAAATCTTTGCCCACCTGCAATGGTGAGGTGCCAGTCCATGAAGGATGCCAGGAGCCCTCTGTGCCCACCCGGAGACTCCAAATGGTCGCTTGGCACTGCACCTGAATGGCAGTGATCCTTGAGGGTTCGACCTGGGAGCCCAAGTCCAGGGAGCGCTGTGATTTCTTTTTATAATAAGTTTTATTCAAAATAACCCTAAAACAAAAGAAAACTAAAAACAACATCAATCATCAGAAACATCGGACCTGCTGGGTCAGCCCCCTCATTTTTTTCTATTTATGATAACTTAAACACATATTTAAATCTATACGAAGTCCTGTTTCTCTAGCCAATAATAAAAAGAGTCCCAAGTTTGATAGAAATCAGTATCTTCTTTCTCCTTCAATGACAAAGTCAGTCGATCCATTTCTGCACAGTCTAAGATCTTTTTTAGGATCAGTTCATCAGTGGGTGGTTCTTCACTTTTCCAGAGTTGGGAAAATGCAATCCTCGCCGCAGTGATTACATGTAAAATCAAGTACATTTCTTGTTTACTAATATCAACAGGTATAATGACTAATAAGAAAACTTCAGGTTTAGGGAGCCCTGTGATTTCGACAGGTGCAGCAGAAAAGTCCCCAGCCACTTTGTCTGGCTCTTGCTTCCTGGCCAAACTGATCCTTCAACTTTCCACCTTCATTTCAGCCCCACAGGCTCTGAGCAGTTTTAACATTGATACCAACAAGGTATGGGTCTCAGCAGTTGTATCCCCGAATTTTGGACACCAGGTCCTCCAGCATTCAGATGGCCATCAGAACTGGTAAGGAAAAACAAAATGAGCACCGATCAAGCCAAGCTGTAGCTCCTCGTTGAGTTTAAGGCTGTGCGCTACATGCACAGTTTTGTTTTACGTTGTTATGGTTGTATATGATACAAATGTGAATTATTTCTGTTATTAGGGTTAGGATAAAACTAAACTCTGCCAAAAATGATTGTGTTCACAGGTGGACAACAAAACAAAACTTGCTTGACTACCCACGCAGTGCAAACAGAATAAACCTAACAAAATCTGTACAGCACTAGGGTGGTTGGCACAGACTAGTTGTTGCAACTTCTTTGGAGTTTCAAAGATGTTTTTCTTTGAAAAGAAAAGATGTTGCAACTGAAGATGTTTTTTCAATCTTGCCTGGAGATTCCAGGGATTGAATCTGGGGCCTTCTGTATGCAAAGCAGGGGCAGTGCTATGGAGCGATTGTCCTCTATCTAAAAATCCAGTCAAGATTCCAGTCCTCATGATTCTGAACAAACTACTGGTTTAAACAGGGACATGAAGAGCTGTCTTTTCCTGCGTTTAGTGCCTGCATTCGTCTAGCCCTGCTGTTGAGAGAGCCCTGCAAGGGGGGCTTCTCCAGGGGAATCTTTGAAGTCGGTGTGCTAAGCCAAAGATGGCTCCTGCATGCATGTATTCAAAACTATCCTTCCAAAAAACTTAACCCTTCACAAGGCAATGCCTCCAGCTTGGTAGCTGCCTATGAGAATCCATCAGCCCTGTACCTGGTTGGTGTGTCTGCCACAGAGCACGACCCCCCAGATGCCAAAGACAGCACAGAGGCTGGCCACACAAAGTCAGGCAGAAAAGTGATTTCCTGTTTCATATCCTGTCTCATATCAAGAGAGCTTTGACTACCGAGTGTGCTTGTCATCTCAGCTGTGCAAACCAGCTGGATGGAGTGCGGGCGGGCCGTGCTTGCAGATGACAGTGATGGCTCCGGATGGCTAGGAGGAACCTCAGGGTTCTGGAATCGCTCTACCCTTGGTTGCCAAAGGAGGGATAAAAACACGGAGGCAGGCTTCAGCTCGCCGGTTTCAAATAACCCACAGAATGCGTCCAACCCTCAGTGGGTTTGGCTGATGCAATCCTCCTGTGCCCAGCAACCTTCTAAAGTTGGTGTCCCTCCGGATTTTAAATGTCCTTTCATTCCAGCTCTCTGCTGGAATGCAGAATCTTAGGATTTTGAACCTGGGTGGACCATGGGCCAGGACAGGAAAAAGCTTCTCCATGCCTGCTTTTGGTAGAAGCTGGGTGGGCAACTGTCATTGGAAACACTGGTGCATCCATTGACTGGGGGCTGGACCAGATGACCTCTGTGTTCCCTTCCATTTCATGATTCTGTTTAAAGTTGTCTTTATTTTTTTCCAAGGATTTTAGTGACTTCCTTGGGGCCAAATGACTTTGGCAGGTTATATAAATGCCATCTGCAGGATGAAATCAGATGTGAGCTGGCAGACTTGGGAGGTATGTATGATCTTCCAAGTTTCCTGGGGAAACCTGGGGGCAAAGAAGATGCTGAGCGAGACAAATTCTTGGCCTGATCTAGCCAGGCATCAGTGATGTTCTCACCCACTGCATTTTGGCAACACCTGGAGTTCTGATAGTCAATGACACAGTGAAAGGCAGAGCCGAGATTAGATATAGGCTCACAGCTGTTTAAAAATTATTTGATGCTGGTATTTGATTTTTTTTAAGAATACATACTGTGTTGTATTTATTTTTATTTTTATTTTTAAGAATGTATTTTATTTTTAAGAATACAGATTGTGTCGAAATAAGTTTTTATTTCAACAACACATGGTTTGTTTGGGTTGTCACTGAAATGTGGTTGTCTTCACATGGCTTATCATGTGATCTGAACTCAACAGAGATGCCAAACCAGGGTGAACAACCCACAGTTCCCAACCCAAAACCCCCCATGGGTTCTCATCACGCATCGTTCATGGTTAACGAGCTAGGACTTGTTCACGGGGCTGGGTTCAAATGTGACAACACACATTTCAGCAACAACTCATGTTCAGGGACAACCCAGCCTTAACACAACCCTTGGTGAACCCAGTTGAGTTGTGTTATTGTTGTACCGGGAATTGTACTGGGAAGTTTTTCTGTCTTGAAAAGTGGTGAAGAAATAATAGTAGTCATCATTAATTAGCCCACCAAGTTCAGCACCCACATATGGGCACAAACTTGTGGATTTCTTCTCCTTTGTACATTCTCTTTGCTGTGTAGGAACCAAGACAATTGCAGTGTACAAATATCTCATTTAAGTCCATGGAACACATTTTGCAGACAACTGAGAAGTGCTGCATGATCACAGAAGAAAACAGGCCTTTTAAAAACATTCTGTTTCCAATGTGGGAATGTCCATAGCAGACATTTTTGAGGTGTCCTTCCCTAGCTCCTTGAAACATAATTTGTAGAGTTCCATTCCACATACAACCCGCACATCATACAACCAAGGGAAAAAACGGGCAATTAGAACATTTATTTTTATTTATTTATTTATTAAAACATTTTTATGCCGCCCCATTCGCCGAAGCCTCGGGGCGGCTCACATCATTGAGTTAAAATAATTATAATATAAATTAAAATATAAATATAAAATTAAAATACAGCAGTACAGTATAAAATAAGCCACCCTGGCCAGATAAAGCCAATGATGTTAACAGTTAAAATGCCGCTTGAATAAAAAGGTCTTCGCCTGGCGCCGAAAAACAAATAACGATTTAGTTTGTATGCAGAAATATTCAGTGCAAGCAGCTACAGAGTACAAACCAAGGCAATCCTTTCAAGCTCCTGGAAACACATTCTAGAAACCAATGTTCAACATCAGTCGCTCTGCATCATGTGGCAAAGGAAGAACACAGCTCTATGCTAAATTTCTTCGTAATTGTCCAACTGTCTGGCAATATGGAGTGCGTTCACTTGTCTGCTCATTTTATTTGGTTCTTTTTGAGCCCACCTTTGGTGTAGCTTTATCTAACCTAATTTTCTCCCTACTTGGTTGATAACTAGATCAATCCTCCATTCCCTCTCTCCCCTCTTTCTCCAGAAAATATCCAGAAATTGAAAAAATGGCACACTGGTATTGCTTTAGCCCAAAACTCGGAGAAGATTATGGTAAGATTTTTTCAGACCTTGCAGTAGAGAAGCTTGCCTAAAGTAGCAATAAGGAATTGATAATAATGTCATGTTATCTTTAACTGATTGCACTTTATATCAGCCAACAGCTGATGCTGTTTCTTTAACAACAATTCTAACTGCTGGAGATTTACAGCAGTTCCTGACAGGACTGTGATGCGATAAAGAGCACAAATTTGCAATAAAAAAGCACAATCACAAAAAGCTGGTTTTTAAAAAGTGACACAGTTAACAGTAAAAGCAGGCCTGTTGAAAACACCAGTCATGGGTATCGCCATCATGTGTTTGGACATCTTAAGATAACTTTAGACATCTGTAAGTGTCTCAGCACAGAGGGTTATCTTAACCTGGCACCGAAAGGATGGCCAGGTTAGCAGCAGGTGGGCCTCAGAGTAAAGTTCATTCCACAGTTGTGGAACCACCACTGAAAAGGCCTTCTCCTTGTCGCCACCTTCTTGGAGGTAGCTCTCCAAGGTAGGCCCAAGAACTTGACCGGAGTGTCTGGATAGATGGTGGGCGGAAGAGACATTATCTTAGGCATCACGGTCCTTTGCCATTCAGTGCTGACTGTCTCTGCTTCTCAGCTGCCAACTCTGTCTCCTCAACAGGTTTGCCTCCAGTATAAACGGAGCCTGAAACGCTTGGCCACCAAGTTGCTGAATGGCGTTTGCGTCCAACTTGCAGCCAACTTCCAGCCGAAAGCCTTTATGAACCTGACAGATATCAGTACGAAAGCAGTAATTACATTGACATATGGGTCTGTGGATCACCTGACCTAGTGTGGCAAGAGGAAGCCCCCTAAGACTGGACCAATTAAGATTCCGAAATTGGGCTCTCCCTGTACTTACCAACACGCTAAATTTGGCGTCTCCCTCAAGCCACCGCTCGCTCGGAAAGTGGTGCCCACCTGCATCCAGACAAGGTTGTTCAGACTTGGTAGCTTATTCAAATGTTTGCCACTGTTTTCCTTTGCTTTCTCTCTCTCACTAGTTCAGACTGGGTTGAATGTGAGTGGCCGGAAGCATAAAAGAAGCACAAGTGAGAACCGCTTTGGCAGTGCCGACCCCGACGACTCCAGCCTGATGCCCGGCAGCAGCTTTCACGAGCCGCTACCTGCCCGTGTATGCGAAGGTAGCCGTTCGGGTTGGAGGAGCACTCGGGGGTATGGGGTGCTGGCTCCTTCTCTGGAGGCGTGATCCTGGAATGGCAGTCTTTGTCTCCCTGCTGGAGCTTCTCAGCTTCATGCTTCATTTAGGTTTAGAAACATAGAAACATAGGAGTCAGAAGGGGTCTCCCGGGACATCTAGTCTGACCCCCGACTCCAGTCAGCTCTGCTCATGACATGCCTACCATGTGCATGTCCAGTCTATCCTTGAACACCCTCACCAAGGGGGCTTCAACCACCTTCTGTGGAAGCCCATTCCATACCCTCGGGATCCTAACTGTCAGGAAGCGCTTTACCACGTACAGTTACACATAAATGCAGATATTACAAAATCCCAACATGCTTCTGAGCCCCCAACAACCTCTTTCCAAAGGGAACCAAACCTGGGCGCACTTTTTGCTTTTGAAACACCTTTCTGTTTAAGGAATAAACTGAGCATCATGTTTACAATTCTTTTCTCTTTCATACAGAAACAACAACCCGAAATCCTGCAGCTGGAAGCTCTAGGTTCAGCTGCAACAGCCTCAATGCTAACAACAACAACAACAACCACAAAGAAGAAGAAGAGGAAGACGAAGAATCCTGTAAGTCAGGGCAAGCAGAAATTCAGCCAAGAACCAACAGTAGAGTCTTTTGGTTTGGTTTGGTTTTTTGCAATCTAACCTCAACGGCAGCTACAAAATTGCTTTCCCTTCCCTTTCTAAATTGTGCTGCTGGAACTGAGAGAGGGAAGAAAACCAGGAGAGAATGTTTGTGCAGATGAAAGTCAGTGTGACATAGTGGTTGGAGCTTTGGCAGGGGAGGTGGGTGACTCCTGAGTTAGTGGGGCTCCTTATGCGTTGTAGCTTTTATTCTGAGCAGTCTAAGAGTGCTCCATTTTTAAGGCTCTTCTAGTGGACAAGGAGAAATATGGGTTGATTTATGGCAGGGCTTTCCAACTGTTTTGAGTCAGCGGGCCCATTTGGAAATTTGGTGATGTGGATACACTCAGAAAAAGTCTGCCTTGGGATGGGAGGGGAACTTCCATTACTAAGAAAGCTGCTTTGGTGGCCATGGCTGGTCACAGAAGCCCTTGTTTCCCAGAAGGCAAAGTGATGAGGTCAAGAGAAAAGGACCTGGCCAAAGAAGCAAAGCCCAAGGCAGAATTGGAGCTGAGCTCCAGAATAAACCCAAATACGGATGGTTCTGGAAAGGAGCACTTAGCTTTGCAGCATGCCAGTCTCCCATAGGATAACGATAGCAAGAGCAAGAGTAAATGCTGCTGTTATTAATCTTTATCATCAGGATAAATAGCAACAATATATTTTAAGAAATAAGATAAAATTCAAAACTGGCAAACAGCCTACCCAGCAGAAAAGGAGAAACTCAGGGGCATAAGGGACACTGGAGATGTCGTGACCCCAGATGCTGGGGCTTGCTTCAAAAGCTTCACATTTGAAAGAGGATGCTAAACAAAGGCTTCCAGCCTTCAATGAACACGCTATTTCAATTTCTCACTCTGACGACTGATGTTTGTGCTCAGCTCTGTCTTGGTAGGATTCACCTGTGTGGAGCTGGTTTCCAGTGCTAGCCCTGAAGTCTTTGTAACTGAGGGCTCCTCCGAGAACCAAACAATCACAGCAGGACACAGGGACACATCTGTAGGATTTGGGGTGCAAGAAAGATGGGACCTGGGCAGATGCTTCGAGCCACACAACCCTCTCTTCCTTTTAGGAATTCAGCACAGACCTAGCTTTTCTCCCAAAAGAACTTCCCTTTTCCAAGAAATTAAAACCCTGTCATGCCCTCCTTCCTCTAACTTAAGCACACCACCACCACCACCAGATTCTCCAGATAAAAAGCTTTCGATCAGCTCCTAACCTCCTGGTTCTGTCTCCCACCCTGCTCTCTGCAGACTTTCAGACCGAAATAGCTATCATCTTAGATGGATCTGGGAGCATCGACCCTCCAGACTTTGAACTGGCCAAGAATTTCATCTATAACATGATGGAGACCTTCTACGAGAAATGTCTTGAGGTAGTTTCCTCTACTTTGCATGGCTGGCTTTCTTCCTTCAGGCAGGGAGCTCAACAGGGGGCCATCCATCCGCCACCCAACTGCAGGCCATTTGAGTACCACCAAGACATTTTGCTTAATGTTGAGTTGAAATACTTAGTTGCTTCGTCTTGGCATTTGACTCTGTCCATTCAGGTCCTCCCCACTGGAGCAGCAGAAAACAAAATTGGCTGCTTCATTTCTTATGTGGCAACCAAACATTTCCTTGGCCTGCTATATTCAGAACCCCCACGAGTCTGGTTTCTGGGCTTATTTCTTAAATGCTTTCTGCCTGCTTTTTCTTTCCCTGCAATCCAAAAGCGCTCAGCTAATGGCAGCTTTAAGAAACCTCTTCCACATTTTTCAGGGAATCAGCGTTAAGAATGACCATGCTCTTCCTTCTGCTCTAGTGTGTTTTCGCCTTGGTCCAGTATGGATACATCATCCAGACAGAGTTTGACCTGCAGGTGGACAAGGCCTCTGCCTTGAGAAAAGTGAGGGCCGTTAAGCAAGTGGGCAACGTGACCCGGACTGCATCAGCCATGCAACACGTCCTGTGAGTCAAAATACCGCAGGTACCAAGCACGGTGCGGGCTCCTGTAGGTGAAGAGGAAGCGGAGGTGCAAAAATGAGCCAGCGGTGAAAGCAGGACATGGGGTCGGATGCGTTTGTGTGTCTGACGTGCCCGCAATCTGTCTGTCGCAGGGTCTTGCTTCATGCTGGCATGAGCTGCATCTTTTATTTCAGCTGCCGCTTGAAATGCAGCTTTGGAGAGCTTCTCCAAAATGGGATCTGGGCCTTGGGCTCACTTTAGCAAACCCAGGGTTTTCTTGTTTCCAGGGTTGTTGTGGTGGGGTTGTTGTGGTGGGGATAAGATCGAGAGGAACCTGGAGAATTGTGTCAGTCACCTCAGATTTCTTGGGAATAAAAAGGTGGGTTAAAAATAGAAAAATAGAATAAATAAAGTAAAACTGAGCTACAGTACAAAGATTAAAATGTAAGGGCAAATCTGAAGTCACATTCTCAAAGATTAAAATTCCTCGGAAAAAACAACAGGTCAGCACCTAGTATTGGGCACCTATCCATTCATACATACAATATTGCTGGACAGGGAATGATGTAATGTCACAAACGGACGGGGAAGGGGCATCCATACACACACTGCTCCAGATGGCTTCCCACTGTGTCTTCCACCCCCTTTTAAAATGTCAGGACATTTTCTACTTGGGCTGCTGGCAGAGGCCTCTGAGTTCCTTTCCTTTGTAGAAGGGCAAAATCTTCTCCTGGGTTATCCTGCAAACTGAACAGTCTTTTTCTGCTTCAAACAGAGATTCCATCTTCAGCGCTTCGCACGGGTCCCAGAAGAAGTCTGACAAGATCATTCTTGTACTGACAGATGGGGAAATTTTGATGGACGAGCTGGATTTGAAAACAGTGATCAGTTCCTCAGAAATGGCAGGCATCGAGCGTTATGCAATCGGGGTAAGCGCTGCATCCTGCCAGGGGTCTCGCAATCCTTAATCTCTCTTCTTGCCATGGCATCCATCAGCAGGTGGGGCTGGTTAGGACGTGTGAGGGGAAGGGCTCCATGGGGGAGGATAAATTGGGAGCATAGATGTTAAGGGTCAAGTCTGAGTATAAATAATTCTTTTAAAATGACGTATTCCATAGAAGGCGGGATGGGGGTGAACCGTGCCAGGGCTCTGCATGTGCTCTTATCACACACATGGTGTGTTCCATCCAGGTTGGAGAGGCCTTCAACAGGATGAACCCCCTTCAAGAGCTGCGCCTGATCGCCTCTGACCCGGACGAAAGTCATCTCTTCCGCGTGACCAACTATTCGGCCCTGAATGTGCTGCTGTCCACGCTGGAGCAGAAATTTTTTCAGATAGAAGGTAAGAAAGGCAGGAAGCAAACTTCGGGGTGGGGCGGGGCGGGGCGTCGGTCCTCTACAACTGGGGTCCCAAAGCTTTTAATGCCACAGGTCAAAACTCTTGGGGCGCCTTTTCCTGCAGCGGGTGAGGATGAAGGAGAAAGGGGCACTGTCAAAATGCCAGAGATACCAGCCTTTTAAAAGTATCAAGCACTGCTCAGTTTTTTCTAGTGATCTAGGGCTTTCTTCCAAGGAAATTCCAGTACACTCTTCTGCCAGATTGGATGTCCATTCATCTCCAGACGTTCTCCTCCCAACAGGATCTCCAGCAGAGAAAAGGGTCTTTTCCATGCAGTACATGATTCTTTTGACTGGATAGGTCAGGCATTGAACCAGAGATTGAACTCTCTGTCACTGAGTTCTGGTTCTTCCCTTTCACATTTTCAAAAGCAAGATTCTAGTCCTCATGGTTCTGAAGAAAATTGGAAATCTGACACCAAGTCAGAGCCACTAGTCCTTCTAGTGCAGTGTTGTCTATACCAGGTGTCAGGGTCTCAGGAAAAGAGGGGTCTTCTCCTGGAATGGGACCTTTCATCTGTGGCACTGAGCTATGGTCCTTCCCCAGGGACATCTCTCACCTTCTCTTCCTCTGCTCTTCAGGTATGGCCGGCAACATCCTGGAATTCGAGCTGGCTGAAAGTGGGTTCAGCGTTCACTTCCCGGATGAGGCGAGTGGCTTAAAAGCGTATTTCCAGGGGTGCAGGGCAGCATTTAGGGTCTTTGTTACAGGGGGCTTTTATTGTGGGCTCGCAGCTGTTTCCAGGTACTTTTCATGAGGCTGTGATCTTTTGGGACATCTCCTGTGCTTTGCCACTATTTCCACAGCCTCTTATTTACTTATTTAAGAGCAAGGAAAAAGTGGTATTATCTAGAAATCACGCGATGAGAAGCTTGTGTCTTTTTTGAACTCTTCCACGCCACCTTGTGGTTGAATAATGGAACACAGAGAAAGGCAGAGAAAGATTTCTTTACCCGTGTTAGAGCTGTCCGGACCCTAAGATTGCCCTCAGTGTTCCTTCTTCAGGAGTCCCTGCCGAGGACATGAGGTGGGGGGGCTATTAAGAAGAGGGTCTTTTCTGTTGTGACACCCTGGTTGTGGAATGAACATCTCAGAGCGGCATTTCTAGTGTATTTTAAGATTCTGAGGGTTGTGACTTGCCAAGAGAACGAATTTATATTTGTTTATTCCATTACCCCGTCCATTAGCCAGGATTTTTTATTTATTAGACATTCCTAAATTTAGCTTGTGCTTCATTCTTGCCTCTTCAGAAGAATATTCTGTTTGGTGCCGTGGGAGCTTTTGACTGGTCCGGAGGCGTCCTCCTACATAACCCAGCGAAAGGGTCCACTGTTTTCTTAAATGAATCGAAAGAGGCAACAGATGCACGGAATGGCTATCTAGGTAATTCTCCATCCACAGGGCAAATGGATTTTTTTAATAACTCTAGGCAAATGGCTTTTGCTCAGAATAGATGGTTCCTTTTGAAGCTCAGCACTGATTTACTGGAAACAAGAAAACAAATAGAACAATACAAACCTTGGCCAGAAAGGAGGGCATTAAGATCTCAGATATTTCTGGCAGGGCCATCCTTCTGCCTATAACTGCCTCCAGTTTCATTGTACCCATTTTGTTCACTGGGCTTCCCCAAGCATGAGAAGCTCAGGAACACCAGAATCCGCCTTCTGCAGCATCGATCTTGGGTGATTTTCTTGGCATTTGCCAGAAAAGAGCAATGAGCACAATGCAGGGGCTGGAACAGCTCCCCTAAGAGGAATATTACAGTGTTCAAGAGCGTTTTGCCTAGAAAAACAGTAGAGACACAATAGAGATATTCAACATTTTGGCAGGTGTGGAGAAAGTAGAGGAGGAGTCATTATTCTCCCTCTCATAATACTACCCATCAGGTCCAGGACACAGAAAAGGCAGACCTCCGTCACATAGCTCAGAGTTAAACTATGGAATTGCCTGCCATAAGATGGAGTAACAGCCACCCATTTGGTAGAGAAGGCCACCCGTGGTTACTAGTCCTCATGACCATCTGCTGCTTCCTGTTCCAGAGACAGTATGCCTTACTCAGTGGGTTGTCCTTTGTGTGTGAACATCTTTTACCTTTCCTTGGATTAAGTTCTGCTGCCGCTCTGTTCTGTGCCAGGCTACAAGTTGGGGTCAGTCAACACAGGCAGTGACACTCTGATGGTCGCAGGGGCCCCTCGGCGTGGCATGACGGGAAGAGTCCTGGTGTTTGAAGATGTGCACTTAAAGCAAAGTCTAAACGGGACTCAGGTAGGAGTTTTGCAGCATTTGATGGGGCAGCGCGTGACACTGGTTTGGGCTCTTCTCTTATTTTTATTTATTTATTTATTTATATTGCAATTTATATCTTGCCTTTGTTCTACAAAGGGCTCAAGGCAGCTTACATCTCCTCCATCTTATCCCCGTAACAACAACCCTGTGAGGTAGGTTGGGCTGAGAGTCTGTGACTGGCCCAAAGTCACCCAGTTGGCTCCATGGCTGAGCGGGGACTAGAACCCAGATCATCTGAGTCCCAGTCCCATGCTCTTAACCACTACACCACGCTGGCTCCTCATGTGCCAGAAGACTTTTCCTTAGGATCGGGGCCTTTCTGGGTGCAGGCATTTCACTACCTATAGTCCTGCCTCGGCATCTGAGTGATACGGTTGGAATTTCTGCCTTCCCATCCCTTGCATGCTAAGAATTAATTGCATTTGGCCAGAGGAAAAAAACCCTTGTGGCCAAATTTCCTGGATTGACTTTATTAGATTACTCGTAGTTCAATTCTGTACAAGTTTATTCAGGATCCAGTGTTTAGTGGAGTTTACCCCTAGTATCTAGGATTGTAGCTACACATCTCCGCATGCCTCAGCTTTCCAAATATAGAAGACTATTTAGACTTCCACTCCTGCCCTCAGACCAGTGGCAGCAAAACATTTTTTGTCTGTCTGTCTGTCTGTCTGTCTGTCTGTCTGTCTGTCTATGCCAACCTCCTTACTTCACCCCTCCCTCCATTACACATCTCTCTAGGATTCTCTTTCTCTTCTCACAACAAACCTGTGAGTTAGGGTTAGGCAAAGAAGGATATTTACCCCGCATTGCTCAGTGTTTGGTGGCTACAAAGCAGAATTTGAACCCAGGTCCAGCACTCAAGCCACTGGAACACACCAGGAATAATGCTCACATGCTGATCCAATAACGTAGCAACACCAGAGGGAAAAGATTAGAAAAGATGTCGGGATGATATCCCCACGGACCACTCATAAATCATCCAGATTTCTCTAAGCATGCCAGGTAATCCAATTACTTCCTGCCAGGCCCCACCGCCTGCCCTTTCCAGGTGATGTCAATTTGCAGTTTTGCTGATGCTTGCAGTGAGCATTCAGCTAAGGATCTTGCATGCACACAGAGCAGCAAAAAGGAGGTGAGGACAGGCTTTGTGGGTATAGACTCCTACGAGGCTGAAAGAAAAAGTAAAAAAAATACTCAAAAGAGAATTAGAAATTCCTGTGGCATGCTCAGCAGAAATTCCATGGTATTTCTCCCATCTCCAAGCTGATGCATTCCTTGTCTACAGGAACCAAAACTCCCATTGCTGATGGGAACTGTATTCTGACATGCGTGAGGATTCTTAACCTGTCTTTCTTCTGACCACAGGTCGGGTCCTACTATGGGTCTGAATTCTGCTTGTTGGACATAAACCAGGATGGCATAACCGATTACTTGCTCGTCGGAGCTCCATTTTTCCATGTCCATGGAGAGGAAGGAAAAGTTTACCTCTACCATTTCGATAAAGAGGTAAAAGTTTCTTATAATCTGGAAACGCTTTGCAGGAAGCCAGAAAGTAGCGAATAGGCTTGAGTGTGATTATTTTCCTCTTCCCTAATCATCCTTTATTCCTTGTGTGCCACGTCTTTTCAGAATGTAAACCTAGAGACTGATCAGTCTTGTTTACTGACTACATGCAAGGCATTTTAGGTTCCTCTTTGGCGGAGGACAGTTTCAAGATACTTGAAAGAAAAATAATAAATTCTTCTGCGCTGAGAGCAGCAGGGGGCAAACTGCTTGGAATTAATCTTTCTTCTTTTTTTCCTCGCCCCCCTGCCCCAGACTAAACTTTTCAGTTCAGCAGGCCACTTAGCTGGTGATCCCTCCTTCCCTTTCGCTCGCTTTGGGTTTGCCATGGCTGCCATTGGAGACATTGACGCTAACGGCTTTGGGGACGTGGCCATCGGAGCGCCGCTTGAGGGACACGAACCGGACTCCGGCTCTTCGGGCAGCATTTACATCTTTAATGGTGGCAAGGACGGGATCCACAGTTCCTTTTCCCAGGTGCCATCCCATCTCCTAGCCAGAGAGTGAGAGACAGTGGTTCAGGGCGGCACGGGAGGCCGGTAGCCACAGGGGCATCTCCCCTGGTAAATCTCAGGGAGGACAGAACTGTGTGTGCTGCTTTTGTGGAAATGATGTATTCTATTTCTAGCCCGCTTTGTTGCCTTCTTCAAGGAGTCCAAGGCAGTTGACTCCCTCCTGCTTCCTGTTTTATCCTCACTACAACCCTGCAAGGCAGGCTAGGCCTAGAGTGCTTGACTGGGTTAAAGTCACCCAGCGAGCTTCATGGCTGAGTGGGGGCTCAAGCCCAAGTCTGTCCAGTCCTAGCCTAAAACTCCAGCCATTATATTGCACAGTCTCATCCAGTACTCATGATGCTAGCCCACCATCATGGCGAGGACGCCAGAGTTTTATTTATTTATTTTTATTTATATTGCGATTTATATCCTGCCTTTTTCCTGCAAAGGGCTCAAGGCAGCTGACATCATTCTCCTCCTCCATCCTATCCCCACAACAACAACCCTGTGAGGCAGGTTGGGCTGAGAGTCTGTGACTGGCCCAGAGTCACCCAGTTGGCTCCATGGCCGAGCGGGGACTCGAACCTGGATCGCCTGAGTCCCAGTTTAATGCTCTTAACCACTACACCACAATTTAGCTCTCGGTTTAGCTTTGCGTATTGGAGGGAGACCACCTCCACAGCCATTTAAAGATCTCTCCCTTTTCCTTTTAGCGGATAACAGCGGCGCAAACTGGCGTGGCAGGACTCATGTATTTTGGAAGGTCTGTGGCTGGAGGTTTGGACTTCACAGAGGATGGGCTGCTAGACCTAGTGGTTGGATCACTGGGCAATGTGATTTTGCTCCGGTAGGTCGGAACTGCAGCTTCTGGAGTTCTCCAGGAGGCAGACACAGACATAAACGTGGTGGAATGCTCTCTTGCACTGCCTATTTCTCTTTTTTAAAATAACAATAATAATAATTATTATTATTTCTACAAACTAACACTAAAACATCAATCATCAAAGACATCAGACATACTGGGTCAGCCCCCTACTCTCTTTTTTTTAACAGTCCATAACCATATTCAAATCTACACGTCGTCCCGTTTCTCTAGCTTACACTGCCTATTTCTCTTGGCATTAGAAGATGGCTGTCAAAAGACTTTTGCTGGCTTGCAAAAACAAAATCAATTGAAGGAAATCAATAGAAGTGATCAATGAATTGCTCTGGGGAGGCAGAGCAAGAGAGAGAGAGAGAGAGAGAGAGACTGTTTTTTATGATTTAGGATTACCTTAAGATAAAGACCTAACCAAATGCTGATAGTAACATTTTAAGGAATAAAACAGACAGGATTTTAAATAAGAGTGTTTTTTCTTATTTTACTGTACAGCAGGTCCAGGGGAACCTGATCCAAATTTTAAAAGTACCCCTATTTTCCATGCTTCAGGGTTGGCATGTGTGTATGGACTCTAGAGTGAAAAAGGAAATGAAAAAGCATCTTGCTGCTAAACATATGAATTGTGTCTGCTTTGGGCCTGAGCCCCAAGGTTGCTTTCACTTGCTTTTGGGGACACTGAGCTTGACTGTGCTGCTCTTCTGACCAGGTCGAGACCAGTTGTTCAGTTAGCGCCTACTATGGAATTTACACCAAGGAGTATTTCCGATTTCCAGAACAGGAGCACCGTCCTGGCCAAATTGTGCTTCAAGCAAACTTTCTTTCCAGATGCTTCACAACCAGGTAAGAATAACCCACTGCAAGCTGCATTCCAGGAAATAGACCTTGGAAGTACATAATGTAATGGAACGTACATAATGTTGTAAGCCGTCCCGAGATGCCGAGGCATGAGGGGACGGCATATAAAAGTTTTTAAAATAAATACATTTAGTGCAGAAGGGACCCCTAGGCAAAAATCCTAAACTGGACACCAGCACACCAAGAAGAGAAGCAACTATTTCAGCCGGGGTGGGCCATTTCTAGCCCTTTAGAAGCTGTTGCAGTACAAGTCCCCTACTCAGACACCCCTGGCTGTGCTGGGAGATCCGGCTGTAGTGGCTTCCACATGACAGGTGCATGGCTATTTTGTTTGTTTAAAACTTTTGTTTCCCAGTCCAATCCATAAAAGCCTCAGGATGGACCACAGCATCATCTCTCTAATAAAAACCTGGCTAAAAGATGGAGATGGAGGAGGAGATGTAAGCTGCCTTGAGCCCTTTGTAGGAAAAAGGCAGGATATAAATCGAAAAATAAATAAATAAAATAAATAAAAGTAAAACCGTTTTATTTTCCCGCTATTTTAATGTTTAATTGATTTGAACTGGGGTTTTCGTATAGTAACTGTCCAATGCTGCGGTGTTCGTTTATATTCTACTTTTTCATTGTAAGCCACCCATAGACATTTACAGTGGACAGTTTAGAAAGGCTTTTAATAAATAAATAAAAATAGAAAAGTTTAAAAAATAGCTCTTAAAATAATGGAAAAATAAAAAACTTTTGGCCTGGTGCAGAAAAGAATAAAGTGTTGGTGCCAGGCGCATCTCTCTGGGGAGTATGTTCCACAGCTGAGGTGCCGCCACGGAGGTAGTCGCTCTCCTAATCTCCTTCAAAGAGGGCTCGCAAAGAAAGACCTCTGACCCAGCTCTTAAGGTGCAGGCAGGCACCTGGGGCTAGAAACGACCCTCTCGGGTCCAGGGCCAGCCAAAACGTCCCCGGGGGGCAGATCACCAAACAGATAGGGGCCAGTTTATCTAGTCTGCAGGCCTTTTAAAGACATCACTGTAACCTCCTTACATTATTTGGCGAGAGAGAGAGAGAGAGAGAGAGAGAGAGAGAGAGAGAATGAGAATATCCAGGTGTGAGGCTCCGCTGTTGGCATCCGCCAGGGGGCACTTCAACGGAGCTCTCCGTGGTGCTGCAGCCCGTTCCCCGAGCGAGGGTCCGCGCCTTCAGAAGTTCAGACCACTTCCCAGGGCGCTGGAGAGAACGGCGCCCATTCCCCAGCTCCCCACCAGCCCATCCACGACCTAAACATTATATCTGCTTGACGTTTCAATGGATAGCTTTTAGGCACAGCGTGTGTGTGTGTATTCACAGCAGCAGAGTTACTTCGACTCCATGTAAAAACGTTGCGACATCTTACTTTTTTACTACCCCCTCTTTATTAGTTTATTTAAAGTTTTCGTATGCTGTCCCTTGCTATATAGCCTCGGGACGGCTCACATAAATAAGCAAATATAATTCAAATACAGTTAAATCTCAGAAACATCCTGGCTGCACAATTAAAACCTATAAATATTAAACATTGTTAAAATAGTTTGAATAAAAAGGTCTTAGCCTGGGAGCGCATTCCTCTTTGTTCTGCTGCTGGCTTTGATTTCACACCACACTTTTTTTTAAAAAAATTTGCTGCTATGAGTACATCATGAAGCTTTACAAAATAATTTTTCTTTCTATACTTATTAATTCTCATTGGTAATGTATATTCTGCCACAACAAATCAACAGCACCCATAGTCTTGTCTGAATAACTGCAGCCCCTCTGCTTCCTCTCAGCATCTGATCTGTTCTCCTAGGGATCCGTAATCTTCTACTTAACTACACAGTGGATTTGGATGTTAACATGGGAACAAAGAGAGCACAGTTTGAAGATGAGATGGCCACCATCGGTGGCACAATCCCCTTCGTGGAGAATTTGTGTCCCCAGCTACAGCTTTCAATCCTGGTAAGTGTCAAAGGATTCTAGAGGGATGATAGTGAAGGTTTTGCACCTTAGCAGCGGTCGTGATCTTGCAACTGGATTGTGAAGATCCTCCAGGACACACCTTGTGTCCAAGAAAGGGCCCATCTTGGTCACAGATGGGCAAAAAGAAGGTCGATCATTTGGCCAGCTCTGGGTTTGGAGGGATGCTCTTGCTTCGTGGCACATGATCACACAGACTGGGAATGAACAACAGGTGTGGGGGAGAAGGGCTGGGGAAAGGGTCCAGTCACCCCTCTGGTCTTGCTTTAAATGAGAGAAGCAAGCAGCCAAAAATGCAAAGCGCAACCACATAGGAAGGAAAAGCAGAGGAAGGAGCTCAGGTGTGCTCAGCTGCACACTTCTGTAATGACCAAAATCACTGCTTGTTGGTCTTGCTATACCTGGAAGCAGCAGGCAGATGAGAATGGTAAGAATCATCAGTACAGGAAGGGTTCCTGTGTTCCTCAGAGCTGCACTCTCCTTTCGTGAGAGTTCCCCAACCTCACTTTTAGCTGACAGAGTCAGCAGGGTGATAAACCCACACAGCCGCTTCACCACACGTGAGTCTGGACACCAATATTTGGCACTTGAATCAGCCCAGTGGTTGCTTCTTGGTTTAAATGAGGTTTTGTTTCTCCCTCCCACATCCTGATTCCTTCCAGCCATGCACCGACGACTGTTTCTCTAACATCACTCTCAGACTGAGCTATCGGCTTCATGCCTCGGAGACAGACCTGAGTTACCCCTCGGCCATGCTTGATTTCTACCAGGTCTCCGAAGTGTATTTCCAGGTAAGGAGTGAAACACGACCTCCTTGTCCTTCCTGTCTTGAAACAGCTTGCCTGCTGCACCTGAAGCAGCAGGTGAGTCACTTGTCCTTGGCACCCACAACTCTTTCCTCCATCAGCCCGCTGCCACCTCCCCACATCTGGGGTTTCTGCAGTGAGACAGGAGCACCCCCTTTCTTCTCGGCCTTGTTTTCTCCAGGGAGGGGAGCAGGATACATAAGGGAGGAGAAAAACTCTGTTGTTGCAGGGCCTTCCTCTTTGCTATTTTGTGATGGAAGGAATTTTGGCCGGTGCAGCTTCTTACACAGAACAGGTGGGGGGCATGGGGCCTCCCAAATCCTCTCCCCATCTCTCACCCAGGCATGAAAAGCGCAGAGTTCATCTGACCTGGCCTCAGAGCTCTCGTATGGGGATAGTTCAGTCCTCAGGATTCAAAGCTGCTTGCAGGCTTATGGAGTAGTGATTTTTTGAAAGCTGACAAAACACAGACAAAAGTAGCAGTGGGCATCACCATAATGTTAGTAATTGTACTGTTTTGACCTGGCCAATCCTGTCATGATTTCACAGCTGCCTTACACAAGGGACTGCGTGAACCAGAGCGACTGTGCACCACGGCTGAGCTTGGCTGTTCAAACAGAGTGAGTTTTCTGCATGTATTTCTAAAATAAACCTCCTTTCTCTCCTTTCTTTGCACTTACAAAAAGGTGCTCAGGGCATCTAGCTGGAACATGCAGATTAAGAACATGGTCTTCATTCCAGCATAAACACGGATCAATCGCAAATGTGGTGGAAAAACACAACGGAAGGAAGGAGGCCTGCCCGACTAATTCAGAACAAAAGGAAACTCTGCCCTCTCCTGTGCTGTCTTCCCGTTGGCTTGGGAGCAAACCCAGCCTCCCATGCCAGGGACTTCCATCGCCCAGGAGCAGCCACCAAGAAGGCCCTGCAGTGCCTTGCCACCAAGCGTACCTGAGAAGGTGGCTGTGTTGAAAGCAGTGTCTTTCCTTGAAGATCTTAAACTGGGCAGACTCTTCCAGAAGAAGGCAGTGTTGGGGTCCTTGTAGGGAATTAGGCAGGCCATGAAAACAATACGAAAACAAAATAGCCGGTACCTGGAATTGTGCCCAGAAACAGACCGTTAGCCAACAAACTTGTCTTAACATGGGAGTCAGGTGCTCCCTGCAGCTAAGCCCCAGACAACAGTTTAGGGAGGCAAAATCCATTTACTGAGCATTTTAATTGGCAGTGGCTCTCCAGGACCTTGGGCAGAAGGCATTCTTTTCTGTTACCAGCAACAGATATTTCTTTATTGATTAAATTAAATACCTACCTTTACTCCTAGGAACCTAGCATAATGCGCAGGACACTTTACGTCCAACAACCCTGTGAGGTAGGTTAGGTGGATCGCTGATGAATGGCCCATGTTCTCCCAGTGAGCTCCGCAACCAAGCAGGGACTAGAACCCAGGCCTCCCCAGCTCCGGTCACCACTGTACCACACTACCTGATCTTTCCCTGCCCCAAAAACTGGAGATGCCTAGGACAAAAACTGGGACCTTCTGTTGTAAAACGATTGTTCTCATGCCTTGAAATCAAGAGCCTCATGATTCCTTACAGGGAAGAGCTGGTGGTCGGCTTCACCAAGGAACTGGAAATGAACATCTACCTGGCAAACCGTGGAGGTGGCTCTTACCTGACATATCTGGTTCTGCAATACCCTGCAAACCTACACATGAAAAACATCCTGAAGGTACTGTCTCAAATTTCCCAAATGTGGCATCTGTTACCCACATTCCTTTGATCACATCCTCCTCCCCCAGGTCTGTCTTTGCCCTTCCTTTTGATGCAATGGCTGAAAAAGAATCAACGAATACTAAAATGAAAGCTGCATTTGAGAAATAAAATAAAATCTGATGCGGGTTAGAAGTGGGACTCATCTCAAAGTGTGTGTGTGTGTAAAGATCTGGTCCTTCTTTAGATATGGCTCCTAAGGTTTTTCAGCTAAGAAGTCCTTCATATAACTTTTCCCCCATTTATTAAGAATAACTGGCCACAGCAGCATATTTTTCTCATATCTTATTGTTGTACTGTTTGAAGATAATAAACCAGAATGTATTATACCTGAAGCTGATATGTGACCAGAAATACAGAAAACCAACATTCTAAATGCAACATGGCTCATGAAAATGGCAAACGCTTTTGGATTTGATAGTGGCCATTCATAAATACTAAAGTTAATATGTAATATAAAAGTTAAATAGAAGATGATGATTTAAAGGTTTCAGTAGATTTCTAAAATCAAACCTCCAGAACTGGGATCATCCCTGACACTTGGCTAAGATCAAATACACACTTCTCTCTCAGTCTCTCTCACCCTTAAATTGTGATCAATCAGAAATTTAGATATCTTGTAAAGACTGCCTTGTTCTGTAATTACCACTCCTTAATTCGAAAGTTGTTTGCAAATTTTATGGTATGGTTTCAGTCTCTTGCTGCTTGAGTTTTGACATTTTTATATGGGATTGCACATTATGGAGGTTAATGTTTAAGACTCGGTGTTTCCACAGGTTTCCACGCCAGTCATTCAGTGTGTTGCCTCTGAGCTTGCTCCAAAGCAATTCTCCTCTCTGAGCTGCAAGGTTGGGCACCCTGTGTTCAAGGCAAACACGGTAAGTCATCACCACAGCAGATTTTGTGTTTCTTGATTCATCCAACTGAAAGCTCTCCCTTAAGCAGACTTTTCCTTGCTGTCCATTCCTGAGCCTTCGACTGGGCTCATCACGAAAGGTCTGCAAAACATTTCGGATGCATTAGCTGCAGGATTTTGACCTACAGTGGAGGTTGTGGGGAGAAGCAGCAGGTCTGTTGGCTTGAACAGACCTTGCACAAACCCTATGGAAGAGAAGGGGCTGTGTGTGCCATTGGTGGAATTTAGAACATGCAGGGGCTTAGAAAAACTAGAACCAAAAAAGTCCCCTTTTCTGTTACCCCTGCTTAGCACAGCTGACAAGAGCTTGCCAGCACAGGGCTTCTGGGGTTGTATCTTGTACAGCTGGTGGGGGGTTAGAATTAAGCGACTCTGCCTGTGCTGCTGAGACCACATCAAGGGAAGGGACTGGTAGGAAATCGTAGGTGGGAACTATTAGTCTCACCCGAGCCAACAGACCACCAAATAGTTGTTTCAAAGACTGTGCAGCGAAGGGGGAGGGCCTCCTACGAGTCCAGGAGTTTTTGCTCTTTTTCAATCTCCCCTCTCTCCCTCCCTCCCGGTTGTGACACAGGCCCATTTCTCGGTCATCTGGCAACTCGATGGAAAAAGGTTCCCCGGCAGCTTGGCCAACCTCACAGTTAGCGTTAACAAGTAAGTAAATTCCGCTACTCTTGCTTGTAAATTCCAGCAAAAGTGTTCCTTTTGGTTACCAGTCCAGCAACACAAGCAAGGCCAGGCAGATAAAACTGGGATACAGAGAGATTTTATGCTTTTGATTGAGTTGGGAGACTTCTGCTTTAAAGGAAACAAAATGGTGTTTCTGGGGGTTTTTTGTGCTTTTTGACCTTACATAAGTGAAACAATAATCTTCAAACGTCTTTTGTTGCTTGTTTTGGTATAATGTTCACTATTCATTTAAGAGAGAGAGGCATGTGATGATGGTGAATGACTTTGGAACAGCCCTTTTGTTGATCAGATGTCGCTCGATTTTACCTCCAGCCACATGCCAAAGAGGCCCAAGAGACATCATAGCCGTGTGCTTTGGAAATTCCAGTGGGTGTATCCAATTGCAGAATCGTTTTGCCTACATTCAGGCCCTGGAGAGTTGTGGCAAAAGGGTCCCCCAGACAGACACTAAACGGTGCAAAGGTCTAATTAAAGGCATCGATTATGTCTGTGTTATGCCTCATGTAACATTACCCAGGAGAAGCCCTGCTCTCTGTTTTTGCAGAAAAGAGCGGCATTGCCTATGTTTAAAGATAATCTCCTCTGATCACTAGAATGAGTTTGGCACTCAGTGATAAAAACTTGAATGCCAGTTCGGTACAATAAGCAGGAAACGCGACAGGCAAGCCCAGCTGGCAAGGAGGGCTCAGAAAAGGAGACTTCTGTGCCCTGATTTGACGCTGCAAGAGGCCAGGTCTGGCAATCCAAATCCAGCCCACCTGTACACCCACTCCAGACTTCTGGTCTTCTCTTGACTGCAGTGTCTTTCCCCGCCAAGCACTCTGTTTGCGGGTGTCCTGACCCCCGTTGTGCACTCTTCCCTTCTCTAAGGCCGAAATGCTTCTCCCAGGGCAGAGGGTCAAATCCTAGACAGTGTCTGATGGGCAAAGCAACTGCATGCACCCTTTGGGGAAAGCAGTGAGAGCTTGAGCAAGGCCCAGAATGCTGCCAGGTTGCTTTTGCTTTCACAGCACCAACAGCAATAGCACAACCCTGATAGAAGAACGTTCTCTCCGTGTCAAATACGCCTTCAGCGCCATCCTCGGCAGGTAAATGGCCTCGGGAGCAGCCAAACTATGGTTGCATTCTCCAGTGTCACAGGAGCTGCAGGTGTTTATCTGGGGATGAATTTGCTTTGAAGATGGATTAAATTGCCTTCCTTAGTTGAGAATAACTTGAAGGTTTGGTATTGCACCGTTTTGCTAGCATAAGCTCCTTGAGCTTTTTAATCCTGGAGGCTTGGTCAGTATTGCAGGGTACGCATTGCGGTATAAACTTTTGCTGACAGCACCTGAAGGACTCTAGTTGGTTCAGAGTGAAAAAAGCAATATGGAAACCAGTAGAACCTTTAAAGCTAACCAAGTAAATAAGGTCGTAAGCCTTTGGGTGGCAGGGGGATGCAAACTTTTTTCTGTCTGAACATGCATAAGATTTCCACCATAAATTTGTTAAACTTAGTGTGGTGCCAACAGGAAGCCTTTAAACAAATTAAATAAGTAAACTATAGGCAGATACTAATCATAGCACTTACATCACCTTTATTAAAACCAATTAAAATTCTGCAAAACTGTGCAAGTTTCCAAGTTCTCCAAAAAAAAATCATCAGGCTCAGTCGTACAAAAGTCCCGTATCGCCTGCATTTGTACCAAGTCCAGGAAGAGGACTAAAGTATCATCCAGCTGTGCATTTTGGATTGTGCTGCCTCACTGTCCAGTAAAGCTAACTTCTGTAAGTCATCTTCTAAGGTGCTACAGGAATCTTTGTTGCTTAGGAGTTCGCCTTTAGAGTTTCGCCTGATATGACAACATTCCTTAGCTCTGAAAATGGAGATTGCCAAGGGAAGAAAAAACCCCCATTCTGAAGCCAGCAAGCTTTGGTTTCGTCCTAAGCATTTTCTTTTCTGCCACGGCACTCATACACCTGGAGAATCAACGGGAATCTCTGTTCTTCCCCCTCCTAAGAACAGTGTGTAAAGTATGCCGTTCACAGCAATTCCCATCAGCCTGAGGTAGCACAGCCAATGGTGAGGCGGCATGAAGTAGGGTGCTCATGTGGTATCGGACAGGATTTTTTAAACTAATTGCTGCACTTGATTTAACAGGCTGAATGTTTTTAACGCTGGCTTTGTTTAAATTCTTGAATGTCACCCTGAGCCTTTACCTATGTGAGTAACCTCAAGCTAACCTGTTTTGCCCTTTTGGGTAGAAAGATGGAGTATGGAACAAATAAATAGACCCGCTGCCCTTCCAGATGCCGTTGGACATCACACTTGATCATGCTCCTTCACTGGCCATGCTGGCTGGGGCTGATGGGAGTTGCAATCCAACACGGGGGGGGGCAGCACTGGATGCCCCACTTGTTGTAGGACAGTGAAGATTTTCCAAAAAAAGAATTATGATGGGTCTGATCTCATGGATCTGAGAGAACTCAGCTATTCATGGATTCACCTGGGTGGGTGACTTGGGTGACACCGTGAGCCCTCTGTCCCAAATGTGTTTTCCTTTTTTAAGGTATCAAATTGCTGTCTTAATTTATATATACACACACCTATTTGCCTGCAGGCCAATCCCCACTGTGAATGTGATCCTAGGCGACGGATCCCTCCAGAGCACCCACTTCACCTTCAATGTAAGTGCAAGGCTGCGGGCCCGTCCCCATGTCCTGGAACGAGCTGCCTCTAACCCCCAGGGGTCTCCTCTTTGCAGATCAATGGGAAAAACCCGTTTGGGGTGCCGTTTCACTTGAGGATCTGGATCCCCATTATGATAGACAACCAGCCGCTGGCAAATGTGATGAAGGTGACCGGGAGACAGGTAATTCTTTTGGCAGCTGTTTCTCTCCTTCAGCATGAGAATCAGCTCTGCTTTTCCAAAAAATTTGTAACAGGCTTCCCTCATGTGAAATCACGTGGGCAAAAGGTCCTCTCCGTCAGCATAAAGTGGCTTGGGGGAAAACAGCAATGACGGAAGCACCTAAACCGGTGGTCCCCCGTGGGCACCTCCAGGCACTTGGGAACTGCTGTGGGGCAGGTGGCCAGGCACAGAATGGCTGCCCTGGCTGGTCAAGAGACGAGGGGGAAAAAGCTGGTGAGGCCAGAAGCTGGGAGGAAACGGGAAGCTCCTCTGTAATCCTTTTCCGTCCTTACAGGCCTTTTCCCTTCGTGCCCTCCTCACTCCCAGCCTCTAGCTTGTTTCTCCCACACCACCCAAGTCTCTGCTTCCCTGCTTTCTCCTGGGCCTCCTAGCCTCTTCTCCTGTGCCTAGTTTAATTTTCATGCACCGCCGACCAGCTGCAGATTCAGGAACTGGAAGGACAGCCAGGTGCACTGGTGTTTTGTAATTTTTTTAATTAATCTTTTGGAGGGACTTGGGGATAAGAGCTTTGCCAGCGCTTTTGGATGTTCCTGCGGGTGCTACAACAGGAGTAAAATCATTTGCTTGGGCAGAGGAGGAGGGCTGCAAGGTGAGGGGTGCAACCGTTTGGAGAACCAACAGGGCTGAATCTGCCTCCTGCTTTTAAAACAAGAATTTTTATGCCCTCCTGGTCTTCGGGGAAAGGGGGGCGGGGACAAGCTCTGAACCTTAGAGTAGTCTTTGGAGCTATGAGGAAGGAAATAAGACAGAGTGAGTAAAGCTATGTTCTCCCAGCCACTACAAAAATAGCACTTCAGAAACAAAGACTATATAATGCCCTTTCTGCTATATACATAATACCTAAGAGCTGTGTGTCAGGTTTTTGCCCGGTTCTTTTAGCACGCAAGACCCAGTTATTCACTGGAACAAAGTGCTCGCATTGAGCAGATCTGTGGCAGATCTGAAGCCGAGAACCTCTTCGGAGAACAGCTTGAGCTGCTTCTCAGTCTGTTTCATGGAAGATGTCTTGGGCCTCCTTTTGTAAGTCACCTCTTTTAGAAGTTTGTCCGCCAGGTAGTGGAGCCACAAGACGTTGCTGTGGGGGGAGTAGCCAGCCCAGTTGTTCGCGTTTTCCTCTCTCATCTGCCTGTAAATGTCAAACTGATAATCCCCTTGACCTTGGAACACCTCTGTATCAGTGGAAAGGTCACAGTATACGGTCAAGCCGTCCCGCTCCAACCTGGAGAAGGTATAATCAATAATGTTCACGAGGTAACCTTGTGTAGGAAGGAGGCGGGTTTCCCCATTCAGTGTGATGCTCACATCCTTTAAGCGGGTCTTCCTGACCAGCACGTTCCCCCAGTGGAGGTCCCGGTGCTCGAACCGCAGTGCCTCCTCGGCCACAGCGAGGGAAGCTGTGACTTGTTGCAACAGGCTCTTGGCCACAGCCACAGAGTTCAGCTGCTGGTGCCGCATGTTCTCCAGGTCAGTGCCTCCAAATTCAAATTCCAGGACCATGAAGAGCTGCTGGTCTCCAAAGAAGTCTGGCCGGTCATTCTCAGACTCTCTCAGCCTGTGATACTCATCCCAGGCGCTCAAGAGGGGCTCAGGGTAAGCCCCCTGCACACAGTGTACCGAATACAGCCGAATGAAGCCAGACGTTTGGTTAACCTTCTCTTCCGCCAAGAGGCTGAGCTCTTTGGAAATGATGATCTCGGGCAGGATCTCACTGAAGGTTTTCTGAGGCTCCCCATTGACTCTGTTGCTCCCTTCAATGGGAATAATTTTTAACGCCACGGCTCCCTGCTCACCCTCTGTCCTGAAAACCTCTCCAAATACCCCCTCTCCGATTTTCTCACATTTCTGCATCTTTTCTGAGGAGATGCAGTCCTCGAAGGGAATGGGGCCCCTCTGCTGGCACTCCCCGTACACTTTTTCAGCATCTGTCAGTGCCACCTCAGGTGAGAAGAACGAGGTCATGGATGACAGCAAGACCATTGAAGAGGTGGGACAAATCGAATAACCCAGCTTTTGAGTGAAGGGGATCTTGGAGGGCTCTGCAAGGTGGGATTTGACAGGTGTGCCAGCAATGCTGCTGTTAAAACTTTCAGCCTCGGACAGGATTTTCTTTTTCTTGTGGAGGGATAAAGAGGCTCGAATTCTGCGCCACAAACCGGAGTTCTTCAATGTGCTGTCTGGAGACAGAGACAAAGGAAGATCATCCTCCATGGGCCCTTGGAGGAAGGAGTTGGTCTGCTGCTTCCACCCCAAGTTTTTCTTGTGTCTGATTTGCTCAAGCTTCCTGTGCTGCCTCCACCGACTGGAACTGAAACCCATGATGCAAGATTTTTTGCCAGTGGTTCCAGCAGGGACCACCTGACTGGTATTTCTGGTGCTAGACCTTCCAGGCAAGGCACATGGAGAATCTGATTGTGAAGTGTCTTTTTTTTCAAAACAGTAGCCTGAGGCTTGCTTTCTAGAGGAGTGAGTAGCCAACCAGTTTGGTACCACTTGATTGTCCAGGAGCACTACAGGCTGGAACTGGGGGCTACTTTGGTCCAATTCTATCAGCTCCTCTGAGAAAGTGCCATTTAGCTCCACAAGTGGAACAGAGATCTGCTGCCTCTTGGCAGGAAGAGGGATGGCATCTTTTGGATTAGAGAGCGCAATTTTGCCATCGCACATTCTAGCCTGAAGCTGTAACGCTCCCCGAGAAGGACTCAATGAGGCAATGTTACTCTTTGGAGAAATGGACAGAGCTTGACCGTCATCTGTGTTGGGGCTGGATGACGAACTCCCTAGATGGGTTGTGAGCTGCTCCTGGTTTCCCAAGGATGCGCCTGTCTTGCTCCAGTTCTTACAAAGCTGTCCAGGAAAGTGGCTTTGAACGGGTGTGCAGGACAACTGGCTGAGCTGCATCCGAGACCCTGCCTGGGAATCCACGTGGGAATACTTCCGCTGCCGGCTTCGAGAGCTGTCTTGTCCAAATTGCTCCAAACTGCCTCCCATCTCCTGAGCGTCCCCATCCATCTTCAGCAAGCTCAGTTCTGAGAGGACATAATCACAGGTGCCATAGAAGTCCTCTTCCTGCGGGAAGCTGCCCTGAGAGCAAAGGAGGCAGGAGGGAGGCCTACTGCCCTGGAGAACACTCCCTCCCCCTTCCTTCTCCCCAGCCCAATCCCTTTCCACCACCTGTGGGGTCAGGCAGGGCGGCTGGGGTGTGCTGCACAACAGAGGGGGCAGCTGCCCAATCTGACCCCTGGCGAGGGGCCTCCGCGCACGGTGCCGGTGGGTGACGTTCCTGCGCAACGGCGTGGGGGGCCACAGATCGCTTGCCCCACCACCAGCCTTGGGGTGGGTATCTGAGGCCCGATTCGGGTCCCAGTTCTCCTTGGGCTGCTCTCGACCCTGCTTGCCCCTCTCTTCCTGCTTCACATCCTTGACTCTGAGCGGCTTTTCCCGCAGTCGGCGCCTGGGGGACAGGAAATCCGAGTCGTCGTCGCGGGAGGGGGAGGAGGAGGAGGTGGTGACCTCCCCGGAGGAGCTGGTGTTGAAAAGCTGCTTGGGGTCGATCCGGGGCGAGACCCACAGGGCGGGCCGCGGGAGGCGCCTCAGGCCGCCAGCAGGCCCAGGCCCAGGCCCGCCGCCCCTCCTCGCTCCTGCTCCTCGGCCTTGCTTCCCCCGCAGCCCCGAGTAGGTCCTCACCAGCGTCGGCCGGGGCTTCTCCATGCGAGCGGAGCCAGGCCGGCCGGACGGAGCGGAGCGACGGGAAGTGGCCGGCCGGAAACGGGCGGGCGGGGCCTTGCTGGTCTTCGCCGGGCGGCCCCGCTTAGGCAGGCCAGAACGGGCCGTCCAGCGCGCCCGCCGCCATTTCAAATCCAGCTATCGCGAGGAAAACTCCGCGCCGCCCCGCGCTTCTCGCGAGAATTCGGGCCGCGGGGGTGGCGGTAAGTTCAGCCAATAGGAAGGTAAGGCGCTCTCGCGAAGTGTGGCGCGGCGCGAGAGGGCGGGTGGGGGAGCGATTCGCGTCGGCTTGCCCTCTCTGGCCCTTGTCCTCTCTATGGTCGGTGGTCATAGAGGGAAGGGGAAGTTGGACCGGCGGTCTGTGCGCCCTAATTTCCGGTTCGGGAGCCTTGAGGGCCGAAGGACGCCATTTGGTGGTCAATGAGCAAGCTTGGCTCAAACCCTGTCCAGTTGAGCGCTGTCCATGGAGAAAGAAAGTGTGAATTAAAAATAAGTGAAATTATTGTCTTTACTTAAAGATTAAAATAAGATTGGGAGCAGGAGAAGGAGAATTATGTAAGACTCTTTGAGTTCTTTGCAAGAAAAGTGGGATATCAATCAAATAATCGAGTAAAGCATTGTTTTCAATACTATTTAAAAATAACAGTAAATAAGTACATATTCATGTATTGCGAATATGCCTGCAGAAATAAACCTTATTTGAGTTAAATGGATGGTTATACACTGTATAAGATTGAAGTCTTCAATATTTTAAAATATTTTTGATTGGACTTAGGGCATAGCACAGGTTAAAGTAATTAATCTAACTTGAATGAAGGGTCACTGAAGTCTTCCTTTGAGTGTGTTCATGGAGTTGATGCAGGAAGAGTTGTGAACCATTTTTTGACACTGACACTGAACCATTTTTTGACACTGAAAGCAAATTCAACTACACGAAAGTACAACAAACCACAACCAAACAACTTTCTATTGATCATTGATCTACCTTCAGCCTCTGCGGTATAGCACTCTGTATGCACGTCCACGTATGTTCTGGTAAATGGCTGTATGCTGAGCTCACAAAATGTTACACACCTGCAAAAGTTACATATACTGTGAGGAAGTTGAGGCATACCTTTCCAAACTAGGAAAATGCTCCAATTCTGTCAAGCAGCAGCTGATGGAATGAAAGCAACTTACCAATCCATGAAATGATCACAGGTAAGAGACTAAATGAAATCTGTGCACCTTTGGAGAGGAAGAGCTTTGCTGTGTCCCTTTCCGTAGACTGCTAGCCAAGAACATACAATCAAAAATTCTAAGCCATCAATCCTGCCTTACCATAACATTTTCTCTTTTTTCACCAGAATAGCACAGTGTGTAAAACCGAGACTGGTTTCAGCCAGAATGGAAAAATGAACTTTGGAAAGGAAGACCCTCAGGTAAAATAGGGGAGAGGAGAGCTGGAGTTTGTTTGTTCGAATCCTGCCTTTTGGCTTCCCGAAGAGCTAAGGAGACGTTAAAAGCATGTATGTTTTCTGAATTGCAGTGTGTGGTCACTCTAGCCAGCATCCTGTGCGATTCGTGGAGGGTCCGTCAGTGTGCGATGGCTCTGCCAGCCAAGCGCTCACTAATTCTCTCCTCTGTTGCCCACACTTTGATCTGAAACTTCATTTTGCTCTTTCAGAGTAGCCAAGCAGTCACGTTCCAGGCTGTGAACTGCACCATCACGTCGGAGAGGGAGGAGGTGACAGTGACCGCAGAGATGCCTTTAGCTGATTCCTTGCAGGTAGGTGGCAGGAGAGAGATCCCACCAAAAAGGCCCTCTCCATGATAGCCACCTGCCCTTCCCCGTTTGGTGGAGACCTCCAGAGAAGGACTTGGAATTAGTGTGGCAACTGACGCTTCCTGGAGCAGAGAGACGGAAGAGGAAAATTTTACCCGCTGTGGTTCTGCACATGGGGTTACTTCACTGCAGAGGTGCAGTGAAAGTGGAAGTTGGCAACATGGTTTCAACACCACCTTGGGGAGAGGCCCCGCTGTCATACCCATTGCCATCAACCCATTTTACAGATGGGAAAACCCAAAAGGTCCCAGATAATAGTGCAACTGCATGTGGTCTATAAGCTATATTGGCGACATACAGGTATGTGAGGGGGTGTCCCACGGAGGTGGGCAGAGACCTGTTCTCCCCTGCAGAGGAAGGCAGGATGCGCCCCAACGGAGCAAAGCTCAGGGAGCCAAGGTTCCATTTGGATGCCAGGAAGCACTTCCTGACAGTCAGGACCCCGAGGGTGTGGAATGGGCTTCCACGGGAGGCGGTTGAGGCCCCATCGGTGAGGGTATTCAAGGATAGGCTGGACGTCCACATGGTGGGCATGTCGTGAGCGGAGCTGGTTGGAGCCGGAGGTCAGACTAGATGGCCTGGGAGGTCCCTTCCGACTCGCTCTGTTTCTATGTCTATTTTCTTCCTTTAGGTCTTAAAAGAAAATATGGAATTGGAGGTTCTAGGGGAGATTATTTTCGACAGCAGCCACTATATGGACTTGAAGAGAGGAAACCACAAAGCTAAGGTGACTAGGGAGATGGGCCTGGGGGGGCATACCCCTTCCCCACTCCTGGGGATGATGGGAGTCATAGTCCACCCTATCCAAAGGTGTCCAGGCTGGAGAGAGCTGCACAACTTTGCAAACAACATCCCCGCAGAAACACAGTATTCTGCTAAACCTGTTTTGCTTCTTTATATTCAGATCAGTGTTAAATTTCTGAAGCAGGAAACACCCAATTTCCTCCCAGCTATTATTGGAAGCTCTGTTGCCGGATTCGTAACCTTGATCTTCATCATATTCTGTCTTTATAAGGTCAGTGTTTTTTAGTCACGTGGCCCAAACTCACATGCAACTGAGTGTCATTCTCAACTGTTGTTACGGTCAGCACATCTGTGCCTTACTGGACTATTTTGTGAGCAGCGGTTCGAAGGGGTCTATAGTGCCCTCTGGCACTAACCCTAACCTTTTCTCCTGTCCCCTCCCTGGTCCCCCTCCATCACCACACATTTGGGGTTTCCCGGCCTTTGTGCAAACTCCTCCCCATTTTGGAATCGTTCGAAATGCCTCCGCCACAGCTTCCACAGCTTCGTGGCGGTAAAGCTGCAAGGAAAAAGAAGCGGGTGCTTTGTGATTTTTGACCCTGCCTTTTTATGCAGCTCCTAGAAGCAGAAGCGACGCGGCGAGGGCTTCAGGTGTAGGGCCCACATCGTTGTTTGGGGGAAGGGCTATTTTGTCAGAGAGGCCGGCATGCAGGGACGCCTCCTCTCTGGTACAAAGTCGGTGGCGGGAGAAATACGGTGGCTGGGACAGCGGTAGCAGCTGGGCGCTCAGCCTGGACTGGGTTTGGGATCACGGCCTCTGCAGCCTCCCACACACACCGGACGGGCAAAGCGACCTGGAATGAGGGTGCGACCCAGGACACAGCGGCACTGGGGGCCTGATGCTAATTTCTGCCAGCGCTGAGGAGTGTGCCGACAGCTTTGAACTTTTCTCTTGCTGTCAGCCCTGAAAAATGTATGCTTGACTGACTTATTTGATTTTTATCCTGTCTTTTTTTGGAGAACTCAGCGTGGTTTCCATCATTCTCCTCCTGCGGCTCTCAGTCTTACCCCCAGAATTGTGTTTCTTTGCTGCCTTTCTGAAGTCAGCTAAGAAAAACAGTGGAAGATAAGACATAATCAGATCAAACATAGGATGTACTAAAAGTCTCAAAAAAGTAACAGCGAGGGAAAAGGAGACGTCCCAACTCCTTTCCTTGAACAATCCCGATTCCAAAGGGGGTGTTTTTCAGAGGGCCAGAAGGAGCGTTTTCCTAGGCAAAAACTTCCTTTAACTGAGAAATCAGTTATTTTTATCTTCCTGATCAATCCACTAGTCAGAATGACAGTTTAGAAACAAAGCCAACAGAAGTTGCCAGAATCCCAGCACTTTTTTTCTTTTTGATTTGTCTTTTTTCCCCCTTCCCAGTGTGGCTTTTTCAAAAGAAAGTACAAAGCCGGAATGGAGCAACGGCGCAATTCCTGAGAAATAAGGACGGAACAAGATTGCAAAATAGAACCAAGCGAAACCTGTTCCTGTAAGACTCCATTAAGAATTGGACTAGGCTAAATTGAAGAGGGGCCATAATATATCTTTATCCTTTTTCCCCTTTTGGTGGTGGGTGGGGTTGTTTTGTTTTATCCATGTTCTGCTGCCTCCCCTTGTAAGCTGTCCTAAGTGAGAGACTGGAGGAATATAAGAGGGAATCCCCGGAAGTAGGACGGGGAGTGCAGAGATAATGTATATGAGATTATCTCTGTCTGTTGATTAATAATCCGTGTACGTATTCTAACTCTGTATTCCATAAACTGTGTATCATCCTTGACACAGCTGGTTTTGCTGCTTCCTCATCATGTCGGATCTAAATGGATATAGGTATGTGTAAGCGTCAGTGAACGCTTGTGTACCACCCAGAGAACTTCGGCTGGTGGGTGGTACAGAAATTATAAATAAATAAGGCAAACTATCCATATATGTGTCCATATAATAGGGGCATCTGTGTGTCATCCACTCAAGTATCAAAAGAATCGTTAGGTCTTTGATGCACTATGTTACAGGAGGTAGGCTCTTAACTTTCTAGTGTTGTAGTACCAGCCTTCTAGCTGTCAGCAGGGTGTGGAAAAACTATTTGCATTAATCTTGCTTTAATTTGCAAGAAACAGGTAGATACCTTAAAAATGTACATCAGAAAACATCAGAGTGTTCTATACAAAGTTTTTCTCTATTATACCTTCCACCCCAAAGAGACACAACTACTTGGCATCACCAATAATGTATGATTAAAAGAATTAATAGTCCTATCACAATGACAGCAATTAGCTGACTTAGAGAAGCCCTTATTAATGAGACGTTGCGGCAGCCAGAAAATGCAAAGCACAACATTTTTGTTAAATAGGATGCAACTTCAGTGCCACTGAAGCTTCCCTTAAACAAGCTAATGCAGCTTGGATGCAACAGGACATTGCGATCCCCTCTTTTGTTCTCCATTAGACCCAATGTGGGACTGCAGGTGGCGCAGTGGGTTAAACCGCTGTGCTGCTGGGCTGGTTGATCGGAAGGTCGCCGGTTCGAATCTGCCCAACGGGGCGAGTTCCTGTTGCTCTGTCCCAGCTCCTGCCAACCTTGCAGCTCAGAAGCATCCAAATGCAAGTAGATAAAAAGGTGCCACTTCGGTGGGCAGGTAACAGCACTTTGGTGTTTAGTCCTGCCGGCCACATGGCCACGGAGACTGTCTGCGGACAAACGCCGGCTCCCTCGTCCAGGAAACGGAGATGAGCGCCACCCCCGAGAGTCAGGCATGACTGGACTTAACGTCAAGGGGAAACCTTTACCTTAGACCCAATGCATCCTATTTATTCACTGATCAAAGCTTTTTATAACCATGTTTCATGAATTAATGCAACCAGTCAGCTTGTGGAGCACCCTTGGCAGGTCGTATTCTCTGCTTTTGTGCCGAAACCAAGAAGGTTTGGTTGTCTCTCCAAACAAGAGGCGATACAGACACTTGCCCGTAATTGCGCATAATTAGATATCTGCACCAATTAGTGTCTTCTTGGGGGAACTTTTTCTATGACTCTCCAGGGCGTGAAAGCAGGTCAAACAATCCCGTAATTGGATGAGCCGTTGGGGATTTCCAAGCAAATGGGTGAGTTTTCCGATTTGTCGTATAATACAGAAATGAAGGACGCCTGATCGCATGATGCGCATCTTTTAAATTAATAGCTTAACGTTAAAAAAATGACAAAGCATTCAATTCATGATTGGAGGGTCCATTCTAACAAGCTGAAATACCTCGCCTGGAGTTCATTCCTGGCAGAAAGGGCCTTAAGCTGCCGAATGCTGGGATGGGTTATTTATTTATTTGACACATTTATATGCCGCACCCATCGCAAGAGCCTCGGTGTGTTTTAGTTCTTTGGTGTGTTTTGGGGATGGCTTTCTTCTTTTCCGTCTCCATTCTGTCTCCTTCCTTTGCTCTATGTTTTAATGGCTCCAGGCCAGACCCAAAGATCACTTTGTTATCCTCCTGTGGAAATGTTCCTGGGTTAGCACTGAGGCTATTAATAGCTTCCCCATAATATTATATGTGAGGGGGAGATCTTTTATGTGCCCCTGGAGGGAAGACAGGATGTGAAAACGGCTAAAAGTTCACTCTAGATCAATCTCTTCTTTTCGGGTCCAAGATTGCTTCTGCTTTGCTGTGGTCGGGATTTAAGCTCTGATCACAGCTTGGGTTGGTCCGCCTTTAAAGCAACCATTCCAGGAGTTGTACCACTATATTTTTAATCCTGGTGTTTGCACTCGTGTGCTTGCATGCTCATGTACGCATATGACCTATTTTATCTTCTGTCTTTGGAGATGAGTAACCACTATGGGTACTTTTTAAAAACAGAATGAAAATGAGAAACTATTGAAAAGTAGTTGATGAGACCTGTGGAGAAATTTCAGTAAATTGACAAATGTTTCTGATCAGAGATATGAAGACCTAGGGTGGAAACACAGGAAAAATGGGGGCACATTGTTTTTAAGTGTGGTTTTTCCCCCCATTTTCTGGAGTCGATGGGCTCCTTTAGAATTGAGTGTGTGTTGTGGGGGCAGGACAACATGCCTGAGGGAGGCAAATGGGCGAGAAGAAAAGTCACCATCTACAAAGCAACAAAGCAGAAACAAGAGTAAGCTCCAAACAACAGAAGATCTTACTTTTGAACCCAAAAGAAGAGGGCATTACAACCCTGCACTTGGCAGCAAGCCAGTTTTCTTCCCAGCTTTCAAAATACATGTTTCAAGCACTCTTAAAAAATGGAACTAAAACCGGAGAATCTGGTAGGCACCACACTGGAGACCTGAAGTATTAGTGGGTAGTTCGAAAGTCTTGGTAATTTAAAGGCGATGCCGGCTGTAGAGGACCAGTCCCCGTAGCATCTTCTGTGTCCTTTTATGGGGTAGTGGTTGCATTTTGACTCCAGAGCCGGCTTTTGTACAAAAAGATGCTGGGTTCAAATCCAGGCATGTCCAGTGTAGCGAATCGGGTCTCAGGAGATGGGAAAATCTCGAGACGCCAAGGAGCTATTTCTTCAGGAGTAGCTTTGCGTGCTCCCCGTCTCCTTTTCTGGGTCAAAAATGCGGCCAGAGGAGCACATAGCTGCAGTTGGATCAATTCTGAAAGCGGCGGCATAAAACGCCCACCTTTGGTAGCTCGCCCAGGCAAAGACAGCTATTTATAGAATTCATCTGAGAAATGGGAGCTCTCTTTCGGCAAGGTTGCTTCTGCACAGCACTTCTTGCTGCAACCGGCTGGCGCGCATCCTGTTGAGTTCTGCTCATGCCGTTCTCTTGGCATTGCAAGACGACTGCTTGTTTTGGATTGTTATTGATTGATTTAATTGAACTATTCACTAAATGCATCGCATTGGCCATGCAAGGCATCTTTCTTGGCCTTGTGCCATTTTAAACTATGCCTACTAATGCAATTCAGCCTTTTTTCCCCTTGCAAGGAACTTGGGGGTGGCTCACATGGGCCTGGCAATTTTTTTCTCACAACAGCCCAGTGAGGTTCTCACTAGTCCGACCTCGCCTGGAGTCCTGTGTCCAGTTCTGGGCACCAAGATTGAAGGAAGATGCAGGAAAATTAGAAAGGGTCCAGCGGAGGGCAACAAAAATGACCCAGAGTTTGGAAATGCTGCCCTGTGAGGAGAGACTGAGGGAACTGGGCCTGTTGAGCCTTGAGAAGAGAAGGCTGAGGGGGGACATGAGATCCCTCTATAAGGACCTCAAAGACTCTCACAAGGAAGGTCAAGATCTCTTCTTGCTGATAGCAGAATGCAGGATGCAGAATAATCAAGTCAAGTTGCAGCAACCCAGACGTAGGCTGGACATCAGGAGAAGCTTCCTCATGGTCAGATCAATAGGGCAGTGGGACCAGCTGCCTGGAGAGGTGGGGGGCTCTCCCACACCGGAGACATTCAAGGGGAAACTGGGCAGCCTCTGAGTGGGATGGTGTGACGTGGCGTCCTGCAACCGCAGGGGGGATGGCCTTCAGGGCCCCTTCCAACTCTACTCTTCTATGATTCTATGATTTTATGAGCTAGATGAGACCAAGAGTCAGCGACCAGCCCAAAGTCACTTGGTGAGCTTATGGCTGAGCGGGTACTCTCCCGAGTCTTGGCCAAACCCTGCAACCCCTACAGGAACCCCTGTTCCTTGTAAGCCGCCCAGACCCTTTTTTAGTAATGGACGGCATGGAAAAATTTAAAATAAATAAAGCACACCATGGCAGGTCTCAGATATATCTAAAATTGCATGAATTCCACATGATTAGAAAGCTACTAAATGTGTGGACAAAGATGGGTGCCTTGGCGAGACCTTCTCTCTAGACCAGGTCTGTCAAATCGAACTTTCCACATGAGAGAAAAATATGATGTGTTGTTTTTGCAGTAGAATAGAGAGCTGAACCTGAGGCACACTGAGGGTAAGGATGTGGAGAGTTGAGCAAACACCTGAAGGATCGAAAGAAAAACTGCTGACAATTTAACATGCGGTTCTATCTAAAACAGGAACTGTGGTCAAGCACGGGAAACGGCAGCTGTGACGGAGAGGTTAGGCCGAATGCTCAGCCGAAGAAGGGAATGAATAAATAAATAAGGGCAGGGGGCTGCTTGGGATAGAGTCGAAGAAGGGAATCATAAATATGGGCAGGGGCCTGCTTGGGATAGAGTAGCGGGAGATATCAACAGAGGTGGAATCCATACAGTGCTTTTAGGCACTTTGGATAGGCTGTCAACCTTGCAGGACCCAGCCAGTGGGGAAACGAGGGAGGGAATCGGCACGCTGAGATAAGGATAAATACATCTGTTTGGCATTGCCCGGGCGTGTGCCTACTGAGATAGAACGGCCCTTTTGCGAAAGGTAAAATAAAAACAGTGCTGCTTGCGTTTCGTGCCGCTCCTCTTAGTTCTAACTTAAAGTGTGAGTGCCGGAGCCGTTTCTCACACACAAGGCAGCTGTTTGTCCAGCTTCACCAACCGCGGGCTCCAACTGCAGACCTTCCATGCCAACAGAGCAGATTCTCAAGTGTAAAATGCACAGAATGTGAAGGAACGCTTGTGTGCATGTTCTCGGGTGTACCGGTGTACGTCTTGGTGTGCGTGCGTCGGCGTGTCGCTGCACGTTCCTGCGTGTTTGTGTCCCTGGCTGTGCTTGGCTCTGCATGTTCCAGGGCACGCCTGCATTCGCATGCAGCCGGGTTGCACTGGCTTGTGCGCTCGTGCCGGTTTGACTCTTGCAGCCCGAGCCGGCATGGGAAGGGCTCTGCCTGGACCGAGAGATTCCGGGAACCTGCTGGTGGCTCCGCAAAGTGGCCGCTGCACGTATCTAACCAGCCGAGCATCCGCTGCCGCATTTCCTTCGAGAACGGTCCTCACTATGCCTGAGGGCAGCAGAGCAAAGCAGCGCAGAGCAGAGCAGGGGAGAAAAGCATTTCAGGTTTGTACGTGTGGCTAATTTTCCCTGTGCAGTGCTGCCTTTTCTGACTAAAACACACCTCATTTCCTTCCTCCCTTCCTTCCTTCCTCCCTTCCCTTCCTCCTCCTCCTCCTCCTCCTCCTCCTCCTCCTCCTCCAGATGCATCTCTGAGTGAGCCACGAGGATGGGGCAGGTTGCCTGGAAGGAACTGTGCTTGTCGCTCTTCGATTATAAAACTGAGAAATATGTCATTGCTAAGAACAAGAAGGTGGGGATTCTGTATCGTGCCGTCCAGCTGTTCATTTTGGCATACATTGTGGGGTAAGAGAACGCGCCGGGCAGCGGAGGACGGAGCGAGGGACGGGTCTGGACATTCTAGTTCTTAGTGCGGCAATATTATTTACATAATACCGCTGCACAAAGCTGATCTGCAGTGCTGAACCCAAGACGGGTGGGATAAGCAACCTGGGGAGGTGACCGTATCTAATACCATGTCCAAGATCGTGCCTTTGACTGGCTACAGCGCTCTGGGGTCTCGGGCAGAGAAAAAAAAACTGGGAGAACCGAGGACCGGAGCAGTGACCTTCCCCTTGCCAAGATCCCTTGCTTGTGAGGTTTGTGCTGGACAGAGTTCAAAAGTGGGGTGCTGGAGTGCTTTTAGTCCCAGCAGTCTGAGCCCAAGCGCCTGCAGGCCCCGATCCTCATCAGAGAAGGAGTGGGTGCTGGGGAGAGCTGGCACTCGGCTGGCGCTGCGGGGTTTGCCTCCCCTCTGGTGGGGCACCAGGGCCTTGGCTGTCTCCCAACGGTGCCGTGCCCACCTCGCTGGTTGAACTGGCTTGCCTAGCATCCTCTGAAGCAGAAGAGTACCCCTGAGCATGTCCAGAGAACATCGGTTCTCCCCTCCAGAAGAAATCTTGCCCTTTTCTTCGTCTGCTTGCCCTTCCATGGCTGTTTCAGGTGGGTGTTCATGGTTAAAAAGGGATACCAAGATGTGGACACCTCCATCCAGAGCTCTGTCATCACCAAGCTGAAAGGAGTCGCGTTCACCAACACTTCGGAGCTGAGCCAGAAGGTGTGGGATGTGGCGGACTACGTAATTCCTTCACAGGTGCAGACGCCAACTCAATTTTATGCTGTTCTGTTCGTTGTCAAGTGTTGGGCTGATCTGAACATAGGATTGGGTGAGAGTTTTGCGGGGTTCATATTTTATGGATTTTTTTACTTTGCTTCTCAAATAAAAAGTGCCTGGAGCAAAAGCGCTCCCCCCCTTTTTCCTTCCCTTTCCCTTCCTTCTTTTTCTTTTTCCTTTCCTCCTTTCCCTTGTATTTATTTATGTATTTGTATGTATGTATTTATTATTATATTTTACCCCGTCCAATATGAGTAACTCTGGACGGCTTACAGTATAATAAATACCTAATAAATACATCAAACCATGACAAGATAACCTTTCATCATCACAGTTCCTTGTCTGCGTCTCTTTTTTCTGAGCCCCCTTTCTCCTCCTTTTCTCTCCCTCCCTCCCTCTTGCTTCTCAGCCTGTTTTTGCAAAAATCCTTATCTGATCCTTTTCTGCTCTTTTTCTCTTTGCTCCACACCTTAAACTCCTTCCAGGGAGAAAGCGTCTTCTTCGTAATTACCAACCTGATCATCACGCCAAACCAACGACAAAGCACCTGTGCGGAGGTAGGCTCCCGAGCGCTTTCAGCCCCAAAGTTCTGCATTCCTGCTTTAGCGCAACCGGTAGAAATTCAACAGGGGCAGCTCCACACCCACTAGCACATCGGTCTGGTTGGACTGTGTGATCCACTTGCTGCTTCAGCAACAATTTGCACTCATTTTGTGCCTTCCTCAGTTTCTCACGTAAAGATTGTCATCAACTCACTGTCCATGCTAAGTGAGGCTGGCAGGAATTGGAAGCAATCATCTGGAGTCATGCCGATTCTTCATTTTTCTGGCCAACAGAATAAGCATAGGTACACTTTTTAACAGCTTTTGAATTATTATTATTAATCAAGACAGGTTGAGATTGTAAATAATTATTGCCGCAAGGGGAAAAATGTATAAATCAAATTACAGAAATGCAGACAAAAGGTAGGGAGAAGATTTCTGAAAGCAGATTTGAGAGACCGATTATGCAGTATCTTTTCCCAAACTAGCCCACTCTGGCCGTTTTGGATGAATTCTCCCAGCTTTCCTGACCATTGGCCATGGCGGCTGAGCGGGGAACAGATGGGAGTTGAAGTTGAAAAAAATCTTGCGGGTCCCAGTTTGGGGCAGCTGAATTCGAATGTCGGGCCAGGACTGGCGACATCCAGGATCAAATCCCCAGCTCAGTCATGACACTCACTGACTAACCACCTCCCAGACACGCCTGCCCCACAGAGTCGTCGTGAAAATAAACGAAGTAGAGGGGGAAATACTTTTGCCACTGGAAATTTCTTGGAGAAAGGGAAGGATATAAATGTTAATGGATGAAGGCTAAATAGCCCAAGCGCGATTCGGTTTAACCACACCTTCCTGCTTTCATTGTAATTGTGGTTTAGCACAGCCGTGTAACCTTAGATGGGCCGAGTTGTGTGAATTGTGAATTTTGTTCTGTTCTTAAAAATATCAGCATCGGTGTCCCCAAGGGCTGGAATTATAAATGCAATGTATCACTCGGTAAACAACCATAGCTTGGCTGAACTGGGTCGCCATGGCTCGACCCAACTATGGTTTGGTGTCTCATCCAGAGGAGTGTGTTCGCTGCCAAAAAGACAGGGTCCCCATTCTCTGGATGCTTGGCTGAACCGCATGACTTTGGTTTGACCCACCTGGGGTTTGGCATTCAGGCCAAGCAATTCCTTCCCCACCAACAGAGTCCCAGCATTCCGGACGCCCTGTGTTACCGTGACGGTGACTGCGCTTCTGGGGAAGCGGTGATTGCTGGCAATGGTAAGTCAGATGCTTTCGAAAGGTGTGCTTTCCAGGGGATTCACAAAGTTGGGTGGGAGGATAGGTGGGTCTGGAACCCACAAGCATTTGGGCTCCCTCAAGGTACATTTTCACGGAGAAATATCTGAGATCTTGTAGAAGAACTAAAACCGCCCCAAAGGAGCTTTCTCACCTGGATCACTACCATTTGTTGTTGAAACAAATGTTTTATTTTAGAAATTCAAGGCAGCAAGGAGATCATGACAAAACATCAGCACATCCCCCATAATCATGCCAGCACCTCCTATCTCTTTTTCTGCTAATGGTTTTATAACTATTCTTTCTGCTGGCAGCAAGAGGGGGAAGGAGGTATTTACGCCACAGCTGCATTTATCTATCCTTAAAAACCGAGAGGGGGTAATAACGGGGTGCTGTGAACGGCTCATTTTGCTGTCTGAGAAATACAATTGCAAAAGAGCCAATCAAAAGACTTGCACATGTTCCCCTGTGCAGCACATGTGAAATGGAGCACTTTTAGCCTTAAAACCTCCCCTGCAATTTGAGGGAAGGTTGGCATTAATACAATTTCTTTCACTGATGTATCCATTCTAAATGCATCTCTCTAATTGCGGCTGAGAAGGACGGAAGTCGGCTCTTTTTCCAGGTTGCCACTTTAAAGAAAAAGGATTAAGATTGTGAGGAATCTGTTGCAAGCTCCGTTTTGCTCGGATACTGCAGAGCAGCTGAGAGAGAGAGAGACAGAGAGAGAAGGAAGGGCAGTTTGATGTCCTGCCTTCCCCACACCCCCTTTCCAGGGGAGCAGCAGTCCTTGCCCCGTGTGATTCTTGTGAATAAATGTGTTTGCCCCACAGGTGTCAAGACGGGCCGCTGTCTCAAAGCTGGGGCCAACAAGAGCGGGACCTGCGAAATACTAGCTTGGTGCCCGGTGGAAAAGAGGGGCAGACCCAAGTTAGTGGTTATTTTTCCAACTTGTATCCAAACTTTCTTATCTTTAGTTCTCCTTAAGTACTCCACCTTTTTACTAAAGCCCACCATTTCATGCATGCATGACTAATCCAAGGAATTTTTCTTTAGGAAACCTCTTCTAGCAAATGCCGAGAACTTCACTGTTTACATCAAGAACTCCATCTGCTTCCCCAGGTTTCATTTCTGCAAGTGAGCTGCTCTTCTGTGTGGTTTTGCCTTCCTGCAGCTTGGGAATGAAGCCTGGGAATATTCAATGGGATTAAGATGGTTCTTATGTTACTGGAGTCAGTTGCCCTTCTCCAGGCTTACTTGTATGGCCAGCAGGAGCGAGATGCAAATTCTCCCATGGAATTTGTTTCACAGCTTTTGTGCCATTTTCTCCCCTTATAAAGAGCTTGAAACTCTCAGAATGCTTTGCTCCTGGTGGTGAGAGTGTTAAGCTTAAAATTCATGGATATTCCCTGAATTTTACCACACCCCTTTCTGCCTTGGCTCTGCCCCTGCACCACCGGGCTTCTCCGTAAAGGCATTCTCCGGACTGGTTTAGATAGTCGTGTGGCTCCGGGTGGGTGTTTCTGTGCTTTTTAATTTGTTCCATCTCCCAATACAGAACCAACGTTCTCGAAACCAAGGACGACACCTATCTGAAGACATGCCGCTATGGACCGGAGCACCCATACTGTCCCATATTCTTGCTGGGGAACCTCATCCACTGGGCTGGGAATAACTTTCAGGAAATGGCATCAGAGGTACAGAAATTTCTCCCCACCGCTTGCAATAGCTCAGTGGTCTTGGGCCCAGTCCCTGGCGTTTCCAGTTATAAAAGGCAGCTGACGGTGGGAGGAACCTGCCTCTATCAAAGACCTTAGGAGTCAGGGGAGAAATACTGGGTTTCATGGACAAAGTCTATGACTGGGATGTCCCAGGAGGACTCCTGGCTTGGACTCTGTTGGCCAAAACAAACAGTCAAACCCCGAGGTTTGCTGTGAATCCCCAGAGAACTTCCTGGGGTTCTCAGCCCACAAAAGCAACTGTTCAACTCAAGCTTTCTGAATTTTAGCAGTATAATTTGGAGCACGGGTGCAGAACGTCCAACCACGCAGGGTTTCTAGTGGCCGTATACCACCTCTTTTTTCTCCAACCCAGCTTTTCCCAGCCTTTGGTACAGCTTCCTCCCCCATGTTGAAAGGTTGAAATGTTTCCTGATGCCCAAAGCACTCCAGAGGGGTGGGGCACTCCACCGATCATCCCTGGCTGGGGGAATGGGAGTTGTAGTCCCACTCCTCTGGAAGGCTGCGGGCAGGAGAAGGCTGGTGCCAGGGATGGGGGCTGTGGCTTTCAGCCCAGAGAACCCCACGGAAGAAATGTGCTTCCCTTCCTCTTAAGGGCGGCGTGATCGGGATTCAGATCAGCTGGAACTGTGACCTGGATAAAGCAGCATCCCAGTGCAACCCACAGTATTCCTTCAGCCGCCTGGACAGTCGGCTTACGGAGAAGTCCGTCTCTTCTGGATACAACTTCAGGTAAGGGAAGAGGGAGAGGACAATTTGACTTGACTTGGATGAAGCTTTTCTCCCAGGTGTATGTGAACGGGGTGAAGTCCTATACATGCCTGCTCAGAAGCAAGCAGACTTTCCTCCTGGGTAATTTAAGCATAGGATTCTGGCATTAAATGAGGAACTACTCTGATTACTTATTTTATTTATTCCTTTTATTTTATTTGTTCTCTGTCTGTCTGTCTGTCTCTGCCTCTCTCTCTCTCTCTCTCTCTCTCTCTCTCTCTCTCTCTCTCTCTCTGTGTGCATGTTTCCCTTCTACCCACCTGTTTTCGCATCTAGTTTCATTTCTAGGAAGACGGAGGCAGCTTTCCTGAGCACTCATGCAGTTGCTGATCAGCTTAGAATTCTTTATTTGGCATAAAGATTTATGTATTGCTGGCAGTTTTGCAGTAAATAAGCGCCTCTGTCTTCCTCTCATGCACAATTTGTGACCAGATGTGCAAAACCTCAGACCTAAAACCTCCGGATGGCCTCACCCCTTTCCCCCAAACTCAAATGCTTTGACGGTTTCCAATGTCTCTGTGTTTTTCTTCATTCTTAAAGGTTGAAATTCTCCTCAGAAAGCTGAAATTCTGGCAGCAAAACCTTTGAGTTAAAATAAGCTGCCTTTTGTGATCCTCGCCCCCTTCTTTTGCTTTCAGCCCTGCCCACTCCTGGGATGAACCCTCAAAATCTGGAATGAAAAGAACTTCCCATCCTTTATCAGGGCATAAAAAAGGTAAAAAAGTTTCTTTCTGGTTTCCAGATTTGCCAAGTATTACCGGGATGCGGCTGACGTCGATTTCCGCACGCTGATCAAGGCATACGGAATCCGCTTCGATGTGATCGTGAATGGCAAGGTGATGCGCGCTCAGTGGGAAGCTCCGCGCATCTCGCAGCTTTGTGTCCTGAGTGTCGGCCTCGCTTTGTGAGCCCCGCTGAAAAGAAGGGCGAAGGATGGGCTCCTTGCTGTCCTGGGGTCCAGTGTGGGCATCCCCAGAATTGAAAAAGATCAGCCAATCGGTCCCCCACTCACCGTCCCTCATGGCTCCCCCTCTTTCCCCTCCAAGCACTGGGGGGTTTTCTGTCCCTCTGAGGGCTGAAACACCTCCCCAGGGCTTGGTGACTGATCGTAGGAACTGGATGGGAAAGGAGACTGCGGTATTGTGGCCCAGCCCCTGTTGCCTTCTGTCCCACTCCCCCCGGGAGTCACCCGAGCAAACTTCGTGGCCCTGGAGCTCAGCCCTTGGGCTGAAAATTCGGCACCCACAGCTTGAAAAGTGAGAGGGGGCGAGGGCTGGTTCTGGCAGGACTTCCTCAGCAAGCCTTGAGTCTGATGCCAGCCGTCACTGGCGTCTGGTCTGGAACGCTGAGAAAAGTGTCTGAAGGAAGGCCTTCTTCGCATTTTTTTCAGGCGGGGAAATTTAACATCATCCCGACGATCATCAACGTGGGGTCTGGCCTAGCACTGATGGGGGCGGTAAGTCACAGGATGGCGCCTTGATCCTGCGATTACTGATCGATCTGCCTCAATCAATCAACACGTCTGTATTCTGCACTTCTTCACTTCCAGATGCTTGGATGTCTGGCCTCACAAGCCCAGAATCCCAGAGTTGGAAGGGGCCGTCAGGCCATCGGGTCCAACCCCCTGCCCAATGCAGGACTCCCAGTGAACCCACCTTTCCCAGATGGCTGTCCAGCTGCATCTGGAAGGCCTCCAGGGTGGGGGAACCCACCAGCTCCCCAGGTCACGGGACCTGTGGTTGGGCTGCTCCAACTGGTCTTCTTGATGTTCACCTGGAACCTGGCTTGGACCAACTGTGATTCCATGCCCTGCACTCTGGGGCGATCAAGAAGGGATTCTGTCCTTCCTTTTTCTGACAACCCGTCATGCACTGTCCTATCTCCCATCCGTCTTCTTGAGGCTAAATGTGCCCAGATCTTTCAACCCCTCCTGATAGAATTTGTTTCCAGCCCCCTGGATCATCCCTGTTGCCTTCCCTGGACCCTTCCCAGCTTGTCTGCCTCTTTCTTCAACTGTGGTGCCCAGGACGGCACACAGTATTCCAGATGAGGCCTAACCAGTGCTGACTAGAGAGGAATTAAGGAAAGGATGCTGGGAATTGTAGTCTGTAATCTATGCCCAGTTTTCCCAGGTTGGAAAAGGCTGGAATATGAATAAGGATCTTCTGATGAGATCTTTAAGAGAGTAATCCTGTGGGAATAGTAAAGAGAAAGTTCGAAGCAGAGGAACCACTGTTCCCAGTGCACTGCTGAGCTGGGAATGGCCAGGGCAGAAGGTGCGTGGGACCGAGGGGGCTGCCTGTATGTGAAAAAGAGATCTATAATATCCCCTCCCGGCGTGTCCCTGCACCGAAGGCTCAGCTCGAGCCAGGCAGGATGTAATCACACTGCATTGTTCGGATCTGCAGGGAGCCTTCTTCTGTGACCTGGTGTTGTTGTATCTCCTCCGGAAGAGCAATTTCTACCGAGGCAAAAAGTACGAAGAAGTGAGGTACGTCGCCCTCAGGTGTGTCCATGCTACAATGGAGGTTTTTTTGAGCTTGCCACCAGAGGGGCTTTCTTCCCTAGTTGTCTCCCCTGATGTGGTGGAACTCCTAAGCAGTTAGAATCCTGCTGTACCACGTGGCATGGATTGCAAGACACACGGTGGCCTAGTTTTTCCCAGGGGTCCCAGCAGAGCTAATCGGAGGCTTCCGGGAAGGGCGAGGGATGGGCAGAGCGAACAAAGCCAGGCCAGTGGTGTCACGGTGAGGCCAAGCAGGGTCTGTCAGGACCCCAGACCAAGCCACGGGCAGCGATCACTCAGGAGGGACATTTTCTCATGGCCCCTCCATGACTTTGTCTCTGGCAGATCCACAGCGAAGCCTTTACCGGCAGGGACCGTCAACGGGAACCAGAGTGACCATTCCTTGTCTGGGCTCGACCAGGTGAGCCAACTGCAGACTGTCGAGACCTAACGCTGCGGCTGATGGCTGCAAGCCACTCTCCAAGACTCAGCCAACAGTGGAGGTGTCATTTGCTTCGTGGAAAGTTGGGTGGTCCCAGGAGAGGATGGCCGAGATCGGCCCTTCCAGCTGCGCAGAGCCTTATTTTTCAGGAGAAGTTCTGTTCCTTGAGCCAACGGAGTCCACATGGATCAATGCAGGATGTAACATTTAAAAAGCAATCCCCAAAGCCATTGTATTTGTGTAATGGAGTCACGGAAGTAAGTATTTTGGTGTAGCGACTGGGTAGCCATGTTCAAAGTGGCAGGGTCCTTCCATTTTGGGCTGCAAAACTCATCAGGTCAAAGGGTTATTTATGCTTTGTGGAGTCAGGTGACTTTCGTTCTTGGATGGACAGAACACTGAGGATAAACGCCTTTGACTCACCTTACAGATATGTGTAAATATTTCTGGAAGAAGAAGGTGTGTCAGAGATTAAAGTCAGGTGCTTTTTATCCTTCTAAATCATCTGCATTCCATCCTGCAGACCAGTTTGCTTGATTTTAACCAGACTTTCTGGAACACACTCTTGCTGTGGGTTCCTACGTCAGGCCGCATCCAAGAGTCTTTAAACTTAGTAAGGAAATTGTTCCACCGACAATGGACACGTGGACATCTTACATTTGGCCTGTGTGACTCCGGATTTCTCTGTTGTGGAAGGAAGAGGCTGACTTCTCAGAAGAAGATAAGTTTTGCAGTTCAAAGGTTTCACAGCCTGCCTGCACGGACGGACGGTGTGACACGCAGAGAGAAACACAGCGACTTCTGGTGCCATCCCGACTCTTCCACCTTTAAGAATCACAGAGGCGGTCTGGTTGCCAGTCGGTTAGCTCCACAATTGATGCTGGCTGTTAAAACCATGGGTGGGCACAGGTAACTGTTCAAACCACAAGCTTGCACTGATGCTACTGTGATAAACCCGAAGGTGGAGCTGTGATTTTGAAAGGCAGAGGCCGTGTCCTTTGATGCCAGGAAACGACACCAATCTCCCCAAACCATCTGGACATCTTTTGTTCCTTTCACTTTCTAGATCACTGTTTCTTTCCCTGCTTTCCATTTCACCAGAACCAAGAAACTTTTCATGAGCAGAATGCTTTGCTCGCTTTCTTTAGGACTAATCTCCTCTTTACTTTTGGAGGGCGTCTTTATTAAGAGGCAATGTCTGAGATTTTCTGTGTAAGGTCATGCATGGAATAATAGAAGTTGAAAAGCATTTATATATGACAAACTTATTTTCTGGCTTTCTGATGGGTGGGATGTGATCAGAATGGGAAAGGATCTGAGATAGAATCATTTTTTTAAAGGAAATGCTCTTTTCTTCCCATTTATCTATTACTATTATTATTATGTTACATTTCTATTCTTTCTTTTTCTTGCAAGGGATCCAAGGTGGCTCAGTATTGATATCAGTCTTTGTTTTCTTACTGTGAACAAAATGTGAAATGTACCATAGCAAAGGTGATTTCAGGGCATTTAAAAGGGCAGAAATTATTCTGTGCCATGCCGAATATTTGTCCTAGCTGTGCTTTCTTCCTCTTCTCAAATTAGCCTCACATGGAATCCCACCCAATCGGGGTTCATGGTAGTGACTGAGATGGTGCCATGATGATTTCATTTCATTTATTGCAGGTCTATCCTACAATAGCCAAAATGGTTTACAAAAAATAGAAATGTGAAGGCCTACAGGGAAAAAGCAAACACTTGAATACAATTTTTTTCTTTCCAAAAATTTATTTTTTCCTATTTTTCTAAGAACATGAAAAAGCAGAAAATCCTGATTTCCTCCAGTTTCTTTTGCGTTGTGTTGTATGCTGCCAGGTACCTGAAAGTAGAGGCAGGTTTTAACCTGGTACCAAAAAAATGAGAGCGCTGGTATCAGGAAGGCCTCAATGGGGACATAGTTCCATAATTGGAGGGGGCCAAGACTGGGAAGACCCTGTCCCTTTACCCCCCTTTCCGAGCCTCTGTCAGAGGCCATGGTGGGACAACCATCTCCGATAATAGTGGTAGTATGAGTTGTGGCCCAAAAGCTCTGTGCTTCAAGGCACACACGGGAGCTGTTATCTGACCTCAAAAGGAAGGGGATGAATTGGAACCAAACCTTACTCCAGAATCAGTTTGCCCAGACTCAGGTGTAACAAACACAGACATGAGATTGCTGTAATTGTGCAGGGGTTGCAGTGGAGCGGGGGGGCGGGGGCGGGTTGTATTATTACTGTTCCTCATCACTGAACACGAATGGCAGACTTCACTGGAGATGACGAGGCTGGCAGCCTGGCCCTCAGAGAATTGACTCACATGATTACAGTTGTTTCATCCCATGTGGCACGTACTTTATCAACCCAAAGTGTGGGGAGGACTCCTGTTCTCTGAATTGTGCATTCATGATGGAAATGTGTGTGTGTACGAATTGCCCATGTGAAGGACGCACCAGTCCAACCTCAGGCCCATGGGCTTACCCATGATCCATAGTGCTTGAATACAGAATTCTCTGGAAGGAAGTTGCTGAAATGTGGCTTGCTTCTGTTTGAAGGGGTGAATGGCTTTCCGCTCTCGCTGAGGAGGCCCGATTCAGGATTTAGGGGCATGCAGCTGGGGCCAATCTTCCCTGCCCTCTCCTCTACATGGTGCCCCATCCAGTGCTGCAGCTGAACCTCACCCCTGCCCTTCTGCGTTCCTGGCCTTCCCAAAGAAAACACCTGGGGTGGCACCTCAGCTCTTCTCCAGGCCTAGATGGAAAGCCTGCAGTTACACAAAATCCCACAGTGCATCGGGCATGGGGGGGGCATTACAGCTAGCAAGGCAAGGGAGCTGGGAACCATTGTGTCTTCAGTCCCCGCCTCTCCCCTGACCTTGAGGGGGTTGCAATTCTACGCACATCAACTGCCCAGATCTAAGCCGGACTGGCCCTGTAGGCTAAAACATTTGGAGAGCTATTAAGTTGCCCACCCTGGCTGATTTGGAAGTAAACAGCCTTTGGTTTACACACTTCCAGCGTCAGGCCTGTAACATGGGGACACAAAGAAGGGTGTTCCTAAGTTCTAAGTCGAGACCATTACTTGGCACTCATGGCGGTCTTGCTATTTCGTGTTTCTGCTGCCACAGAAGACTTAAAATGCTGGCCAGGGTGCTGGAACAGAACGCAAGGGAGGAAAGGGTGGAGATGCCGGGAAAGAACGCACTTTTCGACACATCAGCATCGTTTCAAAGTCCCAAGTGGTTTCACGTTGTGTTTAATTAACAGAATTCTACAGGCTTGTTTTCTGACATACGTTATGGACCGTGTTATGAGGGCAAGGAAGGATTGGAAACTCCAGATTACTGGCCTAAAAGATGAGGTGGTTGTTTTGGCAACAGTCCTCTTGCTCCGTCAGAACCGTTTTGACCTGGTGTTCTCCTCCTCCTCCTAATAAACATGCACCATACCATAGAGGAAAGTCCAAAAGAGGACATAGGTGAAAAGCCCCCCAATCAGCCCCCCGGTAAAAAGGGGTCGCCGGGACTTAAAGTACTTGTTCCACCGCCGTCCTGCTTTTAACACCAGAAGCACTGAGAGCAGGATAGAGGCCAGGAAGTAGAAGATGAACCCGTGCAGGCCGGTCAAACCAAGGATCCCTGCAGTTACTCCGGAGAGGGCGGAGACTGACGTCCTGCAGTAATCCAGGATGGCTGCGTTCCCTCGGACAGCTGCTTCGCTGATGAACTGGGGGCCTTCTCGTTTGGCCACCATGGTGGCCATGGCTCCAATTCTGGGGGAGTCTTTTTTTTCGCGCCCCTGTTAAGGAGAGGAATAGGAAACCTTCACCGGTATCTTAGGAACACACGTCATTAAAAGAACCAAGCGACACACAATGGTTCATCCAAAACAACCCTTCCCTTTCTCTGGTACCCTTCAGATCCATTGAACTTCAGCATTTGGCTAGGAGAGGCTCAGAGCTGTAGCACCCATATATGGGGAGCGACGTGAGTGAGGAGGGAAGGCTGATATAAAACGAAACAGATTCAAATACAATGTAAATAAATCCATATGTAACTCTTACCTCAGGGTACATGCTTGCTTTGCCTTACAAGCCACCTTACATGCTGAAAATGGGATAAAAATACTAAATACAATTCCTCCACCGCCCCACTTTCCAACCAAGGCGGTTCTCCCCCATCACGCCACGGTGATGACGTCAAAAGGGTTATGTCGTACTTTCTGATGACGTGAAGGAGCAGAGAGACGAGTATAATTTCGCGTTACCGCTAGCCCTCCTTTCAGCCCACAGATCCCTCGGAGGCGGATTGCAAGGAGCACCGAGGCGGCTCTGCCCCTCGCCCAGCTCGCTCACTTCCTTCGCGGGGAAGCAGCGGAGAGGAAACCCGCCAGTTCCCTGGCCGAGCAAGGGGCCCGCCTTCGCCAGCGGCACCTCACCCGCAGCAGGCCTTCCTTACCTTTCCTCCTTCCCCCGTTTGCGAGGCCGGCCGAGCACACTTCCCCCGCAGCGACCCTCACCGGAAGTACGCCTCCGCGGCCATCTTGGAACAGAGAGGACGCTGGGAGCGAGCGTGACGGCAACCCCGTGACGTCTCCGCCCCGCCCCCGCCCCGATTCGTCCCGCCTTCCCTGAGAAAGGGAAGAAAGGATTGGTCCGCCTTGCCTGGGAAAGGTAGCCCGGAAGTCCTAATATGGCACTTTCGGCCCCGCGCGGCGCCGGGCTCCATTGCTTTTCCTCATGACCACGGATAGGCGGCGCACTCGCGTCCTAGAGCGCCCCTTCCTCGTCCCGCAGACCGGATGTCCTATTGACGAGTTCGAGCGGTGAGGGGAGTGGAGCGCGCCGTTGCTCGGGCCGCTGTCCTACCTCACAAGGTTGTTGTGAAGAGGGGCGCGGAATAAACCCGAAGACAGGCTTCTTGGTAGCCGGGGAAGGAGCAGTTGGCTTTTTCTTTTGCGGCCGCGAAGGGAAGCTCGCCGCGGAATGAACAAATGTCGGCGCGCGGGGGCCGGGGCGCGAGGGGCCGAGGGGGCGTGGCCGGGTGGGGCGGGGCGGGGCGGTGGCGCGCGGGGCCCGGCGGCGGGCGTGGCCAGCCCTGGCGCGCGGGGAAAGGGAGGGGCGTGGCGCGCGGGGCCCGGCGGCGGGCTTGGCCAGCCCTGACGCGCGGGGAAAGGGAGGGGCGTGGCGGTGGGCGTGGCCAGCCCTGGCGCGCGGGGAAGGGAGGGGCGTGGCGCGCGGGGCGGGGCGGCTTTTGTTCCGTGCGAGGCGAGGCCGGGGCGGCGGCGGCGCGGGCGAGCGAGCGAGCGAGCGACCGACCGACCGAGCGAGGAGGAGGGCGAGGCTCAGGCCCAGGCCCAGGCCGGCCATGTCGTACATCCCCGGGCAGCCGGTGACGGCGGTGGTGGTGAGTGGCGAAAGCCCTTCCGGCCTCCCCGCTCGGGGCCCCTCGGGGTTCGGCCTCCCCCGCATTTGGAACGCTGGTGCCAGGCCCGGAGGCCCCGCAGGCAGAGCAGGGCGGCTCGTCGCCTCCGGCCTGGCGCGACCGCCCGACCTGCGCGGTCTCTGGGACCGCCACCCGCCAAGGCTGTCGGGGGTCAGTTAAGCCAGGTGAAAGGAGGAGAGGAAAGGGCGACGGGCGGGAGGAGGAAAAGTGCATCCTTGCCCCGCCGTCGCCCGCACGAGCAGCGAAGAGGGAAGGGGCTGGAGAAGGTCCGGCTGGGCGCCGGGCTCCCTTTCCCCCTGCCCCGCCAGAAGAGAAATGCGAGCAAACTGGTCCGTCCCCGCTCGCCGCGCATACCTGCTGGACTGCAAGACCCATCACCCCCAGCCAGCGTGGGGCAATAGAGGTGGTTGTCCAGCGCATGGGGGGGGGGAGCAGGCGGCAGGGGGAGGGCTGTTTTCACAATGCCAGAAGACTCCTTGTTGCTTCTTTTATGCTGCCCCCATTCAAGGAGGTCAGTTTTGTAAAAAACTATTACTTTTTTCTACATTTCAAGAGAACAGGTCATTCAAAAGAGACCAAGTGATATTCAAGTCAATTGTTGTTCTTCCGTCTGCTCTGTTTCAGGCACACAAAATTTGGACTTAAAATAGTATTAATTTTGGAGATATCACTGGAACTTATATTGTCCCCTGTAATACCTGGCTAAACCAAACAAAAGCCCCAGATCTGTCCTGAAATGTGTAAGGGAAAGCCAGGTTTTCTTGCATTTTTCTTCGGGCAGGGAGAAAAGAGCTCAGATTGATCTACCCCGGATGCTTCCTTCTTTCCTAAATAAAATACATTTTCATCTCCTTCCCATTTGTGTTCCTGCTGGAAGAGCGGGAGAAGAATTGAAGATGGATTAGGGGAGGCGCCTGCCCTTCTGAGCCACTTCTGCTCCCCCAGTTATTTTTGCTTGTTCCTTCAGTGCAAATGGATAAATACCTGATTGCAGTGCTACATACATACATACACAAGTGTGTAAAAATGCTTCTGTGTATACGCACGTCTGTATACGCTTGTAGAGTGTAAACATGCATCTATGTTAAGACTGTATTTAGAATAACAGTAATGGAAATACTGGTTTGGATGAAGTACCTTAACTTTACTAAAGTTTACTGCCCTAGAGAGAAAACTTCCTTGAGAAGTACACTGTGCTCAAAGGGAAAGGGGATTGTAGGAGGAAAACGGCCAGGCAGGTAGACAAACATGTGGGAAGACTGGCTCTTACACGCTGGTAACACTGCCCAGGCAGGGCGGCCACCGAGGGAGCCGGGTACAGAAGAGCGGCGTGGCCCCGCTGTGGCTTCTCCCCGACCCCACTGCGGAATTGCTGGGTGGATGCTCCTCTCTTCCCATCACTTTGTGGGGCTGCACTTTTCCTGTGAACTCAGGAGGGGGTTTGGGCCCCTTGGGGGCAATTATTGCTTCCCCCCCCCCCCGCCACCTTTGGGCTGTTCATCTGCTCCCTATTTTAGGAAGCTCTTTGGCGCATGTTCGTGAAGGGAAGTGTGTATGCACACACCTGCGCTGCCTTTACTCTTTGGAGGGTGGGACCGTCTGCCCCACTTGTTTTTGCATTCATCAGGTTGCTCTGAGTGGGTTGGAGTTATTTTTTAAATCATCCTTCAGGGGAAGAGCCTTCTCTTTCATTCCCTGTTTCCCAACTGTTGCCTTAATGACTCCACTTCAAGCCCCTTTTTCTTGCAAACTTTACACTTTCTTCTCTTTTCCTTGCCTCATTCTGCCTGCCCCACCCTCCAGACAGAAGCTGCAAGGGTCAGATTTGTGTGGTTCCTGCAGATCACTTTGTGGCCTTTGGGAGTGGCTGAGGATTCAGGGGTGGTTCAGCAGATAGCTTAGAGGAATGGATTTTGGGTGTGTTCTCTGGGTAGTCATACGAATGAGTAAGTGTAGAGTGTGTGTGTGTGTTAAAACTAGTGTTGACAGAGAGAAATTACTTCCAGACAGCCCGACCCATAAATTACTTGGCCTCTTAGCAAGCCTCACTTCCTGGGTTCACAAAGCAATCAGCCACACGCCAGTCCTGATTCACAGAGGTGGTGTTTCTGCTTAGTCAAAGGGCTGGTGTTTCGTTTTTACAGGAATGTTGAAAATCTGCTGGCTTCTGAGAGGGCCAGCACTGATTAAAGAAGAAAAAAACCTTGGGGAAGGTTTGGGGCACAAACAGGCAGGTGGCCGTCGGCAGTGGTGAAGTTTCCCGGTGCTGGAAACGTCTAGACTCCCAGAAACATGCTGGCTGTGGTGTGAAGATGCTAGTGGTCTTATTTATTTATTATTTATTTAGAGTATTTATATGCCGTCCTTTCGCAGAGCCTCAGGATGGCTTCCCGTGCAGCGTGACATAGCTGTGACTGTTACTGGCCTGGGAGCGGGCATCTGGTCTTTGTCCCGCTGGCCTTGGGTCAGATAAGAAAGCCATGTGCTTAGGAGGCACTCTTTGCCCTTTAAGCTATTTCTAGTTTCTGAAGGCACAGACCGCTCAGTGCTATCAGAGCCGCTGCTGTCCTCTCCCTCAAAGCTTTCTTTGGAGAACGGTGGTTCTTTCCACAGTGAGCTCATCACCCACGTCCAGCTTCCAGTGAAGCATATAAAAGGCTATCTGTTGACAGGGTCGAAGGCTTTCCAACATTGCAGACTGGATTGTCTTGGCCCGGAGGGGCGGGCGGGGAGAGCTCTTAAGCAGAGACAAAGGAAATGAGGGCGATCATTTCAAGTCAACACGCTGTCGTCCATCCTCCCCTTTTACAATCTCCTCTTTCCTTCAGCCTCGTTTCATCAGGTGATTCCATTTTATAGCCCTCCTTTTCTCGGCTTGTTCGCTGCTTCGGCGGCTGAGGAAGAGCCGCGCTGAATCACACCAAGGGTATGTTCACAGCCTGGCGAAACGCTGCCCAGGTGAAACTCACAACTCGGGAGCGCAGTCGCTCCCTCCGGCCCACGTTTCCCTGCCATTGGTGTCGTGTTGCATTTTGCCACAGGCACTGGAGGTAACTCTGAGTTCCACTGCTTGCTCGGAAGCCTCTGCTGATAGTCCTTACTGCTGATTCCAGAACTCATTTGTGTGCTCTCTGAACTAGGCTGGATCTCCCCCTCCATGTAACTCTGCACATGAATATAGTAGTCTCTGAGCCAAAGTCTCAACGTACCCGATTGCTAGAAAAAGAGTGCCTCTGGTTCTGTTCTCCAAGACTTTTGTGAAAGCCAGAGCCAGTTCTGAGCCACGGAATGTGGCTGGGCTATAAAAGCAAGAGCTTGGTGTTGACTCGCCTTTCCTCCTCCTCCTCCATCTCTTTCCTCCCCTCATTTCAGCAAAGAGTTGAAATCCACAAGCTTCGCCAAGGGGAGAACCTAATCCTGGGCTTCAGTATTGGAGGCGGCATCGACCAGGACCCCGCCCAGAATCCCTTCTCGGAGGATAAGACGGACAAGGTCAGCCTCTCCCTGCTGCGGCCTGAGGGCTTCCAAGAAATGTCATGGTGGGATTCAGACTTACTAATCTGGCTGATTTATAGCCTGACTTTTCACCAGAAACATACCATGGTGGCTAGAGCGTCTGGCTCAGGCTGGGATGCCTCTTCCCTGAGTGAGGACTTGGGCCCACAGGTCTTGGCTGCTGCTGCATGTCTTTGGTTCTGAACATCTTTGAAAATGTGAGCTCTGGTCTGGAAGGAGGCCTTCCCATGTCCTGCCTAGAGCTCTCTGCCCTGGGGACTGGCAGCTGCCAGGAGAAAAGGCCTTAAAAGAAGACTCTGGCTGTATTACAGACTAGGGATACATTGGCGAGTGAACCAGACGTGGTGCTGACTTTCTCTTCCTGACTTTCCCGAGAGTGGGATTCTGAAGGGCCATTTCTTTGCAGGGGATGAGAATAGAATGCCGGGCTGCCTGTCTTTTCCATTTGTGGCATGCAGAAACACCAGTTACATTATTGTCTCCAGGCAATTGTTCCTTTTCTTACATGCCACGAATGTGAATATGGGTGTACCTAAGCTGACGCTTCGTAAACTGTGGACTAGTAACTTGTGAGGTCAGCACGCATGAAAGGCAAATCAGAAGTCATGAATGCCACAGTGAGAATCTGCAGGGCTGCAGGTGAGCTTCTACAACAGGAATGCTTCCACAAATGGGTGGCCACGCCTGAGCAGGCAGCACCTGCCAGATTCTCTTGGGCGGGGGCTCCAAAGATGACTCGATGGATTTAGGCAGGTCCACGTCCGAGGTGTCCCAGCCAGCTGAGCTGGACTACCACCCCCAGCAGGCCTAGTAGTGGTTGGGAGTTGCAGTTCGGCACCAGGTTGGGGGAGACTAGGCACTGTCTCTGAGGTGTTCGAGGTCTGGAGGCCAACGCTAACGGCTGCTCTGTGTGAATAACGGTCGGGACACTTCCGGTACGTTTTGTTCTCCAGGCAAAGATAAATACAAGGTTTCTGTTTCTTCCCGCAGGGCATTTATGTAACCAGAGTGACAGAAGGTGGCCCTGCAGAAGTGGCTGGGCTTCAGGTTGGAGACAAGATTATGCAGGTAAACGGCACCTCTCCATAGAACCGCTTGAGGTTGTGCTATGAATGTATGTCTTTCTGCACCGTAAGACTTTAATTTTATTTTTGGTTCATGAGATGGGTATGCCTGTCGGCCTTAGCGAAAAGAGGCAACTGCAGAGTCTTAATGCTTTTATCTTAATAAAAGAGCTCCTTATTCCTCTCAAACACTCAAAGTACCGTCGCTTATCGAATTCTTGCAGAGTCATACCTCCTTGGAAGCCATCCTAATGCAGAATATTTATTTATTTTATTTATTTGGGAAATTTCTGTGCCACCCCATTCGCCGAAGCCTCAGGGTGGCTCACAAACCACTGTACAGCTGAGGCGCATTGTTAGAGTTGTGGAAGGGATCTGGGGGCCCTGTAGATATTGTTGGACTGGGGCTTCCGTCATCCCTCCCTGTTGCCCAAGGTGGGTGAGAGTTGCAGTCCATTAGGTGGAGCGCCACACTTCCCCCACCCCTGGCAGAAGATCGGTAGTCCCGGCCTTAAGAATTCAGCTGTGCAAGTCCTGGGCTCAGGGTGGCTTAAACGCCATTCTTCAGCCTTGATCTCCAAGCATTCCAGCACAGCTAAGCTATCCACAGGGTTTGTTGGCAAGATAAGCAGAGCAGAGTGCTCATAGCAGTGCCCAGAAGTTCCTTTCCCCCAAATTTGGGTATAACTTACAGTGCAGGAAGCTGGGGACTTTCTTGACGGGTCTGGTTTTTTCTGGCTTCAGTTGCAGTTTTATTTGCTTTGTCTTCTTGGCAAGGGGGTGGGTGCATCTCCCCTTTGAAGAAGACTTGCTATCTTTAGGCTGTTCGGCTGAACAAGATGAGTCGGGCAGGCACAGCTGAGCGAGGCGCTTTGTACTCCCCCAGATGCTGGGTGTGTCAGGCCAACACATCATGACTGTATGAGTGGGTGAGAAAACTACTCATAGTGTGGAGTGCTGGGGGGAATTTTCCCCTTCTGGCCCTCATGTGTCCCCAGTCACCTGGAGAAGCTAATCAGCCGTGCATTTAGGACCGATGCGAATTCAGCCAGAAAAGAGTGAGGTGACAGTGCTGGATGGCATTTTCCTTTTGGGCATTAGGCCTTGGATTCGTGGGGTCTGGCAGCTAGCCAGTCTGGCGGCAAGGTGGGAACTCCACATCCAGGAAGGGCCACAGAGGGCCAGCGTCGCAGAGCGTGGGTGCCGGGCTGTTCCAGCAGGCGCATCTCACTCACGCTTCGCTCGTTCGTGGCCCCGTGCTAAAATTGTGCTCGACGGTTGCAGGTCAACGGGTGGGATATGACCATGGTGACGCACGACCAGGCCCGGAAGAGGTTGACCAAGCGGAATGAGGAGGTGGTCCGGCTCCTGGTCACCCGGCACTCTCTCCAGAAGGCCGTGCAGCAGTCCATGATGTCGCCGCCGTGCCACTGAGTCGGGCGAAGGAGCGTTTAGGACAGGGTGGGCCGGATCGCGACCGTGGACTGCCGCTCTCCCCAGCAGGAAGACTCCTCCACCGTCAGAGGAGGCGCAGTACCCAGCTTGTAGAGGCATAGCCCCACATCTGCGCGAGGATGGTGTTGCCAGCACAGCCCAGTGTCACCACCCTCTTCCGGAGGGAGTTTTCCCGTGTCGGGGTGTCCTGCAGGGCTCCGCAAGCCCATCCTCTAAAACGGCAGGCATCAAATCAAGTTGCTTCCTTTGGTAGTGAAGGGGGCTTGAGGGATCCCTTGTTCAAGGACTAGCCCTGAAGGGGAAATCCACCAAGATCTTCTCTTGTACCAGATCCTGCTGTGGTTGAAAGAATTCCTCCCCTTTTCTGCTGGAGATGCTCCTGGTGGATTTCACACCTTAATTCTGGCACAAAATCTGAGGAAACTGGCTTAAAACACCAAAAACTCTGACAGCCCTCTGTGTGTGTACGTGTGTGTGCAGAAAGAGCACATTTCAAATTTTCTAGAAGAGGCATTATTGTAAATAGCCTTTATGTATCACTCAGCCTGTCTCTGTGTTCTGCTTCTGAATCCTGACTTTAATCTGCTGAATCCAGAGGCCCAATACGTCTCTCAAGCCTTCTACTGCATGGATTAAATCAAAACGTGTGTGCCAAAAGCCCCGGGCAAACTTCCTTTAAACCTGTGGCAGAGTAGCCTTGCCTTCAAATTTTGCTGTATTCAACATATGCCAAATCATTACTGCACCTGGACAGGACTGCAAGGAGCAAAGAAGTACTGAAGAGCTCAGTGCTCGAAAGCCCTCTGGTTTTCTTACCCTGCAAGCCACGATGCAGTGGTAGATCCTGGAATACTTCATGACGGTTCCCATAACCATGCCACCAAGTCTCCAAAATCCCAGGCAACCCTGTAACGATCAGTACCATAGACCAGGACTTTGGCAACGTAAATGGGTCTTAATCGCCCTTCAAGACCCAGCCGCCCTAAAACGCTGTGTTACAACAAGGACGTAACACAACCGGGCAGCACTGCCGAGCAGCTTGTCCCTCTCCCCCTCCCGTGGTTAAGCTCAGAGGGAATACGATGAAGTCAGCATGCAGGAGTGCCGGTCGACCTTAAATCCTGAAAAGGACGGAGGTCCTGTTTTAACGTAATTCACCTGAGAGCCAGTGAAATTTGTGGGAAAGATGCACTCTTGAAATCCCAAGAGGAGCAGGGGGAGACAACCGGTTCAGCCACGCTTTCTCTGCGGCTGGCATACCAGCTCGGCTCTCGCGTTCGCTTTGTGCCTGCCCTGAGTTGGCTTCTGATCAGCCTCCTTTGTACTGATCTTTACAATGGCCCGAGAGACTTTAAAAAAATCCACTGTAAATAGGCCCGTCTAGAAGTTCGTATCACTAACTTATTTCAGGGTAGGACTGCTGCTTCACTGGGGTGCTGATACTTCCTCCAGTGACACCGATTCTCAGCCTAACCACAACGAAAGACAACGCCAGTCTCTTGAAACCACTAAGATGCCTCTGGACCACTGCGTTTTGTACTTCTGATTCCGAGATTGTTTTGGGACTCTCACTTTTGATAAGCGTAAATCACACAAGCCTTGCAGGGTGCCTGTCTGGAGCTGTCCGCAGCACCCTTTTTTGGTAGAGCTTGGGGGGGGGGGGGGGGCAAGATGTGCAGGTGCTGTATGTCATTTTACACACAATAAACTCAAGCTGGACTTCCCCTGTCGTGTTGTGTATATCACTAGTTTTGTAGGGGAGAAACCCACAAGCAAAACGTGCCGCCAGCTTACAGCAAACCCCAGAATACCAGTTTTCTCCCTGTTTGCGTCCAGGCTCTGCAGAAGATTATCCCATTTCGATGTTGACAAAGCGAGACTAGACTTGTGGATTGGCTCACAAATCATCCGTTTTATCTGGAAACTGGTTGGTATTTTGTGACCCAGTCTCTCCCGCACGCAACCATCAGCCGAGACATCCACCGTTGCTGCGGCAGCCTTGTGTAGCCAAACAGCCTGGGAGAGGCTGGCTGTGCCATAAACAGCAGGTCTGGAAGATACTAAGGCACCAGAGTGAAATATGGGAAGTAAACAGGGTTTTGCAGTCCACTCGGGATGCCCAAGGCCAAGACGGTGCCACAGCAAACACGGCGTGTGTCCTGCACTGTCCGCCCCAGGAAGTGCAACTGGCGATTCCTTCCAGGGAGCGTGCTCATTCAAATGGCTGGTATTCTTGAGCGCGATACAAGCAGTAATGCTGGACAATGAACACGACGTCAAAGATGATGGAGAACAGGCCGAGGCCAAACTTCGTGGGATCCCCAAAGAGGAGCTTCCAAGCATCTGAAGGGTGGGGCGGGGAAGAGAGGTTAATGCAGCAAGAATGCAGGGGAACAGAGAGCGACTTAAGATTTATATTTGTTCTTCTTTTCATTCAAAGGACAACCCAGTGGGGTGCACAGACTCAAACCGAGAAATACAGAAATAAGTTAACTCCCGGTATGCCCCAGCTGGTTTATTTTTTTCCTTTCTATATATGCATAGAATTGCACCTTGATTGTGTATTTTTGTGATCTCCAAAGCAGGAGCAAATCCAATAATAAGATCTCACAGGGGCATAAAAGAGATTGGCCCCAAATATATTAAAATCAAGGAGATGACCAAGAAATGCAAGTTGGGTGTAACTTAGGCCTGGTCTCGGTGGCAACGCTGAGTGGATTCCACCAGATCAGATGGCAGGTGAGAAGGGAAGAATTAAGGCTCTTGCTGTTACTACCAGGGTGAAGCTCTGGGGTGGCTGGCTGTGGGGGGGATGGGGTGTGTGCTGGGGAGGGGGCATAACTGCTGGAAGATTCAAAAATTTTGATGCTGGTTGCATGAACGGACACGGCCTCTGGCTTTAAGCCAAATGAGTGGACTGGAGCTGGGAGATGGCCCACGACTGGCTTCTACAGGAGGTCTTTTCAGCCGGCCCTCCTCTGCTTTCTCGCGCCTCCTGGACCTGCTTTTTGACGTGCCGGCTGCTGGAAGCAGAATCGGGGGCCCTGCTCTCCTGTCCCAGGCGGACTTACCGTTGTTGTATGACTGCAGGAACATCTGGAGGAGGCTGAAGGCACCGCCCGTGAAATCCAGCAGGACGTTGCCAATGCTCCATCCTACCGTGCTCTTCCGGCGGAAGTTCATGTATGCCTGAGGGAAGGGGGCGTGTTGAGTGGCACAGCAAAGGCTCCTCGTGACTCCAGCCCAGGCAGTGCCGCAGAAGCCCCTTCCCGAAACCCTGGAATCCAGCCGTGGCCCTCACTTGCCGCAGGAAGTCCTGGATCGGACGGGCCAAAGGACTGACTCCACAAAGGGGCCGGTCCTCGTGTCTCGAGGGATTCAGCAACAAAGGAGCCCAGCGGCAGAACAGTCCGTGCATTGCAAAATAAAGGACTGACAGCTTTTGGCCTGCAGTGGCCCCAATTCTGGAAGCCCGGAGTTTAAGCCTGCGTGTTTTCCTCCTCTATCCACAGATGTAGTACATTTTTTAAAGGACCGGAGTAAAGGAAGGGTAATATACGGGGGACAGGCACCACATCGGTGCCTTCTGCAACTACGGTCCTTCCCCGAGGGCTCGGCTGCAGACAGCTCTGCATATTTGCAGTCATTAGATCTGGACGCAGCTGGAGCCACTGCTGTGTCCACGACATTCCCCAGTGGCTTGCTCAACATGGCTGCACACACCCACCCCGATGCTTACGGAGCGTGGCGTTGCTAAGGGCTTTGGCCTGTTTTTTCTCTCTCTTTCTCTGACTTCTGTGCAAGAGGAATATAGACACCCATGCAGATACAAGAGCAAAGATACACATGCAGAGACGAGTACACAAAGAGAAGCGGACGCGCCCAGACGGGCAGCCAGAGGGGTTTCCCAAGGTGATTTGCACTTCTCTCGGCTCCTCTCTTTTGGAAATGGGCCCGGCAGCTCAGTCTGAGCGCCTCGGAGCAACTTCTGAGCCATGCTGGCGCGCTTACCTGGGGGAAGTATTTGACCAGCGTCACCCCCAGCTTGATGTAGGAGAAATAAAACAAGAACTGCAGCCACGTGATCGCTCCCACAGCAGCCACCGTCAGGGTGGTGAAGACGAAGACCCAGGCAACCACCAGCAGCCCAATGGCGACCCAAGAGACTTTCTGGTTCGCCTTCTGTTGTGGCCGAAACAGCAAGATGACAAGACAAAACAAAACAGTCTTTAAAAAGGCAAGATACAGGGGCAGGCAGCATCGTGCGTTCGGTGGGGCGTACTCCTGCGGGGCTTGAACAGAAGGAATTTGGAGGAGATGATGGGAGTTGCAAGCCCCCCAGGTACAAAGGACTAGCTGATGAATCCAGGGCTGGGTAATACAGCCTTCTGCACTCTGGTGCAATCCAGATGTGTTCGACTACAAATCCCAGCACTCCTGGCCTTGAGCCATGCCAGAAGCTGCAGTCGGTAAGGCTGTTTAGCGGTGCTTCTGGCACCCCGGCTGATCCGGCTCTAATTCCCCATCGTTCCTCACCCAGTGACTCTCTCTCCGTTGGGCCCAGGGAGAATTTAAGATGGAACACAAGTGGGCCAGAGTTTTCCCACAGGTGTGTGATCCATAGAAATAAATAACTTGGGAGTACAACCATCCCTGCACCATTTAGGTTTTTCATCAGAAGGACATGTGATTTCGCCCTAAGAAGGGAATAGAAATAGATGAGGCTGGAACTCAAAAGAAGATAAGAAGAGAGGAACTGGCCGGAGAGACACTATTCATTTGGGGAACTGAATCATGCTTTTCCCCTTCCCACTCCCAAACTTCCTTTTCGTTGTGAGTCATGACTTCTGAAAAGATTGCAAGCCAGAGGACAGGGTCTGATGGTTGATTCCAGGAAGCTGCCCTGGGAGTCTTTTGACCAAAGAGCAAATCAATTGAATAAACCAAAACCCTGTGGACTAGTCACCTCATAGATTAAGCACTGGAAGATGATGATCAGCGTCACGGCGACTGCATGGAGACTGAAGAAGACGTCGTTGCTGTCCACCGGGTTCACTCCGTTGGGGTACATTTGCAAGAACTGCTCCTGTGTCGGGAAAAGACATGGTGCTGGTTGGGCCAGAGATGGCGGCAGAAGGCCACGGAAGAGGAGAGGCCGGGTGAAGGAGCTTGCTTACTTTCACGGCACTGATCCAGAACAGCCCGACATTGAACACGCTGTAGGCGATGAAGCCAGTGAGGTTCAAAGCAATGAAGTCAAAGCTGAGCCCCACGACGCTGGCAAAAAAAACATCCAGAGGATCTTAATCAAGATTAAAATGGCCACTGGAACATCCCAAGGCATGGTCTGAGGGCAGGAGGCTGCAGCCTTGCCCAAGGGACGCCGGTCCGGAAGGGGAGACCCGCTGGGAACCCTTTGTAGCCATCCTAAGTTCCGTGATGAAAGAAAGGCAGGACAGCGATATGACAAGCAAGGGAATTAAATAAAATATGGACTGCTTATAAAAGTATATATTTGAAGTGGACTTGTTAAATCCTTCTTTTTCTTCTCATAGTAAGTGGGATACTTCCACAATAATCACTTCGTCGGCGTGCCTTCCTTTTTTTTCTTCCTTCCTTCCTTCTCTGTTTTGGTCCCCCTGCTTTCTGTTATCCCTGCATTTGCAACTAATGAATTACCTGTTCCGTCTCCAGTTCTCAAAGACCTGAGGGTAGAAAGAGATCGACCAGGCCAGGAAGTAGATCCACCCAATCACCTGGTCTATGATCCTCACTACGTTGCTGTGAATGACGAGAAACCGGATCCTCGGCCTGCAAAGGGAAAAGGTGGCAGCCCTGTTGCCCAATGGTCTCCAGAAATATCAGGATCCTAGACCTCATGATTGCTGCCTCAAGAGGCATGAACGTTGGAAGAGTTCTAATGTCTTGGAGCCTGGGGAAACTTTGCAGCAGCCAGAAAGTCTATGGCTTTAACCCTGCCTTTCTAACCCCGTGCCCTTCAAAGGTGCCAGACTACAACCCCCAGCATCCTCCCAGCCAGCCTGGGAAGTGTAGTCCATTGCCTCTGGAGGGCATTCACTTCAAAGAGGTGTATGCATGAAGCCCAACACAGATGGTTCCACATGGTGGTTGTGACCTCAGCTTTTACACTGGAGTGCTGGAAGAGGGGTAGAAGAAAGCGAGCCAAACTAATGGGGCAAAACCGGCTTGGGACCCCTCACACCCCTGCGGGGGGCGGCGAGGGCTGTGAAATCATGAGGAGAAGCATCCTGCAAGATACCGCACGCTCTGAAACTGATGACCAGGCGTACTATCAACTGACTTCTCTGCAGAATGTTTACCCTGACTCTTTAGAGCAGCTTACTCAGGTTAATATCAGAACAGCCCCTGTCCTTGGGCTCACCGTCGAAAAGACACAACACAAAGAAGAGGAATTTGGAGAGGGGAGGAGGGCAAAGAACAAAAGCGGCTGCCAGATCCTCTCGAAGTTCTCTGGAGACGGCCCCCGCTAGTAGCCGTCAGTGATGAACCGCAGAGTGCGTAGCGTTACTACTGAGCAATATTTATCGGTCCCTCGTGGGTGTGTTTTATTGTGGCATTTTTGGAGCAATGATACTGCAATCTCGTTGCTCCGATATATAAGCAAGATATAGATTAGGGTAATAAATAAAACGACTTCTCCAGTGAGGAAACGCTTTGGAAAAAGCACGAGGAGGAAGGAGATGATACCCCTAGTTAATGGACTTGTCCAACAGCCACAGTTCCCGCGCAGCTTACCCAGTTCGGTTGGATGCGTTGTTGTGAAGAAATACAGTCATCTGCCCGACGGCTTTTGCTCTGACTTGGAAACTTGCCTCCTTTTTGCCAGCTGATACTATTACCTGGTAAGTACGGAGACGTAAGAGGCAAGATTCCAGCCCTCATGGTTGAGAATCAAGAGCTGATTTGACTAGGAGCCTAGAAAGCCTTAATCTTGAGCTGGAACGTTGCACCACCCGACTTGGTATTGTCGGCATGGATGCACAGCAGCGACTCTCCAGCATCTCAGGCCGGCCTCTTCCCAGCGTGATGCGGAGACGCTGCCAGGGACCAAACCTGGCACCTTTTGCGGTCCCTGGGCCAGGGAACTAAAGCCCTCCCGCCACGGCCACGGCTGACCCCGACGCATGGTGCTCGCTCTGGAACGTACCTGGTCGGGCAGTTCGACGATGGTGCTGTTCACCTTGGATGAATACGTCACGGCAAACGTGATCCTCAGGGTCGTGTTGGCCGGGGCGCTGCGAGGAGGGAGCAGAGGACACATCAGGGCGGATTCGCCGTGGTCTCGGCGGGCCCCGGCCAGCACAGGAAGCAGCCTGGCGAGAGCAGGCTCCGGCGGCCCCCAGCCCTCGCGGGATGGGCCTCACTTGATCCAGGAGGGCTCTTCGGATACTCGGCCTCGGCCTTGTGCACACCAGCTGGCCGCAGTCCTCCAGGGACTGGGAAGGAGCCCTTTTCAGCCCTCTGGGGAGGTGCTGGGGTCGAACCCAAGATCCCCCATGTGCAACGCAGGGGCTCGGCCCTCCCCGGAACCAGCAGCATGTGGAACAACCAAGGCACGGGGAGAAAGTAGCCGCAGGAGTCACCGCTGCAGGCCAGGACCCCTTGGACCCCAACTTCCATCAGGTCCAGCCAGCCTGAAGGATGATGGGACCTAAGGTGTGACATCTAGAGGGTCATAAGCCCCACATGAGTGCAGTAGGGGGTCATTTGGGAAGGGAGAAAGGGCTGCATTTTGCTGAGTTCCACAAGGAGACACCATAAAACGGGGCATTGTGTGAGCTACCCCGTTCTGTTTCTCTTTTAGCTTTTGGACTTTCCTAGATGTTTCCTCTAAGAGCAAAGGCCGAAAGTTGGCACTTTCAAACCCACCTTAATGTCACCGAGATGTTCTTCAAACTGCCATTTTCCAAACAAACTTCTTCAGGAACAAAGACGGTGGGTTCCACATCTAAAACCAGTGATGACGACAATGAACGGAATAGCTAGAAGCTACGTGAACTGGTGTGCCCAGCTTGAGACGCGTTGGGTCTGTTTTGGGAAAGGGGGCCGAGAGAACTAAGCGCCATCCCAGCTCTGAATTTCTCCCACTCCTTGGACCATCTGCATTTTACAGTTTTTGAAACAAAGCAAACAGCAAGTCCCAGTTTGACGCTCCGAGAATCAGAGGTCCTTGAACCTTGTGCCTATATAAAATGGAGGATCACGTAAGCCACTTTAGGTTCCTGGTCTGGAAAAAAGACCTTAATAAGATCTAATAATAAACACGGGCATGAAAGTGTGCAAGCAATCCGGAGAGCAGCGGACTTGGCCCTTGCAGCTGCAGGCTCCACTTTGGCAGCTGGATAACTTACCGCAGGCCACTAACCACACGAGAGAGAAACACAGCAGAGGGAGGAAGAAGAGGTGTCTATTCTCCATCATGTGAAACAGCTGAAAAACAGAGTAGGAGAGAGGAGGTCTGCATTGGCCCGGAGGGAAAATTGCAACTTTTAAGAGGCTGCGGCATATGGTTGACGGAGGCAAGACACCTATCTCGGGTGCGGGCTGAGCGGTGTGGTGGCCTTGGAGCGCAGGAACTTGAGATCAAACCCCCCCCCCCCCCCCCCCCCGCAGAAGATACCAGGAAGGCTTCCCTCTCAGCCTACCTCTCAGGGTTGTTGGGAGGACTGAAGTGTGTGTGCCCGCATGTGAATCCTCAGAACCCACCTCTGATGCGCTTTCAGATTTGGATGTTAGCATCCTTCCAACTAGGCTATGCTGGCAGGGGATGATGGCACTTGTGGGCCCGCCCTGGGTTATGGGGGCCCCAGGCTTAGCCCCCAGGGCCCACCCTAATCGTATCACTGGGTAGGAAATCCTCTCTCGGCTCTCGGGCGATGCAGCAGCAAAGAGGGCGTAGAGGGGAGAAAATGAAGGGGGCGCACACAGCCCTAACCCAGCTAGAGGCACTCTATTCTATGGGTCCGGGTACACAAGTCTAGGGAAATGCCTACGCATCGTACTACAAGCCCCGTCATGCAAAGCGATCCCTTCGGCACCCAACCGTGGCGGCAGAGCGGGCGCGAGGCGTGCCGGGAGATGAAGTCCTTTCCCGGCCCCTTTCCTCCGCCTGTCCTGTCAAAAACAGTCTTCGACTCCAGCTCGAGCACTTGCCGGGGGAAGGTCACTTACCCCAGCGGGGCGAGCAGCACCGTCCACTCTTCCAGGCTTCGCCTGCGAGACCCACTCCCGTTCCCAAGCCGCACAGACCTTCCGCGGAGACGCCCGGTCTCACAAACAGAAGCTGCGCTCACTTCCCCCTTCGCTTGCCGTAGCGCCCATCTTGGGCGTGGCGGGCCTTGGCCGGCATCCGCCGGGATTCCTTGCCCCGGCTGGTGGGACCTTTTGCGGTTATTGTCCCTCCCGGGCTCGCCGGTAGCTTTACGGGCCCTTCGGGCAACCTCAAGGCCGCTGCGGAGCTTTGCAAGAGAGCTCGAGGAGGAGAACCCGGCAACTGAGGGAAGCGACACACCTAAGATGGCGGCCGCGCTCGGCTGCCTCCATTCTGGGCGTGCACGGCTCGATAGCGGGCCGGGAAAGGGAATGACACGCTCAAGATGGGGGCGGGCGGCCGAGGCCGCCATCTTGAGTGCGGCGCGCTGCCCTCAGGCTAAGCGACGCCGAGGTTCAGACGGACCAGGGTCGGGTTGGAGCTCGGGCTCGCCTTGCCCGTTTCGGGTTCACGCAGCACCGTCGGCCGGGGTGTGTACTCTGCGCTTTAATGACACGCTGCTTGGAGGGGAGGGGGCGACAGCGGGGGGGGGGTCCTTAAATTTCCCTCCTGGGCTGCAGGGTGCACTGGTGCAGGTGCCTCCTCGGAGGTAAATCCCACTGAAGAAAATGGCGCCTGCCCGCAGGGGAGTGCGGTATGCACGTCGCGCCTTTTCTCCTGTCGGAGGAGTCCAGGAACCTTGCACCCTCCTCCTCCTCCTCCTCCTCTCGGTTTTGCCCTCGCAACAACGGCCCTGTGAGGTAGGCTGGGCCGAGAGTCTGTGGCTGGCCCAAGGTGGGCTCCCTGGCTGACTGGCACAACCAGTGCAATTTGCGCTTGCAGGACACCTGCTGAAACCGACTGGGCGAGCCGATTTAATCCCCACTGAAATTATGAAATCACGGCTAACTTGCCCTCTTGCTCTCATTGGCTGCTACCCCAAGCCTGACTCCAAGTGGGCTTTCAAAATGCTGCTATTCTAGTCTATTTTGTTGATTTTCTTTTATGCCTGTAGGGAAAGTGGAGGTGATGTGGGGGGGGGGAGGGCAGGTTTTATTCTACAGAAAGGCACTTAAAACGACCTGTGCAATAAAGTCCAGTGAAGGCGGTGGGGCTTGATTCCCGAAAAGCCCTGTCTAGGATTGCACAGTGGAAGAAGAGCAAGTCCCTCGATCGTCCACCCGGTCTTCTCCGTGTCCTCCCTGGAGTTAAGTCACGGAGCTCAGTGGCGTGGCTTCGTGACCCCCGAAATGTGCATGCCATGCGTACTGGTCCTGAGCCAGTCCGAACTGGGCCCAACGCTGTCCCCCTTTTCTCTCTCTGCAGGGAGCCCAGACGGCAGGCAATGCAGGCGCCTCCAAAAGCCCCGGACAAGGCGTTGAATCCGGCTGGGCCACCCGGCACGGCCGCATGCGTGCTGGGAATTGACATGGGTACCACATCGGTGAAAGCTGTCTTGGTGGAGGAGACAGCGCAGGGGCCAGTTGTGGTTGCGAGTTGCAGCAAGGACACCCAAGCGAAGGTGGAGAGCCCTGATGCTGGTCCACAGGTGAATTGAGAGGAATTAATGCTTTATTCATAATCAGGATTGCTAGGTGGAGCTTCTACCTTCAGGAGCAGTCTACCAGGGGCTGCATTATGCTGATAAGCAGAGCCAACCTAGCAAAACTACTCTCCTGACTTGGCTTAAAGCTCTCATGACCTGCCAGAGAGCCTCTGAGAGGCATTTTAATCATTTAGAACAAGGAGGAAGCTACAGAAACTTTGAGAAGCCCAAAGGGGTTGTGGGGGGAAAGGGTTGGGCTGAGGAGGTGTGACCCTCCGATTTGGCTGCTGGGCCCGATCCTTTTCATTCCTGCTGTGAGACTGTCCGGGCTGAGCGGCAGCAGCAGACTTAAATTAATGTGTTTTCCCCCCCGCTCCTGTACCTTTGACAACAGTAGATTCGCAAGCAGAAATCCAAGCTTTTTCTAGGACTCAGATAGGAAGTAGGTTCCAGACGCAGAATTGCAAGCAATGGGAGAGGTGGTTGCTAGGCATGGCTGCTCGCGGCTGACTTGCTTTTTCTCTCTGTCTTCCTTCCAAGGGAGATGAGCAAGATGTCCACAAGATTGCAGCTGCTTTGAACAAATGCCTTGCAGACCTCCCGCCGCGAGACCTCGAAAGGGTGTGCCGTATTGGTGTCTCTGGACAAATGCACGGAGTCATGTTCTGGAAAACAGGTCGAGGTAAGATCTGCTTTTCAGAAACATTTTCTAATTTCTTCTCTTGCCTCCTTCCTGCAGATCTATATGGAGGTAACTGTTTTTAAAATTCAACATTAAAAAAACCAGGTTCCCGACTCCAGGTTATATGTTATATGTTTTTAGCATCTGAAATCCTAGTGCCGTAATACAGGCACAACCATATCCAAGTTTAGACAGAAAGGAGTGGGCAACTCCCAGCACACCCCAGCATATCCAGACTTGCATAAATTTGCATCTTAAGGCTGCTTTCACTTAAAAGAAAGAGCATTTCTGTTGTGCTACGATCAGTTTATGCTGCAGCTATGGGTTGTTAAATGCTGGGTGGGTGAAGGTGGCCATATTAATAAACCATGGTTTGTTAACCAGGAGCAACCCAGAAAGCAAGCCCAAGGTTTGTTTTTTGGCTTCTGAACTCTGGGTTGTTTGAACCATGGCTTGTCACTGTGTATGTGCCCAGAATTGCAGGTTGTTTTGCCAGGCTACAGAGATGATGGGCAAGAGTGGTCAAAAACCACAGCCGCATGTGGTATTATAACAGCACTGCAAAACCATTGCAGAAATAGATGGAGGAGGGCAGACACTTCAGGGGCTGATAAAATACACCATGGTTTGTTCAATCATTTCCCAAACACACCTAGGATAGGACAACAAACCATAATCTAAAATCATGGATTAGTATCTTGAGCAAACCGGGCTAGTGTGCATCGTAAGACCAATTTTCTGACCGCATTAGTATGTCCATGTCAGAGATTATCTGGTCCATACTTGCCCTAAGAGATGTGCCACTTGTGTCGTTATTATTTAAAAGCTAACACAATCACAAAAGTGCATTCTATCAGTAGATTGCTTAATTTTCAGTGTCCTGTGGCATCCTGCCAAATCAATAAAAATAAAATGCAATATGTTTTCAAAGTGGAAGCACTTAATTTTTTATATTTCTGATGCCTCAACTCCTTGTTCTTGGCCTAGCAAAATGATGCTCATCATTTCTCCTGCTGCTTGAGTAGATCAGACAGAAAGAAACCACAGTGCTCTTGCTGCACATGAGGATTCTTCCTTGGTTTATTCACTTATGTTAAACGGATCTTTGTGTCTTTTAATGGATTGCTGTTAATGATCTGCCAAAAGCCCATTAGATGCAAAAGACCAGAACAGGGTTGAAAGCTGCTTTTAAAAAGCAGAAGGAAAGAAATGATTTTAAGAAGAAAGAAAAAAAACTTGTGCTAATTTATTTGATGTTTTAAGAGTCAGGCCTTTTCCAAATTACAACCACCTGCAGCTGGGGAAGTTCTTCCCTGAAGTAGGTTGATAAAGCTTGCTTGCTTTTTAATCTTTTTGGGTGGTTATTAAAACCTGGCTTATATCCCCAAACTCTTTTTTCTGTGCCATTGTTGCTTGTGTTGTGTTATACTTCATCTTAATTTTATAGCATTTTTAAAAATCGAGTTGCAATCCTTAATATATTTAACAGTCCCTGAAGTAGGGCCTACGAATTTGTTTCTTAAGATTTTTTTGAATTGTTAGCCGGAAAACTGAGCATGCTTCCAAGCAATGTACAGCATTCTGGTGCCCATCTTTACTTGGGCTCAAGGGGAGGCATTGTAGTTTTGAAGCGCCTTGTGGAAGTAACAATTAACCGGCCACATCCTGATCTCTGCCCTGTGAAAAAGACTTCTCTTTTCTCCAAGGCGTTTTAGGGACGTTCTTCCAGATTCTGTTTTATCTATTTCTGTGCTGTTTTGTATCATATGATTCTCTCAAGTATCTGTATTGTGTTTTAATTGGTTTACTTTTTTATGGGTTAGTTTAGTGTTTTTAGCTGCTTATAATCCACCCAGTAGCTATCGGACAGATTCAAATATGACTAGTAAAAATGATGGATCATGGGTCCTCAAGCTACGGCCCATGGGCCGGATCTGGCCCACCCTGCTGATTTATCCGGCCCGCCTCAGAGCTTTTGGACTCGCTCAGAGAAAACGATCTCCGAGCTGGCGCAGGCGTACTCAGTGGGGAGATGGCCACAATTGCGGTTGTGCTCATGCAGGGAAGACGGGTGCGAAAGCGGTTGTGCTGGGGGGGGGTGACCGCAGTCACACCCGCCTTCCCTGCACGAGCACGCACGCCCCTGCCACCACGGCCTTTCAGCTGGCCCCTGTCGAAAAAGTTTGAGGACCTCCGTGATAGGTGAATGGCAGCGCTTCTGTGCTCCGCAGCTCCAGCTTCTGATCGCGGCTCCAGCACAGTGGACCGAGCAAAGCCCTTGGGTGGGTGTTGTGGTCCCTCTTTTCCTCCCTGTGGCACGGGCTGCTTTGAACAGGTCGCCCTCCGCTACCGACAGCCTTGTCCGTTCCAGGTTGCAAGTGGACGGCGTGTGAATCCGGGCTGAAATTTGAACCGGACGAGGTCAGCCACCTGGTCACGTGGCAGGACGGCCGCTGCTGCGGTCCCTTCCTGTCCTCCCTCCCACAACCGCAGTCACACCTCAGCGTGACCACAGGACACGCCTGTGCCACCATCTACTGGTACTTGAAGAACAGGTACCTCAAACGCTAGTTCGGCTATTCATCGCTCTTCTTTCCTGGGCAGCGGTGGAAGCTCCCAGGGTGGCTTGCAAGCATGGAAACCCTAGAATGCAACATGACGCACAGTATACAAGTTTAAATCTGCAGGACAGAATAGACGCAAAAGTGGAAGCTAGTATCTGGGCAGACGTTTAACATACAGTGAAGGATTTTGTGAACAGAAACTCAGAGCCCGACATCGCCTGGGGAAGTGGGAGGGCCTTCCCAGGGTGCCCGAAAGGTTGCAATGTAGGTGTCAGACCAAGACTTCTGGGACCCTCGTTCTTCATGATTTTCATGTATTGCATTTGTATGCTGCCCCAAAGCCCATAGGGTTCTCTATGAAAATACCTATTCCATACGAATACAGTAATATACAAGAACGAGAAAATACCTATTCCATATGAATACAGTAATATGCTCATTGCGCAACTTCCTGGCCTGAACTGCAGTTTTCTCCTGTGTTAGTCAAAGCAGCCTGGCCCCAGCATGGCGCCTTCTATACAATTTGGGTTCCAAGTCCCATCTGTCCTGGCCAGCACAGCCCATGATCAGGAAAGCTGGGAATTGCGGTTCACAACCTCTGCAGATCCCATGTCACCAGCCCCTGGCTGCTGTTTTTGGACTGCAGCAACACAGGGCCCGCTTCCTGTGCATTAATGGGTTATTTTTCCCCCTGAAAAATCAAGCTGGCCATAAAAATGCAGGTCATGGGCAGCTGCAGGCCGTGCTCTGTTTCTTCTTTGGTAGCCCAGATTTCCTGAAGCCTTACGACGCCGCTGGAACCATCCAGGACTACGTGGTGACCATGCTGTGTGGCCGGGAATGGCCACGGATGTCTGTCCAGAACGCAGCCAGTTGGGGCTACTTCAACACGACGAGTAAATGCTGGAATACAGACATGTAAGTGGAGCTGTGACTCAGGCTGGGCCTCTCGTCTGGGGGAGCCTGCTTTACGGAAAGGAATAATTGATTCATTGCGCCCCTACTCTGAAGTAAGTCCACTTGTGCACAGAGCGGTTTATTTCCAGATACATGGGGGAAGGATTGTTACCTGGTCAAAACGAGGAGAATAGCAGCAGGAATCGATTGGAGAGCTCTGGAACTCCAAAATAGTTGTAAACATTCTTCGTTCGAAGCATCTCGGCTTGTTCTTTGCAGGAGCTGGGGTCCAAGGCCTCTGGCTGGACCTGGACTCCAAGACAGGATGGACTCCCACCACCCTCTGGCAGCGAAGGCAAACTGCTCGCTAGCCCAGCTTGAGGTTGGCGGAAACTGTGTGCGGATCTGCTGAGTTCTCACGTCACTGCTAGCATGGTGTGAGCACAGCACTGTCGTAACAGCAGCTTGTCTTGGAGTTGCTCCTCGGATCTTAACTGCTTGTGGTTTTTGAGTCTTTAGAAAAACTAACGCCAAACGAGGTTCAAGAAAATTCAGAAAGCCTTCACAACGCTTGCACAAACCTTCCCACTTGCCTCCTTATCCCCTTGGGTTGATTTGTGCTGTGTTGCAGTGGTGGTGGAGTCCCTTAAGAAGCCACCGCAGTGGAGTGCCTCTGTTACCCCGATGGGAGTGTGGGACTGCAGCATCCTTTACCTCCTGAGACAGCCTCCTGGCGCCGTTTTGGAATTTTAAAAATGCCGTGCTGGAGTTCAGTAGTCCTTTGCCACCTTCTCCGACGGGACACCCTCCAGCCATGTGAGACTGCAAATCCCATTATCTCTAGGAAGAACGGAGGGCTCCGGTTTCGAGAAGGATAGTGTCTGTTGGATTGTACGGCCAGGAGATGGCTCATTCCATTAGAGGTTTCATAAATGTTTCCCCTTCCCATAATTCGAGCACTGACTTCATGCAAGTATGATCTGCAGGACTCGGCCGGATCTCCTTCACCTGCAAACCCCACTGTGTGTAAGGTCACCTTTCTGCCTTGGCCTGAGCTTACTCACCTGGACCTCTGTCTCTGCTTGCAGCCTCAGAAAAACCCACTTCCCTGTCCATTTGCTTCCTGAAGTGGTTCAGTCCGGAGACCTGGCAGGAGAAACCTGCAGTGTGTGGCACCGGATACCAAAAGGGGCAGAAGTGGGTGCTGCTCTGGGGGATTTCCAGTGCTCTGTCTACTCCAGCATGAGGGAAAAGACTGATGCAGGTATGTGTGTGGACAGCTCGCAGTTCTCGCTTGCCGAGACCCAGAGCTGAATTGCTCCATACACTCTGTGTTTTTATAATTAAAATACTGCAGCTCAGTGGCTCGGGTTCTGTGCCCGAATCGCGTGAGCTCTGCGAACCAAGCATCTTTTCACGAGGTATTCTAGGAATGTCAACGTTGCTTTATATGCATCCAACTAAAATGAAATTCCAGGGGCAAAAATGGATGATTAAAGCAGTTTTATCTCAAACCAAAAAAAAAAACCAAACAAACCCCAAATCAAGAACACTTTGCTTCCTGCAATGCAAGGTATTTCTTAGCTCTGTTCCGATTTTTTGCACATGCTAGTTTTCTAGCACACATGCCCTGGGAACGACGGGCCAAATGCGGCCTCTGCTCTGGACCCACACCTGTTTCCCGCAGCCGCGGAGTGTTGGCCGGTTTCCTGGTTTTGGTGCAGCTTGTCCTCCAACTTTAAAAGGCTGGAAAACCGCAAGAGCAAGGCCAAAAGCACCAGCTCGCTTATCGTGGGTTTGCCCTCTTGCTGCTAGTAAGTCATTTAATCCTTTTAGCTGGTGAAAAAGCTGCACAAAAGCTTGGGAAAAACCGCAAGGCAGCCGGGGTGATGGGAAAGGGTGGGCCCAGTGCGGAAGGGACCGGGGTCTCCACCCCTGCACTCAGCCAAGGACCTGGATTTAACCCCTCGGGCCGGTCCCCCGCTTCCCACCGACCTTCTCCACTTCCTCCTCTCAGTTCTCAACATCGGGACGTCTGCTCAGCTCACCCTCCTGATGCCTTCCGGGTTCAAGCCCGCGCAGACTCCAGACCCCCGCTCGCCTGTGGCCTACTACCCGTACTTCGGTGACAGCTATCTGGCGGTGGCGGCCTCTCTGAACGGCGGAAACGTGATGGCAGCGTTCGTGAGCACGCTCCTCGGCTGGACGGCTGAGCTGGGTAACGCATTTTGGCACGACGGGGCGCTGCGTTGAGGGGCGGACAATCTAGAAGGCACGAGATGCAAGGGAAAGGGGGTGGACAGGGGAGAGCAAGGTCCGCTCGGTCTTTATCGGCTTTTCCACGGAGAGGATCCCTTCAATTTGTGCTCTTCTCCCTTGGGAACCTGTACGGACACCTATGTGAAAGAAGGCTTACCTCTCGCTTCTCAGCGGCTCTGCTCCATCCGCACCCAGCCCTGGTTTTGCTGTGGGAATGGTTTTAAAATAGTTGCATTCCTGATGGGAAGTCGCCCGTGTGCTTCCTTCGGTTTGTCGTGCGTGCCTCAGGCATTTTCGTCCAGCAGCCAAGGGCAACCTACCTTGTACTCACAACAACCCTGCAAGGTAGATCAGGCTGAAGGGCAGGGACGGTCCCAAAGTGACCCAGAGAGCTTCACGGTCGACTGGGACGAGAGCTCTGCTCTCTGTGCCACGCTGACCCCACCTCACCCCCAATCCTCCTTTTTCTTGGCCTTCTGCAGGAGTCCAGGTCTCGGAAACAGACCTCTATTCCCAGGTGATCGAGGCGGCCCTGGCCCAAACCAATTCCGGCCTTGACATCTGCCCGACCATCTTTGGGGAGAGGCACTCGCCAGAGAAGTTGGCCTCCGTGACGGGCATCACGGCCTCCAACCTCTCCCTGGGCCACGTGGCCCGGGCCTTGTGCCGGGGCGTGGTGCGGAACCTGCACGGCATGCTGTCCTCGGAGCGCCTGGAGGAGGCCGGGGCGGCGCGGATCCTGGCGGGCGGCAGCGCCCTGTGCCGCAACGAGGTGATGAGGCAGGAGGTGGAGCGGGCCTTTGCCCTCCCGGTCTCCTACGGGAACGAGGTGGACGCGGCCAGGGGCGCAGCGATGGCCATGCTGGACCGGACGTGAGGCCGCGCCAGCCGCTGGACTGTGGAACCTCTCCCTGCAGGATGCGCAGAAGCCGAAGGATTGGGCGGGGAAGAGGGCCACCCTTGCGGAAGAACCGCAGAGCGCTTGAAGCCACCCGCCCGAAAATTCTAGCTTTGCGAGGCTGCTGGCTTCCCTGAGACTTCCCTTGTAGGAAGTGTGCCTCCCTGGGGCGTAGCGCTTCCCACCAGCCCTGCAAAAGGGCCCCTTCTTCACTAGCAAAGGGGGGAAAGGGGAGCCCGTGGCTGCCTCCCGTGGAAGATTCTTCTGGGCTGATCTCACCTTTCTGCTGCTCACGGGAGCAAGGAGGTGGAGGCCCCCTCGGTGAGGGCATGCAAGGATGGGCCGGACACGCACATGGTAGGCACGTCACGAGTGGAGCTGGCTGGAAGCAGGGGTCAGACTAGATGGCCCCTGCGGCCTCGCTCTGTTTCTGTGTCTCCTTCCTTGCTGGAGCTGACTGCAGTCCTCTCTCGCTCTCAGCCAGCCTTCCCCGCCCAAGGAGCTTCGCTGTGCTTTGGCCTTAGTTCCACGCGGCCCCAGCTGATGCCCACGATACCTGTGGGCTGGGCGTTGGGAGGGTCTTGGGTTGGGGGCGCTGGGCCAGCCTTTGTGGACACGGCTGCAGCCGGGAGCTTGGGGCACTGCCATCCCCTCAAAGGCCAACCGTATTCAGGCCATCTCTGGCATGTAACAGCTGCAGACCTCTCTGTCCAAGAGTGATAATAAAGTCACTCTTTCCACCTCTTTCTTTGGCCTCTCTCCTCGTCTGTCGCGTGCTCGGAGCCTCGTGTTTTTCTTTTGATGCCGTGGCTGATCGGGGCATGGGCCCGTAGGGGCTGAGGTTCAGCTTTGGTCCTTCAGCCCCCCCTGCCCCCCCGAAGGCTGTGCCCCTTGGATCCTCCGCCTGCTGAACCTGACGTCGTTTCCCATCTTTTGTGCCTTTCCCCGCCCGGTCTCAAAAGGTTGAAACGTTTCTCCTGATCGCCTGACCTCTGAGCCAAAGGTGCTTCACCCTCTTGCGCCTTCGTCCACATCCGTGGCTCAGCCACGGTCCCCAGAGCTTCCCCAAGATTGAATTTGGCCCTCAACCCCTGAGGCAAACGAGACTTTTATCATGTGGCTCCCAAGCACGTCCGTTTCAAAATCGGATGCCGAGTTACTGAGCTGTGATGGGAAGCGTGGCCTCGACCCCAGCAGGGGCTTCCCCCTTCCCCGAGAGCGGTTCCCTCGCAGGGGTAGGATTCCCATCAAGGTCACGGTGGTGTGGGGAGGAGAGGAGCTCCCCCGCTTGCAGGATCCCTGCCTGCACCAGGTCCCCATATTATCCGTGGCTTCCGTGCCCAGTGAACGCCGGGGCCGTTGCTCCTTCCGCAGGCCCCTTTCTGAACACTGGGGACCCTGAAGATCTGCCCCTTCTTTCTTCCGCACGATTCCCTCAGCACGATGCCGTCCTCCCCCAATCTGATGTTTGTGTCCTGAGCTCATCGGAAAGCTCTCAACAAATGGACCCTTCATTTCCGTGGCTGCTTCTCTTTCTTTAATTTCTGTTTGCATTATCATGGGGGGTGCTCTTTTTTCTTCCAATTACTTATTCCTCAGAGGACTCTTTGGAAGCATGACTATTTCAGATGGTTTTAGGCGGAAGTCTGGCTGCGGTGGTAGGGCCGTGTTGTCCTGGATTTGAATTGGGCTGTGCAAACTGGCAATGAGGTCAGAATCGCAAGAGGGGCCTGGTTCTTCTTTTTCTTTACAAGCTTGAGAAAATGAGCCAAGCCTGGCAAAGTCCGAAGACCAGCAAAGGGATTGCCCAAAGCCAGGAGTGCGGTCCCTTCATACTTCTGAAGCCAGGGCAATGGGAATCGTCACTTTCCGGCAGAGTCACACTCGGGCAGGGCAGGGGAAATGAAACGGGGTCTCTTGGAAACGGGCCTGGCTGGCTGGAACCCGAGGGCGTGTGTGAAGCCGAGGGTCTCGCCTAAGTTCAGTTGGTTCCCAGTTGGCTGGACTCCTGAACCAGATGTTCAGATTAGTCCGAGAGACTTCACAGGAGGGCCTTCTCTGCAGTGGCACCCCATCTGTGGAATGCGCTCCCCAGAGAGGTCTGCCTGGCGCCGTCGTTATTTGTTTTTGGCCACCAGGCCAAGACCTTTTTATTTAAATGATATTTTAATAGTTATTAATGTTATTTATTGGTTTTAAAATCTTTTAGCCAGGATGAATCCAGATTTTATATGTTCTTGTCAGTATCACTGTTTGTTTATAATGTTGGAAGCCGTCCTGAGGCTTATGCGAATGGGACGGCATACAAAAATTCCAAATAAATAGATGCCGCTCCAACTTCTGCCTTCTCAGGGGATGCCTGGTGAACACAGGGGCGTGCAGATTGGCAAACGAAAAGAAAACTGTTTTGGTCAAAATAGGATATGGCGGCCAGGCTTGGGAGGAAACAACACCACAATATTGTGCTGGGAAGCAGTTGTCACCTCTGCTTGGCATGTGACACTTCTGCAGGCAGCCAGGTAGCCACTGTTGAATGATTCTTTGACCTGGTGGAGTCGCCGTCCCCCCGTGCCGGATGCCGGTGGGCTTCTCAGAGGGAGACCCTGGAGATCCAGCTCCAATAGCTTGAAAGTAATTTTGCGAAGCCCACTGGGTGAGCTTGGCCTAGCCATCCAAGCTCTCTGCCCGGCCTTCCTCACAGGGTTGTTGTGAGGATAAAATAAGAGGCGAAGAACTCACATAGGTGTCCTTATGCTCTTTGTAGGAAGAGTGTGATAATAAAAGTAGTAAGCAAGAACTTCTTAAAACATTAACATAGCCACCCAAGACCCCAAGAAAACCGATAGCCACAATTCAAATGCATCTCTCCCCTCGGATAGGAAATTGCTGCAAACTGGAAAAGAAATCAGTAATACCAAACATGGCAAAGATGATGATTATTTTGTGTTTGTTTGCAAAAAGCTTTGCCGGACTCCTGGGAATAGAAATTGCTTCTGCTTCTGTCTTTTCCATTATTCTATTATTCAAGTCTGGGTTGCTTTTGGCATTGTTGCCTGCCTATCAAAATTGCAGCTGTACGAACCAATCTAGAAGCGAATGAAACGGGGTAGCCACCCCGATTCCCTCCTAGCCAACGCCTAAGAAGTGACAACTTGAACAACTCGCACAGAAGGCTAAAGGTTCGCTGAGCGGAAGCCCGACTCTTGCGAGAACAGTAAGTCCTGCATTTTACCTTTGCTTGGGAAGCTGAGTTTGGATTTTGACTGCTTACCTTTAACTTCAGTGGTTTGTAGAATCTGCCTCATTTGGATACGGTAACCTATCATTCTCACCCGTCTCTTTCACATACGCACACGCAATATGGGAATAATACTGACCCACGTTACAGGGTTGTGGTAAGGTGGGTGTCCTCCAGACCCTTGATCCTGAGGTTAATGGCCAGGAATGCTGGAGATCGTAGTTCCAATCTTCTGGAGGACACCATGCTGGTGGCTTAGAAAAAGTATGCAAGGCACTAGCATTTTTTGAAATGGCGGAGAGTTATTTATTTATCCCATCCACCTGGGAAAAAGAGCTGTGGGGCAGTTATTTTTGAAGATAAAAGTAAAGTAATTTCTTGTCCCTTCAAAACCATTGCTTTGGTACAGTAACCGAGGTGGAGTTCTTTAATTTGTAGGAGAAAAATGAAGCACTTCAGCTGTTGCGCATTATAGAAATGAAAGAAATACTTCTATAGAAATCCATATGGTGTGAATACCCGGCATCTGTGTCCTTAGCATGTCTATATTTATTATTGTGGATAATTTATTATATTATTGTAGTAAGTTGTTGTGCACCACCCAGAGAGCTTCTGGATGGCATAGAAAAGAAAATAATGATGAAGATGATGATAAGAAGTAATGATAACAATCGTAATAATTATAACAACGGCTGCTCAGCCAGTTCTTCCTCCACCTTGCACTCAGTCAAACCGGTGCTGCACACCACAAACACCTGTAGCAAACCTTTCCAGAAACAACCATCAGCACCCCCGGTTTGATTTCTCGGTTCTTCTGAACTGGGTGTGTGGGGAGCCAGCCGCAAAGGGGCTGATCCTGGTAGATTTTGCCCGCTGGATTGCTTGCAACATGGGAGCCCCCTGCGCTGGGGGGGGCAGATTTATCACCCAGCCTGAGGGCCAACACCCCCATCTTAAAGACGTAATGCCTGTCCTTCAGCAGCACGTTTTGTGGAGTATGTGCCGCTTCGCCTGTTCTGTGGGATGCTCTCCTAAAAGCATCGGGACGGACCAGCCCACGAGGGTAACGTTCCGTGTATGGCGGCAAAGCGGTGCCTTGTCCGCAGAAGCTCATGGCTTAGTCTTTGGGGTGACATAAGACCTGTCCCTCCAGGCCTCGCCTGGCAGCCCTCCCGTTCCTTGCTCTTTTTCCTGGTCGCTTTAGACCGGTCCTTAATTCCCAGAGCTTTAGGGTGGGCCTGCGAAGAGCCCGTGTGCTGAAAGGGAGAGAGAGAGTTCCCCTCTTTGGCTTCCAGGCCCCTGGACTCGTCCTTGTTCCCGCGGCCATGTCGGGGATCCTGGGCAAGATGCGGAAACTTGGCAGCTCAGACCTGGAGGAGTCCGAATCCACGGACGACCACACGGACGGCGAGGAGTCGGCGAGCGGCACCCCCAAGGTGGCCAAGCACAACATCTTCATGCGGCGCGCGCGATTCGGCATCGGGGACTGCGAGAAGGACATGGCCCCCATGGACTCTTTCTACCAGGTGGACCACCTGGTCTCCAGCCCCATCATCAAGTTCAGCCTCAGCGTGGAGAGGGGCAGGTGTGAGAACCACTGCGCCAGGTGAGCGGGCCCTGCAGGGGAGAGCACAGGCTTCCCGTCGGGGCCCTCTGCTCCGCGGGTGTGGGGCGGGGGGGGGCGTGCCCACCGCGTCTGGCCAGACTGGGGCCCCAGAGTGGGGATCCGGTGTGTTCCACTGGCTCTGGAGTTCGGCACCCCACGCGTCTTTGGAAACAAAAGGCGATTCTGTGCCGAGACCTTGGCCGGGAGGACTGCAGCTCTGTATCCCACTGTTCCAAGACTGCTGCGCTTGGAAAGAAGGTGGGCAGCCGTGGCGGCAAGGAGACGAGAAGGCAAGCGCGTTTCATCTCCGATCTCAGTAACCCAAAGCCCCTTTCCCTGCAGCAAGCTTCTCTCCAAGGCCTCCCTCGACGTGCGTGCGGAGAAGGCGTGCCGGATCTACGACCGAAGGAGGCTGTTCGATGCCGTGGCCCAGGGAGACCCCAGTGAGCTGGACGACCTGCTGATCTACCTTCTGGAGTCCCTGAAAAGTCTGACCGATGATGAGTTCAAAGGTAAGCCGCCGAGAAGGAAGCCCCTGCGCCGTGCCGTGGTTTTGGAGAGACTGCCCCCATCGCCGGCCCTTTTGAGTCACCAGCGGGAGAGGGTGAGGCACGGGGGCTTCCCAGGTCTTGCTCAGGGACCTTCCAGCCAGAAGAGACCAGTGTGGCACCCCATAGGACCCCCAAGCAGCGCCCCTGTATTGTCCCAGTAGGGGGGAAGCCCAACCAGTAGGACCTTCTGGGAACTGCCCCACTCCAGCCTTCTTCCTGCTTTGATCCTGCTACCCATTGGCCACCAGATCTATCTATCTATTTGCATAAATATATTGCATATGTTTACAAATAAGTTGCAGAGATGTTGTTCTGGGGGCACAGCAGCTTGTCCGCGTAAGGTGATGTGCCGGATCAAAGACCTGGCTGGCCACTCTGCCGTATTCCAAATGCAGCGGGGGCCGAGGGGCTGGCTCCCCAACCCTCCCCCTTGAAAGCAGAGACTCCCGTGGGGCGACGGGACCAGGGCTCTCCTTGTTGAATTTTGTGGGCAGCAGGACACCCTCCGTCGAGTGCTCCCCGACTTCCCGGCTCCTTCTGAGCGGAGCTGAGCAGTTTCTCCTGTGACTTTATGTTGCTTTGCACACTCCCTTTTGTAGCATAAGGGGCTTGTAGATCATAGGATCACAGAAGAGCAGAGCTGGAAGGGGCCCTGAAGGCCATCTAGTCCAGCGCCCTGCTGCTGCAGGACACCACGTCATACCACCCCACTCAGGGAGCTGCCCAGTTCCTTTTTGAGTGTCTCCAGGGTGGGAGAGCCCCCCATCTCTCCAGGCAGCTGGTCCCACTGCCCTATTGCTCTGACCGTGAGGAAGCTTCTCCTGATGCCCAGCCTGAACCTGGGTTATCGCAACTTGAACGGATTGTTCCGTGTCCTGCACTCTGGCATCAGCAAGGAGAGGTCTTGACCTTCCTCTTTGTGGCAGCCTTTGGGGTACTTACCGAGGGATCTCATGTCCCCCCTCAGCCTTCTCTTCTCAAGGCTGGACATGCCCAGTTCTCTCATTCTGGTCTCCGTCTGTGCTTTATATGCGGAGGGGGCTTCTTCTGTCGCCTTTGATGAAACTAGTAACCACTAAGGAAGGGGCTTGTGCGCCTCGTGTGAACGATCCCTCTCCCCCGGAGCGTGAGGGCCCAGGGGTGCCCCGGCCCCGCGTCCGCCGGAATCCATCTGTGCCCCGGGCTCTGCCGCCACAACCGTGTCTTGTGTCCTCCACCCAGAGCCGGACACGGGGAAGACCTGCCTGCTGAAAGCCATGCTGAACCTCCACAACGGCCGGAACGACACCATTCCCCTCCTGCTGGAGATCGCCGAGAAGACGGACAACCTGAAGGAGTTTGTGAACGCCGAGTACACGGACAGCTACTACAAGGGTGAGGGCGGCGAGGGACCGCGGTCGGTGCTGGGGCCGTCAAGGGGAGCCGGGGAGGGGCCCACGCCTCCGCCCTGCCCACGCCGGGGAAGTGGCTCTCGAGCGCCGGACCTCCGACGCAGGGCAGGGGGCCCCTTTCGGCCCGAGGGCGGAGCTGAGTTCCTCAGAAGCTCTTGGAGGCTGGTTCCCCTGGGCGGCGTGTGGCCAGAAATGTGGGCTAAAACTGCCATCCAACGCATGTATTTTCCTACAACCGGTAACTGAGGAAAGCAGCTGCAGAGGAGCCAGGGCAAAACTGGACGGTTGGCAGCTGGCAGGGAAGCAGGAAGTTCAGGGGAACAGGGTGCAGCTGCCGGGGAAACTGGAAGGCCGGACTAGGGTTCGGAGGGGGCTGGATGTGTCTCCCAGCCTGGCCACACACCTGCATCTCAGCTGAGGGCCAAACAAACATTGATCGGCCAGGCTTCCTCAGCCAACCTGGGGCCTTCTGCATGCTTTGGATGGCCACTCCCATCAGCCCCGAGCGGCATGGTCCAGTGGCCAGGGATGGTGGGAGTTGTAGTCTCAGGCGACGGAACGGCCCAAGTTGGAGAAGGCCAGCAGTGCCCTTGGCTGGTTGCCACCGATCAGAAGTCGGGAGTCGGAGCTCTTTCCAGTCTTGCGCGAGGTTCCCAGCCATCTTTTCGCAACTGCCCTCCGGCCGACACCCCCGCAGGTCAGACGGCGCTCCACATCGCCATCGAGAGGCGGAACTTGTACCTGGTGAGCCTGCTGGTCAAGAACGGCGCGGACGTCCACGCGAGAGCCCACGGGGAGTTCTTCCAGAAGATCAAAGGACGGCCCGGGTTCTATTTTGGTAGGTTCCTGCACGTTTCTTCACAAAGCCCTTATCAGTAGAAACTGTTTGGCACTGAAGCCAAAAGTGCAGGCACGGATCAAGAGGTTAACCAGACAGCACAGGAAGCCCTTGGTAAAGAAACAGGCCTTTAACACGCTCCTGAAGCAGGTCTTAATTTTGGAGTGGGGAGGGCATTTCTTAAAATGGGCGCCCCCATGGGGAAGGCCCGTCTCTGGGTTGCCCCAGAGGGCCCCTTGCAGGTCACAGCACCACCAGCCGGGCCTCCTCTGCCCCCTGGTCCCAAATTCAGCGTCCAGCTGCCCCCTGGGACGCTGCCAGGGGCCCCGCTTCGCTTCTGCCTCCCCCAGGTGAGCTGCCCCTCTCCTTGGCTGCCTGCACCAACCAGCTCAACATCGTCAAGTTCCTCCTGGAGAATCCGTACCACCCTGCCAACCTGGCGGCGCAGGACTCCATGGGCAACACCGTCCTGCACGCCCTGGTGGAGATCGCCGACAACACGGAGGACAACACCAAGTTCGTCACCAAGATGTACAACGACATCCTCATCCTGGGAGCCAGGATCGAGCCCACCCTGAGGCTGGAGGACATCGCCAACCGCCGAGGGCTGATGCCGCTCACCCTGGCAGCCAAGACCGGGAAGATACAGGTGGGAGGAGGCAGGTGGGAAGGGGTGGCTCCCCAGGCCTCCAGCTCTCAGGTGCGGGCAGGTGCTTTGCTCCCCAGTCAAAAAAGCGGGTGCTCCTTTCCAGAGGAGTTTCGACAGGCAGGGGGAGCCTGCAGGTGAAACCCGTGCCGGTGGCCGCCCCCCCTTCCCCCCCTGAATTCTGCTTCCGACTCTCGGAATGTGGCGCCCCGTTTCTGCCCCTCTCGCCCCAGGTCTTTGCCTACATCCTCAGGCGAGAGATGAAGGAGCCGGAGTGCCGCCACCTCTCGCGCAAATTCACCGAGTGGGCGTACGGCCCCGTCCATTCCTCGCTCTACGACCTTTCCAGCATCGACACCTGCGAGAAAAACTCTGTCCTGGAGATCATCGCTTACAGCAGTGAGACACCGGTGGGTCGGACGACTCCCCCGGCGAAAGTCCTGCCTCCTGGCCAGGTCACACCTGCAGGGAGGAGTGGAGGCTTAGGGCCCCCCCCATCCTGCCTGCAGCAGGCGGCCCTGTCTCGGGGCCGGGTTGAACCGCACGCCCGTGTCCCTCCCTGGAGGCCCAGCCTGGCCCTTCGGGGTCCCCCAAAGGACTCCCTGTCGCCCACCGGCCAACGGTTCTGCGGTTTCCCAGCGTCTTCCCCGGTCGTCGTGGACGCACCCGGGGCCTCCCCAGCAGCCCCGATGCCGGCGCGGCAAAGCTGGTGGTGGGAACAGGGCATCCCTCTCCCCCCTGCAGAACCGCCACGAGATGCTGCTGGTGGAGCCGCTCAACCAGCTGCTCCAGGACAAGTGGGACCGCTTCGTGAAGCACCTCTTCTACTTCAACTTCGTCGTCTACGCCGCCCACATCCTCATCCTCACCATGGCTGCCTACCACAGGCCCACGAGGAGGCACGGGAAGGTGGCTGAGCTCCCCCTAGACCTCCCCCCCCATCCTCGGGCTCCGGAAGCGTTGGCGCGTCCCTCTCGGAGTCCAGACTCCGGCGCTGCCCTCCCTGACCGCAGCCTCTCGCCTGCAGCCTCCCTTCGCGTTCCATCACACGACCGACGAGTATCTGCGGGTCACCGGGGAGCTGCTGAGTGTCCTGGGGGGCGTCTATTTCTTTTTCAGAGGGGTAAGGCCTTGGCGGAGTTCCTCCTCTTAGCGCCAGAAAGGTGGTGCAGTTGTACCTGCGCACGGGCACACACGTTCGAGGAAGCCCCAGCGAGCTTGACGGCTCGACCAAAATCGCTCCGGGTGGCCCTTTGGTGGCTGCTGGAGTTCTCCTTTTTGGTCCTCCTCTTCGGGCCCCCAGGGGTGCTTCTTACCTGTCTGGCCCTAATTCCATTGGTGGAGATCGGTGTGGGCGGGGGAAACATGCCAGCCATGATAGGTTGAAGCCAGTGGTGGGCGAGGCCAGACTCAGAGGTGGGCAGGACCAGACCTTGTCTCTCAGCCGCCCCCTTTCTTGCCTGTCTGTCTGTCTGTCTAAAACTTTTCTGCATCATCCCTTCACAGACGTCTTGGGACAGTTTACAACAAATTAAAAAATAGAAATAATAGAAATAGGATAAGTGCTTCTCGGTGCCTTTCCCTCTCTTTGAACCACCCCATTTTCTTCCTCTGTCATCCCCTTCTGATTCCCCGTGCCTCTTTCTCTCTTTGCTGTTTGCTCTTCCTGTGTGCCACCCCCTTTTCTCTCGCTCCCCCCATACCAGGTGGGCTGCCAGGGAAAGGGGCAAACTTCGCTCTCGCCGCAGGGGGGATGGAGGGCCTGCAGGGGCCCTTTGAAACCAAGCTGAGCACAGGAACTGGTTGGCTTCTTATTTCATGGCAGCATCAGGAGGAGGAGGAGGAGGAGCGGTCCTCCCCCTCCATGCTGCCCCTCTTCCTCCTCGCTTATGGCAACGGTCCAGCTGCCAAGCACCCCAGAGCCCTCTTGCTTCTGGGCCTCAGGGCTCTGAAGCGTTACTCTCATGGGTAGCGGTTCTCTGGGGCAGCCAAGTATCCTTGCCGGCCACTTGAGACCCTTTTCGCTTTACATGCCAGGGAGCGAATCTCAGATCTCTGCTACAGAGCTGTTCCTGTCTTGGTTGGGGGAGGAGAGATGCATCTCTCCCTGCAAGGAAAGGACAATGTTTTGCATAAACTTACACGCATGGATGCAAACTCAGAAATAATTATTAGGATGAAATAGAAATGCCTGCCATCCCCCGTCACGTGGAGGACCTGTCCAGGGGAGCCTCGGTCTCGTTCTGCCTCCGCTGCCCCTCTGGAAGCGCTTCTCCTGCTCCCCACAGACAGACCCCCCCTCAGCCCTCTCCTCCCTGCCCGGCTTTTGCAGATCAAATATTTCCACCAGAGACGCCCGTCCCTGAAGGCCATCTTCACTGACAGCTACAGCGAGCTCCTTTTGTAAGCATCACGCCGTCGGATTTTTTTCAGGTGGGGTTGAGTGCGGAAGCTGGGCTGGCTTGTCGCGACACATCGCTCAGTTTAATGCTTTGCTGGCCGCCTCCGGCCGGACAGACAGGCGATGGCCATCCTCCGTCGTGCTTCTTGGCCAGCGTCGTCTCGCGATGCATGCAGCTCCCTCGCAGGGAACGCTCTTGTCGCGGGCTAGAATCAGGCGGGGCCTTTTGGGGGTGTTCCGGAGCCCAGCCGGGTGCAGGCGCCGTCTGGAGACCTCCAGCAAAGGGGAGCCCCCTCCCCTCTAGGCAGGGGAGTCCGCCACTCTGAGCTCTCCCTTCCGCCTGGGCCGGGCATCCATTCTGGCCCCTCGGTCCTGCTTCTGGGCCTGTCCTCCTCTACCCCTGACCTTCCCCTGCTTGCCTCCCGCAGCTTCATCCACTCGGTCCTCCTCCTGGGCTCGGCGGTGCTGTACTTCAGCCGGCAGGAACTGTACGTTGTCTTCATGGTGTTCGCCCTGGCGCTGGGCTGGACCAACTTGCTGTACTACACCCGCGGCTTCCAGCAGATGGGCATCTACTCCGTGATGCTGGAGAAGGTGGGCACGGGACCCGGCCCGGCGGGCCTCCCAAGCACCGTGGCTCGGACGGCTCGGCCCCGTTCGCTGTGCAGGCGAGAGCTGCTGGTGCCGCGGGACTTTCACAGCGCTGGCTGCCCCCAGCAGGGGACGGGGGGCAGAGCCAACGCCAGGAAGCCACCCGAGGGCAGTGGAAAGGGGGCAGGAAGGAGGTTTGGCCTACTCGGTGAAGACTCGAGGAAGCCAGATTTAACCAGGCACTTTGGGCACACAAACCCCAAGATCGGCTCCGCATCGTCAGCAGAGCCGCCTTCCCCAACACGGTGCCCGCTGGATATTTTGGGTGATGACTCCCATCGGCCTCACTGCTTGCCAGGCTGGCTGGGGCTCTTGGGAGCTGTAGTCCCAAGCATCCTGGGGGGGTGCCATGGGGAGGAAAGTTCCAGGGGAAGGCTTCGCCAAGCTTGGGGTGGGGGGTGGAGGGGCCGGGCCACGAGGCAAAGGCAGTGACGGTCTTCCCCGCATCCCACCTCCTCTGCTCTCAGATGATGCTGCGGGACCTGTGCCGCTTCATCGTCGTGTACCTGCTTTTCCACCTGGGCTTCTCGACAGGTAACCGGCTGAGGGGCTGGCTGGATTTCTGGCGGGGGGGAGGGCAGAGGTGGCCGCATGGGGAGGGGAGGGGAGGCCTGTGGCGCTGCGAAGGTTGGACGGGGCCACTTGTGCGCCTCCCCAGCCTCGCGCAGGTGGGAATCGCCCCTTTGTCTGATACGGCAAAGCACTGGCAGATTTACTGAGCGGCTGCCCAGGTGCTGGGCATCAGGTGTGAGTGGAGCTGCCCCCTCCTGGCTTCCCAGAAGGCCACAGTCCCTTCATGTGTGTGTGGGGGGGTCTCCCCACAGCGTGGAAGCGGCAATCCTGCTGACCTCCCCTTCCGCCTTTCCAGTAGGCAGGGCTGGCGTGCGAAGTCTCCTGGTAGAAGAGACTTCACTGCAGGTTTCAAGCACTCATCAAAACCCCTGTGGATTAATTACGCACTTCCAAAGCAGACAGGCAGCGAGACATAAGCACTTCCTCTTTTATTACCCTCCATGAAAGCTAGCCCCCCTTTCTGGACACAGCCCTCCCCACGGCTCAGGCACAGCGCAAACCCTTAATTTTTTTGCTTACGTTTTGTATCGTTAAACCGTCCCGAGACTTTGCTAATGGGGCAGTCTACAAAACCTCCAACTAAATAATCGGTACATAAAATACAAATAAACAAACACAACTGGATTTGCTGCTGTGATTTCCAGCCGCCCGGCAAGGATTTCCCAGAATGGAAGCAATGGGAAATTCTTTTCCCGCCCCACTGCTTGGGGATGATGGGAGCTGCCCACCCCCCGATGCATGGGCAGGCAGCTCCCATCAGCCCCAGGCAGCAAACCCGTTGCGGGGTGGTGGGCGTTGCAGTCCAGTGCTTCTCGAGCACGCCGGCTTGGCGTGCGGGGCAGCGAGGGCCCGGCTCACGCGCCTGCCCGGTCGTTCTCAGCCGTGGTGACCCTGATCGAGGAGGAGGATGTGCAGAACGAGCTGAACCAGACAGGCAGCCAGTGCTGCTCCTGCCAGGTGAGACGCTGCCTCTCCTACAACAACCTCTACTCCACCTGCCTGGAGCTCTTCAAGTTCACCATCGGCATGGGCAACCTGGAGTTCACCGAGAACTGCTACTTCAAGTCCATCTTCGTCAGCCTGCTGATCGTCTACGTCATCCTCACCTACATCCTCCTCCTGAACATGCTCATCGCCCTGATGGGCGAGACCGTCAACAAGATCGCCCAGGAGAGCAAGAGCATCTGGAAGCTCCAGGTGGGCCCCGGCCGGAGCACCTCTCGGGGGGACGGTCCCTGCCACCTCCAGGCAAGGGCTGGAGCGTGCTCCCCAGAGAGGTTCGCGGGGCGCCCCCAGGGTCCCCAAGAGGCTGAGGCTTGGCTGAGGCTTAACCCTGGCCATAACCTACTTCCCCGGGCGGCGGGTTGTTTGGTGAGTCCTTACCTGTTGTGTCGCTTTCCCAGCCCTCGAAGCTGGACGCCCTTCCCCTGAGGACTAGCGACTGGCAGGAAGAGCCGGAAGCTCAAATGTCCCAGTATCCAGGCCGTGCCCCTTCCCTGGGCTCCTCGGTGCTCGCGTTTGGTTGCCGCGCTGCAAGAGTGCCCCCACTTGCTAGAGCGTCCCCCGAGACAGGATCTCACCCGGGCGCTTGCCCTTTTCTGGCCGACTGACCCACAGAGAGACCTGCCCCTCTCCCCTCCCCCGCGGCTCTCCTTTCGCCCGCAGCGTGCCATCACCATCCTGAACATCGAGAACAGCTACTGGAGGTGCATCGTCGACCCCTTCCGTTCCGGGAAGCAGGTCCTGGTGGGCACCACCCCTGACGGCAAGGACGATTACCGCTGGTGCTTCAGGTGCATCCGACCTTTCCTCCGTTGGGCCTCTGTTCTCCTGCCCCTTCTGGTTTGGAAAAGCATGGGGTTTATTCTGGTGTTTTTTTCCAGGAGTTGGCTCATGCAGAATTGATTAAAAAAACCAAACGGACTTCTCAGGCCTCCTCACAGCCCAATCGTGGCCGCAGGGTTTTTCTCCCAGAGTGCTCTGCTTGCATGGGTTGCCCAGAGCCGGACACTTTCAGAGGGGTGGGTCCCTGGGCTCGGGTAACGCCCAAAAGAGGCTTTACCTTTTTCCCCCTGCGCAGGGTGGACGAGGTCAACTGGTCCACCTGGAACACCAACCTGGGCATCATCAACGAAGACCCGGGTGGATACAGCGAGGAGCTGAAGCGGAACCTGAGCTTTTCGTTCAAGTCTGGCAGAGGTGAGGGTGTTTCAGACGTTCAGGGGGCCAGTCTGTATCGCCATCTCCACAATCGGACTGCAGGGAGACCAGAGACCCACTTAAAAAGACATGGGGACTGGGGAAGCCAATTTCCTGTGGCAGGGAGTTCCGCAGGGACGGGGCCAGCACTGGAAAGGTGGTACCCAAGAAAGAGCTCATGTGAAATCATGAGCATTCTCGAAAACCTGGATTTTGGGGAGCCTCTGCCATGGAAAGGGGGGTTAAAGGATGGAGAGAGGGGTTCCCAAGGGCTGGGATCTAGGCCTGGGCTAGATGGACATGGACCCAGCCTGGCTCTTCCTGTGTTCTTAAGAGGATCCATGCTAAAAGCGCCACTGCCCCAGTTTCAGGGAAAAACTGGAAGACCCTCGTCCCAATTCTGAGAGACGGAAAGCGAGAAGGTTCACTGAAACCCATTTCGGAAGACAACATGGATTCGGAAGAGCAGGGAGTCCGGAAGAAGTCTCTCCCCAAGTTGGTCTCCTTTCATGTCTGCCCTCCCACCTTTCTTTCGTGGTGGTTTTCTTACAGAATCCCCCCCACCCCCCACCCCAAGGGTCTGGCGTTGGATAAAATACTCTAAGCTTGCTTTGCACATGACCTGATGGGCGAAAAGGTGTAGCTAACAGTAACAAACGCAATTTTAAAATGTAAAAAAAATTCCAAACCCTAGAGAAAACAAATTCAACCCTAGTCACAAAAACAGACTGAAAACACGAATAAAAAACCTTCAGAACTATGCAGACACAATCCGATGCATTCTTGAACATTGAAAAAGGGGTCATGCAATCGGGCTGTGCTGCGGGTTGTAAGACTTTGTCTGTCTGAACCTGCATAGGATTAGATCCTAAAAGAAATACACATGGGAGTTGTAGTCCACGATACCTGGAGGACACCCAGCTGCAGCTAGGTTCTTCCAGAGCAGTTTCTTCAAACATTCTGAGTTCTGATTTCCATACTGACTGGAGAGAAGGGATATGTAACTATATCTATACGTGTATATCTATAGGTATAAGATATGTGATACAATTTTAAAATATTTATTTTAATATTAAATATATTGAACTTAATGAGTAGTGGATGTGATTATGAAACAGTTATTTAATATTCGTATTCAATATAATTCACATATGACATCAGAACATTTTTATTATATACATATGTATGTTAATGCTATATATATTGGTATGTAAGTGTACAAATCTGATTTTTTTCCCTTCTCTTTTACAGCCCTGTCTTATGATTTTTGGATGTGTGAACTGTTGGAAGATGCCGTGCGAGTTCACGAATTTGCAGCGCTTCTGTCTTTCGTGGTGAACCGTGTGAGTGTTAAGCCAGCAGGCCTAATATGTCCTGCCATCTGTCTAGCAGATTATTTTCTGTCCTGGATTTTAGCCCGCCGAACTGACTTAAAATCGCCACGGGCCCGCCTCCTCTCCTCACTGTGCCTGCCCAGCGGGTGGGTGGACTGGGGCTTCAGCCGCAAGTTGCAGCTGGAAGAGGCTGTCGAAAGGAACAGTTGCCTAAATGCTCAGAATGAAAACGCCAATCCAAATCGGAAGATAATTCTGTAAAAGCGCTTTCTCGGCCCGGGCCAGTGCATGATTACTGGGAATCGGGCCTTCCCCACGTTCAGCCATGTTTGCTCCCAGGCAGAGACAACTCCGCAAGGCTCTGCCAGTGTTGCTCGCAGCCAGTTGAATGTCTGTCCCCACCCATTTCAGTCTGTCTTACTGTTACGTGTTTGAACCATGGGCCATGTTTTCTGAACTCAGTCTCTATCAGGGACCAAATTCAGGTAACCCATAAACTCACCCTCTGAACTGAGAGGCAGGTTGTCTTTGAATCTTGGGTTGTTGACGTCTCATGTTGTCTGAACTCAGCTGCACTAACCAAACATGACTTGCTAACCGAACAACCTGTGGCTTGTTGCTGGGTTGTGAACTGTGGGTTAACATGTCATGGTTTGTTCGCAAGGCTGACTTCAGACAAAGCACTAATGTGCATTTCAAGAAGAGACCTTGGTTCGGCCCCAACTCAAGCTCATCCCCTCCTCCGGGAACCAATTGGATACTTTTGGAAAAAAAACCTAGACCTTTTAAAGCCAGTGTTTTAATCTGCGATCTTGCTTTATGGCACTATTTGTTTTAATGTACTGCTTTGAGACATTGAGACAACTGGATTTAGGTTTTTTAATTGTTTTCAATTCCATCAAAGCCTTCCTGGAAAAGTTTTAATGGTTTTAATGTGTGGGCTATAAAAGAGATATATAAGAAATACTGATGTGGGAACCATCTGGTGGTGCCAAGCTAATGGAGGTCAGTTAATCTGAAACGGGAGCAGAAAACTGGGTCGGAGGAGGCCATTGTGTGGTTACACCCCTAATTCTCCTCTCCCACGTCCCACAAATGAACGATTCTCTTTCTGGTAATGCTGCTGTCCCACAGTGAAAATGTAGCACTTGTAATTTCCATGTTTCAGTGTGAATCTGTCTGAAGCTTGTGCGTGTGTGCACCAGTGAGAAAGCGCAAACAACATTTTGTGTCTTGCTTGGTTAATATTGGATGCACATAAGTACCATACCCAAAAGGTAAAGGATGTTTAATTAAACATGCATGATTGAAAGAAAATGACTTTTAAAAACTCCCAAGTTTTTGATTCACAGAAATACATCAAAAGGGTTCATTCCACATTGGTGCATGTCTGTGCTTTCCTGCCAACCTTGCAGTTCGAAAGCATGCAAATGCAAGTAGATGAAAAGGTGCCACTTTGGTGGGCAGGTAACAGCGTTCCGTGCACTTTGGTGTTTAGTCATGCCGGCCCTGTGACCACGGAGACCGTCTGGGGACAAACGCTGGCTCCCTCGGCTGGGAAACGGAGATGAGCACCTCCCCCTGGGGTCAGGCACGGCTGGACTTAATGTCAAGGGGAAACTTTACCTTGATGCTTTCTTACGGGATCCTGTGGATTTTCTGGAAGCACGCTAAATGCATCCATCCATAAGAATCCTTAGGCCCCAAATGTGTTTTGCTTGCCTGCCTGCTCACACATACTACAGCTGGTCATTTACCACCTCCGTGGCCTCAAGGAGAGCGAGAACTAACTCTCATTCAATTAAAAATTTAAAAAACCCAGCAATGTTGGTGTCCGATCACCTACGGGCGATTCTGACTCACCACAGGCGATGAGGCCGTTTCTATTTACCAGGCTGGTCCACATAATCACATCTTCTCCCCAGCATTTTGGGGATTTAAATTTTCAGAACTCAGGCATTCATGTTAGCTGGGGAATAGCCACCATCCCTGCCTGATCAAAACCAGAGGACAGTGCTTGGCTCCAGAGCACTGAGACAGGGCGGTTGCTCCCGTACGGGACAGTCTGTAGCCGTCGTCTCCACGCAAATTTAAGTACTTGTTTGCACCTTGGCTGGAGCAAAGGGTGGAGATGTCAGGCTTTCGTGGGGTGTCAAAACCTACATTGGAACCCAAGTTAGTGGCCGCTTGGAGCCGCTTTTGAAACGAGATACCTGGCATGGGGGACGGCATACGAACGGTTTAAATAAGATAAATAAAAATAAATGTTTTGCATGCTTCTTCAGACCAGTTCCTTCTCAGGGACGGCTTCCCCAGTGACTGTCCCTCCCAGGATTCTCAGAAATTCTTTGACAGCACCCGGAGGCATGAGCCCAAAAGCGTCTCCCCTGCCCGACTTGAAGAACCAGATTTTCATTCATCAGCTCTGCCTCATGGAAGTGTTGCCGGCCTCACCTCACCCGTGCCTGTTTGATGGAGATCATCCCTGAACGGAAGTCAGGATGGACGTGCCTTTTCCAGCCCTGACTAATGGGCCATTCACAGCGAAGAGTGGGACCAAAACTCCACTTCATGGGGCTTACGTAACATTTCCTCTTTTTCCTTAAAAGGATGTGGCTGGGAATAGGGAAAGCCGGGCTGTTTAACACACGCCGGATTCTGCTCGGAAGTCCGTTTTCCTCTTTGCTTCCAATTTTGTCTGTGTTTCCTCTCATTCAGAGTTCAGAAAGGGCAAGTTTCTGCCTGTGTTTTTTCTATCTCATCCATGTATCTTCGTATTTATATACTGCCCCATTTCCCCCCCAAAATGCACCGTTTTCCCCTACTGACTCGAATCATGAAAAGGCAGTTTAATTTTTGAACAATGCTCATTTGAGGCATTTCAGAGGGGAAACCCCCAGTTTCCAAATGTGATTGCGAGTTTGGGAACGTGTGAGATTTGAGGGGCAGGACGTGCGGGCACTGAGATGGCGAGCAGGGCAAATTCTGACAATTTGTGAACGAAATTTGCATGGAGAGTGGAGTCCGCAGCAGCTCAGACTTTGAGGTTTAAGGTCCACAGAGAAGACCCTGTCCTGGTGATAAAAGGCCCTGCCGGATCAGACCCAAAGTCCATCCAGTGCGGCACACAAGACGGCAAACCAGCTGCTCACAGGATCCCCCAGCCAGGCTGAGCACAAGACCTCCTCCTTCCCAGGATCCTCAGCACTTGGGGCGTTCAGGTGCTCCTGGGAAAGGCGGTCGCACGTGGCCAGCAAGGCTAGTAGCCAGAGAGCCTCTTCCTCCTCGAATCTGGCCAGTCCCCCTTTGAAGTCATCCAGACTGGTGCAGGTTTTATCTTGTTCTGCTTGCCACTAGTTGTTAAACCTTAGGAGAAGTGATTCAACCTTTAGAAAGACAGAAAAACTGTGGAGACGCCAGGGGATCCTAAAGTGCTCAGTGGCTAAGGAAATGGGGAACAATTCGGCAGAAGGCCTACGCACCTGAAGACCCCCATGAGGGCTGGAGTTAACCCTTGGTCCTGAGGTTCTGTCTCCTCATCAAATGGAGATAATCAGACCGGCCTACCTTATAGGGCTGGTCTCTCGCAACTTCTGAAGGTAGAATATTCCAAGTTAGCAGGTGACTCCAGATCAACGGGACTCCTTATCCATTGCAGCCGTTCTTCTGAGCTTTCTAGCAGTCTTCCATTGGTGATGGAATGTGGCTCCAAGGGATCGCTCTGGGAGCTCAGGATAAAAGCTGCCTTGTATTAGGAGCACCGCTGACATAGGAATCGCCCGCTTCCCCCGTTGCTACTCTTATTAGGGTGGGAAATTAATTGGCCTGGCCCGGCCCTGAAAAATACAACCAGCAATATCTAATGGAGAGCTTTCTTTGATTGCAATGTTCCGCTTTACCAACGAAAGGGAGAAAAAAAAAAAAAGGAAAAAGAATTGAATGATGCAAGCTTTCGCTGAGTTTGATTTAATAATTTTGAGGTGTCATTACCACGGCATGCTGACTCAGTCTCGTTTGCATGTGTAAGTGCCCGTGGCAGCATCTTCCCCGGCCGTGAGTAGCACAGAAACTTGTGGTCTAGCGAGTTTGTCGCTCCTTGTTGCCAGCCCCATGGTTCAGGTGTAACCCCACAAAGCCGAAAGCAGCTCACAAGCTATACTTATCCAGGGACACTGCGCCCGAGTCAGCCGAGAAGCACTGGTACCTCATTTTATCTGGGTTTGTTTTTAAGAAGTGAGGGACGGAAGATCCTTTCGGCATTTTTGCACCTTCCGAGGATATTGCAACTGGAAATCACAGCCAAGGTCTTTGGATTTCCTTCCCAGTACATTTTATCAGCAGATGGAGATACTTTAACCAAGGTAAGCCCTGTATTCTAAACATATTTTTAAAAGTAATCTGTCTATTGCTGGTGTATAGCTGAACATCTTTCCTTTTCTTGTTTTGTCTTTTTGCTTCTCTCTGTTTCCACCTCATTTTTTCATGATTTTGGAAACCCAGAGTGACTTCTAATCCACCTGCTCTCAGTTTTTATATTTGCAGTTTTGATGGTTTTATGGGGATGCTTTGTTTGAAAGCTGTGATGTTTAAAAAACGAACTTTAGTGATACTCCTTCTTGATTTAATGAAGAGCCAGTGTGGCGTAGTGGTTGAGAGCACGGGACTGGGACTCAGACGATCTGGGCTCTAGTCCCTGCTCAGCCATGGGGCCCACTGGGTGACTTTGGGCCAGTCACAGACTCTCAGCCCAACCTACCTCACAGGGTTGTTGTTGTGGGGATAAGATGGAGGAGGAGGAGATGTAAGCTGCCTTGAGCCCTTTGCAGGAAAAAGGCAGGATATAAATTGGTTGGCTGGAAAGCTGTACAGGCCAAACCCCAGCATCAGCATCATATTATATAAACATTGTGATGTGAGTGTGATGTTTTGCAAAAGGATGAAAATTAGACATCTCAAGAACTGAGATGGGCTTAAAAGAGGAAGAATGACAAGGAGCTTGGAATTAGTTGTGACTTGCTTTATAGGGTTCTGCCAAAATCAAATGAGCTTGTTCTGTTTCAAATGTATTTATTATTTATATTTATTTAAATCTTTTATAGACCGTCCCATTATCGAAGTCTTGGGACAGTTTGACAATAAAATGTAAGAAAAGAAAAAATTAAATAAAACACAGCATCCTAAAATTCAGCAATAATAAAACCCCCACTTACTTCACTGTGATCAAATATGGACTTCCTTTTTTTAAGGAAGAATGTCAGCTGGCAAATTCAGTTGCCAGAAAGAAAGCACGGGTGGGAAAAGTTTGTATTCTTTGATCTTAATGAGTCACCCACATACGTGAGACACAATGGCTTAGCAAGATGTTTTTAACAAAACCGTGCCCAGGTCAACGGGTTTTCTCTCCATCTGATGACTTCCAGTTGTTTTGGACTATTGATCCCATCTTTCCTGATGGGAGTTCATGGCCAGCACATCTGGAGGCGAGTCAAATTGGGAAAGCGTGTTTAAACTTTTTTGATAGGACATGTTGTTGTTTTTTGTAAGCTGCCCAGAGACTCTGGTATTGGACGGCATATAAAAACTTTAAATAAATAAACTCCTTGGGGTGCTGGAGAAATCCACAGCAGATTCAAATAAACTCAAATTTGCCAAGAATCCGACCTACAGATTCCACAGTGAGCCCGGTTTTTCTGACTTGGTTAGATTTTGTACGTGTGCGGACTATTTTCCTCGGGAAAAGGAGATTTGTCTGAATTTGTGCTTGTGCTAACGCCCCTTAGCGCGAGCGTTCAGTTCTGCTGATGAGCCGTGGGGTTGATTCGCTCACCTGCAAGCGGAGCATTTCGGCACATCCCTGAAAATGTCTGGTCCTGCCCCTCAGGTTTGCAAAAAGAGGGTTCCAGGTGGACGAAGGGTGATGCAGATGGGCTGGCGATCTAGCAAAGTGTCCGTCTCTTTGTAATGCTTTGCCCTGCAGTGAGATCTGGCAAGACAGGCGGCACTGTCCTTCTGAGGATTTGAGGGATACAGGTGTGAACTGTGCTTGCCAAGAGAGCCTGCCTCCAAAAATCTAAGCCAGCTTGCAGCCCCCCCGGCTTGATAGCACCTTCCTCACCTTGTGGGGTGGTAGGTCTGAGGCCAGTGGGACCGAAGGGTCTGGTGCCGTTTATCTGTCCTGCGGCGGTCTAGTCTTAAAACACCTCCCCTGCCTCTTTTCCCTTCTTTCGGAGTATGGTGGAAAATGAAAACATCGGTATCTCCCCCTTGCTCCATGGCTAAAACAGAAATGACGAATTTACATATTGCATTTAGCTTTGAAATCAAGTTGCAGCATGATTTTCAGAGGAGGATGTGTCACACTCCAGGTAGCAAGCCAGTCCAGATTGCACACCCACTGGCTTTCCCGGTGCCCTTCAAGGAAAGAGAGGACCATGGCAAGTATTTATTTCCTTGAAGGAAATGGGGAAAACGCGTGCTCAAAACTGCGCAATTCCCAATTTCATCTTCAAGTCGCTTTCCCTCGTGATGCTGCTGTCGGTCATCAGCTTTAAGCAAAGGAAGAAGCCGGACTTGCACATTAAAAATGGCTTGTGCATAAAAGTTGAGGGGGAGATTTGGGGGCAGGGCTGGTGTAACAGAAAAGGGGCTCTTTTTTGTGGCCGGTGTGCTCTTGGAGATCTGATGTTCATGGCAACAGGTGGAAGCCATCGGGGTGTGCATCGCTTGGATAACTCGATCCGTATCCCATGAGAACGCAATTTTCCAGAGAGGTAACCATGCGGGCCTGTTGGAGCAAAAATAACAGCGCATTTTGTTGCAAAGACCCGCAGATGGATTCTGGCACAGTCCTTTCTGGAGGTGCCACGTTTTGGAAGCATTCTCCTTGGGGACACTCGTATTATTCAATCAGAGAGATTCATCCGGGTAAGCTGAAGGCCAGGCAAAATATCCCTGATACAATTGACCAACTCCGCATCCTTCTCTTCTAGGAGAATGATCAAGGACCCCAAGGAAATGGCTCCGCTTATGGGCAGCAAGAGGACGCACCCGCTCGGCACACCGCCGACGGCTCACCAAGACAAAAGACCGGCCGACCAGCCGAGCACCAAGAAAAGGTAACCCACCTCTACATTTCCATGCGGTTTTGGGCAAAATGCCGTCTATTGCCATGTGATTTTGGGCAGAACATTTTTGTAAACAGAATGCATTTTTGAGAATTATTTTCACTTTTGTGGCCTACGCATTCTGATTGGCGAATCCCACGGCCAAATTTGGAACACTGCAGACTTTACCTGTGTTTTGATTTGTATCCAGATCCGAAAGCACAAAATTTATGTAAGCTCACATTAAGATGTGAATGGAACTCATTTCTCCCCCTTTCTGGAACGGCAGGTAGGTGTGAACTGTTTGTCTCAGAAAAGTTAGGTGCAGATTACCGTATCTCTGTTCTAAAAGACCAGCGAGATTTTTGAAGCTGAAACAAGGACAAGCGGTGGTAAAACACCCTGAACGTGGATCCACATCTGAGTGAAAAGATTCCCCGCCTCTTGCAGTCTTGCAGAGGAATGCTTTTATTTATTTTTATTTATATTGTGAGTTCTATCCTGCCTTTTTCCTACAAAGGGCTCAAGGCAGCTGACATCATTCTCCTCCTCCATCTTATCCCCACAACAACAGCCCTGTGAGGCAGGTTGGGCTGAGAGTCTGTGACTGGCCCAGAGTCACCCAGTTGGCTCCACGGCCGAGCGGGGACTCGAACCCGGATCGCCTGAGTCCCAGTCCCATGCGCTTAACCACTACGCACACTGCTCCTCCTCACTGCAAAGTCTCTGTGTTTTTCAGCGGAATCACCATGGCGCATTCCGATCCGGCTCGGCACACGGTGAAGAACCCGGGCACCCACCCGCCAGGGCAGATCAGCCCTCGGAAGCTGGCCAGCCAGGTGGCTTCATGGTGAATAGCCCCCTTGTCTGTCCTAAATGCACGCCTAGACGCCTGCCCCATCCCCAGCCTCCCTCTCCAAGAATCCCTCCGTGCGCAGACTCCCCGCAAGTCCTCTGGTTTCCGAGCACGGCCTGCTTTTACTTCGCCTAAGATCTCACGGTCTGGCCCTCAGGGTTCCACATGTAGGTCCCATTGGCCTTGGGACACGTAGAAATGCCTTTTCTATAGCTCAGGGAGCAACCCTGGTTGTGTTTAGGCTGAAAAAAGGCAGGGAGTTGTGTGACTTTTTTTGCTTAACAAGCATAGAATTCAGCCCTAAGTTATGGGCAGTAAGAGTTAAACGAACCCAAATGCTGCCCTGACGCAAGACCGTAGGACAAGCCCTCTGGATCATGTCCATCCAGGCCAGTGTTGCGTCAGCACAACGGCCACCTGACTGCCCACAGGAAACCCTCCGCATCTTCCTACCCGTGCTCCCCAGCAATAGCTGTGCACAGGCACACAGCCTCTGAGCCCGGCAGTAGCATGTGCTCATGAGGACTAGTGGCTTGGGATGGCCTTCTCCTGCATGTATGTGTCCTGTCCCCCTTGAAGGGGGTCCAAGGCATGGCTGCCCTCTCCTCTTGGGCCCAACGAAGCCCTCGCTTGCGCATCCTGCGAAGGCAGTTTGTCTTCCGAAGATCCCGTTCCTCTTTCTCTCTGCCGCATTCGTTGGTCGTTGTAAACACCAAGCTCTATGACGGTTCCTTTTGCCGGATTTCCACCACCGGCGTTGGCACAAGGAGGCCAAGATCGGTTGGGAAAACGGGGCGTGGCTCCAGCATTCCTCTGGCGTAACCGGCTGCCAGGAGGCTAATTGCAGAGCTGCTCGTCAGCCTCGCTCCGCCACCTTCGCACAGCCGGTTCTAGTTCCACGACATTAAGAACGTTCTGGAGCAGGAAGGTGCCTTGGGGTGCCCTCAAAGACGTGGAAAGATCCCAGCTGCCCCTCTTGACTGTTGACATCGATCCTTTGGGCCCTTTCGGGAGCTAACTTTAATGGAAACGATGTCCCATCTTCCACAACCATTTTAGAAAGGCAGGGACGTCAACACCCTGGCGAGCAAGCCTGTCATGAAAGGCAGATGAGTCATTGCTCCGGTTGCTTCCAGTGTGGGATGTGTGAGCATTGCTCTCCTGCTTCCTTGTGGACTAGTAGCATGCTAAGGTCATCCCAAAAAGTAAAATCAGACCCCGTTCTCACCATTCCAGAGAAAGACCCTGGTGAAGACTCGGGGCTCTGAGTGTAGGCCGGGCCGTGCATGGCATACCGTGACCCTGAGCACGGAGCGACGGAGCCGGCAGTGGCATGTTGCAGCGTGAAGCGCTCCTCTGGATTCTGCCTGCCAGGCCCATTTCAAAGCCACTCCGTTCTGTCCCTCCTCCGCGTTTTGGCCCATCCACCCGCTGGACAACCACTCGGCTTCCCATGCTCCCCGAACGCGGCCCACTCAAGGGTTGTCCCTCCCCACGCCTGCCGTTCTGCCTTCCCCCAAGCACCCGTCATGCAGCAGCGCGTGGGGCAGATGGGGCCTCCTTGCCTTCCCGGGGAAGCCCCCCGCGAGGCGTGGGGCGGGCCGCTTTGGGCTTGGGGCCACCAGGTTTGCTTTCCAACTAATTGTCGCTTTGGTCCGATGTATTCAACAGTTCCCACTTTTTTCTCGAGATCGATGCCTTCGACAGCCCCGTCACGCCCAGCCGGACGTCGCCGCCCGTCTTCTCCAAGCCCATGGACTCCAACATCCGCCCATGGTAGGTCCAGGACGCACAGGGGGGGGGCTCCCACCCCACAGGGGGTGCCGCACCTGGGCACGGCAGGTGGCGCGCCCAGGCAGCTTCGGGGGGCCACGCGCTCCCCCCCTGCTCGGAGGAAGGAGCGCTTCACCTGGCTGGGGGTTGCAGGACTTCCTCTCTCTCAGCACCCGTAGCATCGCTCGCTTTTCTTTCTCTCCCCCGTCCAACAAAACTATGAAGACGTATGAAATGCAAAACAGCCCGAGACAATTTCTAGTAAAAATGGCAAAACTTCATCAAACAGCGAAAAGCATAGTAGAGCAATTAATAACAATATCTTGTCACAAGTTAGCTGGGGTCCCAGCGTGGACCAGCGCTCAGGTCCCACTGTGGCACGGGAACCACGCCAGAAAGACACGTGTAGCGACACCCTCACCCATGTTCCCCAGCAACTGTGCTGCCCACTTACAGGGCGGGCTGGGGAATGCCGAACCTTTTTCTGTCCGAAAATACCTGAGATTTCAGTGGAGGCTTCCCTCTTTGGACTTACACCGCTTTGGGCTTTTGCTATGGACTTTCAGGATTCAGCCCCGAATAAATTAATTTATTGTTGTAAGCCGCCCCGAGGCTTCGGCGAATGGGGCGGCATAAAAATGTTTTAATAAATAAATAAAAATAAAATATAGTCAGTTAACCACTACAAAAATGTCAGATATATAGCCTGACATTTTTCACAAAAAGAATGCTGTGCTTCTATGGTTTGATGGCCTTCAAACCTAAACATTTCAAGAATAGAGATCCTTGAAACATTTCTATTTGAATGCGTTTTTAACCTTGTTCAAATACGTGTCACTAGTCCTTGTCTGACAAGCCATACACTGAATAAATAAAGAAACTGACGGTTGCATCTTGATTCATGCTCCGGGGAGAAGGAGTTTGAAACTTATTTAGGGAGAGACTTATTTCCTTCTGGGTCCTTTTCTCTTCTCCAAAGTACTGATTGCTTCTCATAACTGGACCCGAGAATCTTCTGACTTTCGCATCCCTCTGTCCCCCGCATCCCATTTCTGTGCAGCGCGTCTGCAAATTGCGAAGACATGGATTCGCCGCAGTCTCTGCAGGATATGACCGAATATACGCCCAACACAGACAGCTGCTGGTGAGCATTGTGGGTTCTCTATAGATTAGTTGCTACCAAGAGTTAGATCTCTTCCCTGTTTCTTCTCTCATTTCTTCCAGACACGGTCAGAGCTGCCTGGATTAAGGCATTGATTTATTGCAATCTTTAATTAGTAGTAATTGCCCATAAATAAATTTGGCAAGACGTGTGTCTTGAGCAACTTCAGCTGAAACAGCGATGGGAGAAGGGGGCTCATTCAGCGTGTAACTCCAGCTTGGGCTAAGCCCTTTCTTGCTCTTTGAGGATTTTGGGTTTTCCTCCCACTGAAACATAGTCCGCTAGAACCACTGGAGAACTGGATTTGGCCCCTTGGCTTGGATTTTCCAATGCCCTGCAGTCTGATGTTATTTTCATTATTTGTGTGAAGTATTTTTATCTTGCTGCTCAGCCAAAAAGATCCTTGGGACGGCTTATGTATAATCAGCTTGCAACGGCACGAACAAATGGCACGACAGAAGAGGAGAGAGGGATGGGGAGGGTAGAGGAAGGAAAAGTCCAACGGGGATGACGGAATGGCTCTCCATTGTTTCTCCCTTAGTTCAGCTTCAGAACGTGCATTTAGTGGGTAGTGGAGGCATCCGCCCTACGACTTCCATAGCGACCTCCCCAAGGCACGTCCAGTGATGCGTCGGACTGGGCATCCATCTCTCTCTGTCCCTTTTGAGGCCTTTTGTGACGCTGATTGGTCTCAGTCGCCCATTCCTGACCAAGCCTGTTCAAGAGACTTTGTGTCACAGCAAGGAACTGTATCCTGTTGCTGAGAAAATGCATCTCCACCCACTGGGAGACGGCAGCTCAGCCCAGAGGGAACAGGGAAATGTGAGGGGGTGGGAGTCGATCGCAGCACCCCTGCTGGGCCGAAAATCCCGGGGCTTGGACCCTGCACGCCCGGCCCCGCTACACTCCACGCGGCAGGCCAGGGTTAGAAAGAGGAGACTCGGGGGTCCCGTCCACACCTGAACGGCCGTGCGGCCCTGCTGCTTTTCTTTGCACTTCCAGCACCACCTCCTTCCCGAGCGCTCGGCAGAACAAGTATCAGAAAAAGCTGAAGAAGTACCTGTTTCGGGCAGTGTCAGAAGGCAATGTAGAAGAACTGCAGAGCCTCCTTGCTGAACTGAAGGAGCGGTCCCTCACCTGCAAGAACCTGACGGTCCAAGGTAGGAGCGCTCGTGCCTCTGGGCTGCTCGGCCGGCAGCTGAATCTCTATCCTAGCCTTGCGGAAGGTGCTCCTCCGTGGCCCTCCATTCCCAGAAGACAGTGAGCCACTGTCCCTCTCTCCCAGCTTCCTTGCGCTTCCGGAAGACATTGCCCAAGCAGAAGGGACCTCCACATGGAAACCCCCGTTTTTGCCCAAGCCTCCCAATTCTTATCGTTGTGGGTGTTTATTTCTCGTTGGCCAGACTATCTGATGAAGAAAATGACCTCTTCAGACACAGGCAAGACCTGCCTGATGAAAGCCTTGTTGAACATCAATGAGAACACGAAAGAGATCGTGCGGATGTTGCTGGCATTTGCTGAAGAGAACCTGATTTTAGAGAGCTTGATTAACGCGGCTTACACGGAAGAAGCCTACAGAGGTATTCTTGCTGCATTTTCAGTAATACTTAAATAGCTGCAGTAAGGCCGTGCAGTTAAACTTTATGATGATGATGATGATGATGATGATGATGATGATGATGATGATGATAACATTTCTATGCCGCCCCTTGCCGAAGCCTCGGGGCAGCTTACAACACAATAAAATACATCGAAATACAATAGAACATAATAAATTACCACTAAATACAAAAATACAAAAAATACACTGAGATACAAACATAATAATATAAAATTAAAATTAACAGTATAAAATAAGTAAATAAAATAAGTAAATAAAGAATATAGGAGGAGAAAAGAGAAGGAAGAAGAAGTTGCCCTGGCCAGATCATATATTTTAACAATTAAAATGATGTTTAAATAAAAGGGTCTTTACCTGGCGCCGAAAAACCAGTAACGACGGTGCCAGGCGGACCTCTTTGGGGAGTGAATTCCATAGGTTGGGCGCCACCGCAGAAAACTTTAAGTGAACTGGGGGGTTTGGTCAGGTGTGTCGATACTCCAAAGACATTCTGAAACTGGAAGGACAGAATAAATGTCACAGGTAGCAAAGTCAAGGCTAAATAACAAAGCAGAGAAATTTTCCAGACTGCAGAAAGTTAAGATACCAGTATACTACAGCTTGTAAAAGGGAAATGCAGTGTAGCTGTAAAGGGATTCGGGTGTAGCTTCGTTGATGAGAGTGTTGTATCAAGAGGAAAGAAGCCGTAATTAAGGGCTTGTCTTGGCTGGTGCCCCATGAAGTGCCCAAAGGCAAGCCAGGTTTTTCATCCGAATGGCCTCTTTAGTTTTCTCACTCTGCGCTTTAGGTGAGGATGACCAGTTTTGTGTTGTCGCTTCTCTAACCCTCAGGGCAGACGGCGTTAAATATCGCGATTGAGAGGCGGCAATTTGACATCACCCAGACGCTCATCGAGAAAGGGGCAGATGTGAATGCTCACGCACGGGGGGTCTTCTTCAACCCCAAACACAAGCATGAAGGGTTTTATTTTGGTAAGGGGCGCTCGGGGCCTGATGTGATGGGGGTGTGAGCGTAGCAATTTGGGCGTTTCAATTCCGTCGGGGTGGGAAGCCCCTTTCGGCCCAATTCAGATTCAGAGATGCTGATGGGGGCTTCGCTGTGGGGGGCGGTGGGAGGGCCCCTCTGCAAGAGCCCTAAAGGGTGTCACAAGGAGGACGGTCAAAATCTCTCCTTGCTGATGCCAGAGTGCAGGACACAGAATAAACAGTTCAAGTTGCGAAAGACCAGACTAAGGCTGGGCATCAGGAGAAGCTTCCTCACGGTCAGAGCAATACGGCAGTGGGACCAGGTGCCTGGAGAGGTGGGGGGCTCTCCCACCCTGGAGCCACTCAAAAAGGAACTGGGCAGCCTCTGAGTGGTGTGACATGGTGTCCTGCAACAGCAGGGAGCTGGACTAGATGGCCTTCATGGCCCCTTCCAACTCTGCTATTCTATGATAGTATGCCTGTATGAGGTAGATGGAACTTTCGCCCTCTATTAGGGTTAGGGGTGTGCACCAGGGTAGGGTTAGGGTTAGGAAAACGGGGTGTCCTGGCATGGTTTTGATGGTTGGAATATGTTTAGAATGGGCAGAAATGCTGAGCTGCGCAGAGAAAGCTACTCTAGGAAGGCTTTTTCAAAATCCCCCTCTTACCAGGGGAAGTATACCCCTATATTAGAGTTAGGGTGTGCACCAGCGTAGGGTTAGGGTTAGGAAAAGGGGGTGTCCTGGCATGGTTTTGATGGTTGGAATGTGTTTAGCATGGGCAGAGATGCTGAGCTGCACAGAAAAACCTACTCCAGGAAGGCTTTTTGAAAATCACCCTATTTCCAATGGAACTATACCCCTATGTTAGGGTTAGGGTGTGCCCCAGGGTAGGGTTAGGGTTAGGAAAACGAGGTGTCCTGGAGTGATTCTGATGGTTGGAATGTGTTTAGAATGGGCAGAAATGATGAGCTGCACAGAAAAAGCTACTCCAGGAAGGCTTTTTGAAAATCACCCTATTTCCAATGGAACTATACCCCTATGTCAGGGTTAGGGTGTGCCCCAGGGTAGGGTTAGGGTTAGGAAAACGAGGTGTCCTGGAGTGATTCTGATGGTTGGAATGTGTTTAGCATGGGCAGAAATGATGAGCTGCACAGAAAAACCTACTCCAGGAAGGCTTTTTGAAAATCACCCTATTTCCAATGGA